ATGTGTCATTTCGCTTTGAAGGCATAGATATCTACTTCAGTTACCAGTAAGACCAGGTATCTATGATCATTAGTTAGGTACACGAACGCGGTGTTTCATCCTCAATTTCATCTTAGCATTCACTCAACTAGTCTAGTATTCTCAGCCCAACTCGGCATAAATAAAAGAACTAGCCTCTCATGCTCTGTTGCCCTACAATATATTTTCGCATTGCTTCGCTTCATTATTGGTATCACACAACCAATACAAAATCTTAGATGCCACTAACTGACTGATTGACACACACTCTCCCCCTATTGATATAAAAACAAATTACAAATAAAACCTTCAGATTGACAAAAACTTGGAGAAGAAAATCCCCTGTTGGGGATTTATTTCCTGATTCTGACCTGGCGTTTTTCCACTCTACCCACGAGATGCATATGGCCTGATCAAATAGCCATATTTGCCGCCCCTACGCTCTGAACGGGAAGATCTGATTAACATCCTTTATGTAGTAGAGATAACACTTGTGATATGGTATGTAGGTAGAAAGAGAATAGTCAAAACATGGTAGTGAATAAGTCTGGTAGCGGACTTTCAATCTACAACCATATATTCATCAATCATAGCAACTGTTTAACGATCTGAGATGCTGATGGCTCAAAGGGAACAGATGTGATATGGCGGCAAAATGAAGCAAAATAGGACAAGGCAGCGTGTGTATGAGATGAAGAGCACATAAGGTTAGAGATACTCATCTGGACCAGAAATTATTTTCGCAACTAAATAAAAAGACATTTCTCCCACTGCCGAATGACCCCCACAAAAAGCAAATGCACAAAAAGTAAATGTAGTGTATATGAAGCGGTTCCCCACGCGAATCCCAACGGAATGAGATGCAGATAGCTGAGGAGTCTAGCCCGAGGGGTACGACTAGTACGCGTGTCACGCCGGATAAATTGAACTGGTAATGATCCACGAATCTAATTCTATATGCTTGTTGATACCGGGGATATATACGGAGTACATCCTTCGTTTCATTCGGTTCATAGACTTCCCGTGTCCGTAAGATGACCGGAACCCTGTTGGTAAACTCGGGGAAGGCCCGTACCGATACTTAGTGTGACATGGAATATTGGGGCAGGCAATTGAACCGGCCGGATGTAAAGTTCTCCTTGTTAGTAAAGACTGCAACTTTGGAATTGATGAAAAATTATGGATTTGGAAGTCGTCAAAATGACAAAGCTTTTTTCAAATAGGGAGGACGCTAGACCCCGCTTTTTGGTGTGATGAAGAAGACGCGATAGTAGGACGACTTTCCAAATGCACCTGTAAACACTGCGTATATATCGCTTCGCGGTGTCGGCAGCTTCTCGATATGAAAAGCTGTGCTCTTATCGCTAGCTTGAAGGTTAATGTCCACGTGCCATGGTACCTTTTTTGTGTTCAGATGTAGCTGAAAACGGGTGCCAATGTTGTGGACATGTACTCGGTAGGTTAGTTCTGCTGTTTTGGTAAACGAACAGCATCTACGCCTATCATCACGACGGACAACAGTTTTGAGATTCTAGACTCGAACGATATGTAAGGATTGTCATATTGCATTACCGGCCTTGAAAATTCCATGAATCCGCGCAGCTTCATTGATGATGAAAGGGTAATAAGAGCCTGTTTCTCATGCCCGTTGCTTGGCGAATCTAGTTCGGCAGGTAGGGGCAATCCGTGAGAAACGAATTAGAATAATACCATGGGATTTGCCTGTTCAAGTGGCTCTTATCGTGTTTCTTGAAATAATGGTCTGATTCGACATGATTTCGTGGGCAATACCGTTTCAAATGCCGAGGTTTCTATGACTGCGCAGCTGTGCAGGCTTCAAAAAAGCATTACGCGCTGAATGATCAAGCGAGGGTAAGATCTTGCGTCGTGGTGCCATTCAATCATTGGTATGCATTATATATCAAGTATCACAGCAGATACTAAAGGAGTCTGGAGGCGACGATGTGGTCTGATTGTACGTTGACGATGTCGTCTCTGGATTCCTAGCTGCCGGTTCTCGTAGAACTATTATGTAATATGGCCTCTTGAGAATATGATACGTCTCTTCATAATTTGATATTTCGTGATCCTGGAGGAAAGACGGTTCGAAATCGACACACGGAAATCGGAAGTCAATGAATGTCATGTGCGCCAAGATGTTATGGAAGAGTTTAGATTCTCGTTGGCCTAAATATGTTAAAGGTACGTTTATTGCGGTTGATTCATTCCTTTCACCCCCACGTCCTTTTACTGAATCTCAACAAGAAACGGTTGTCCAAACATGTTACCAACACCATGATCTTGGATTCTTTATATCAGCTAAGCCTTCTGGGGACTGATCTTACATTGCCAGGGTCCGTTAACCCCGCAATTTTCTGTTCGAGGTCATCATACCGTATCAGCAGACATTTTACTCTGCAGCGACAAGTACAGATCAATGAGAGGCCAATATACGTACATTCATACATACATACATCTGAAAGGAGAGAGAGACAAACCTGTCTATAGGTGTGCTTCCTCAGCCCAATATGAGCTTTTTGCCAAAAGTTAAGGACTCAGCTCTGATTATTGTGATGTGGTTGGGTGCTGAGTGAGACTGTTCTGAGCCTCCAACTCCTGTTGGCTTTTGTTCTTTTTATTTTTGCGATCAATCAAGATTCAGGAATTGCTAACGGCCAAATCCGTTGCAGTTTTGTTACATTATCGTACTCGGAGTGGTGGAAAGCCTCTCTAGGTCATGATGCAAATAAGCAATTGTGATTGGCAACAAATTATTGGATAAACACCTTCATTTGCTGAGGTATCATGTATGCGGTGAGGGGAGGTCGCCTGGGAGGGAGCGAACAGCGCCCAACATGTAATGGAATACGGGGTCAAGGGATTGCACTTTCTCTCTTCCTCACATTTCATCTCTTGGCAAGCAGACATAACCAAGAAAGGCTCCTTTACCATTCTTTATTGAATGCAGAATACAACGTCGTTGATGATCATTGATCAAAAACGGAGAAGTGCAGCACAACGATTATGCGGACGCAGTAAATTAATTACTAATTGCTATATCAGGAATTCCTATTCTTCTCCGCTACCTATGTAATTGGTCGGGAGATTAAGGGTTACTTGCCGTGACTTGCCGTCACTTGTTACTCCTTGTCGTCGTCGACATGGAGAAGTAACATATGGATTTCACGATACCTCCCTTAGCAATATGCAAGGCTAGTACCTGCTCAACGCTCCACAAATCTCATCTTGCATTTGTATCTGGTCTTACTTTCCTCTACCGTTTACTAAGATGGCTATGGCTGACAAGCCATGCACGAGGGTCCTCCTCCTTGAAAACTCCCAACCCCCCACACTATGCGACAAACAAAGTAGCCCGTATACGCCACCAGGAACATACCAAAAAGAACAATATTTAATGTCCAACTGTTACCCACACGGATACCTTTGATAACTTCATTTCAATAACTTTACCTTCTTTCAGGTCAATGTTGTCTTAGGTTTGACGTTGAGGTTAGAATCAACTTAACCCTTTCTTATTTACCATTAAACATCGCCTTGTTGGCCCAAAAACACTGACAACTTCATGTTCACTATGGCACCACATAACGATTCACCTTTGCCAGCAAGGACTTCCTCAACAGATTTTAACATGTCTTTTCACCCCCCATTAAACCCTGTCTTGGGGAACTCAAGCAACGCAAATAGTATATATTCGGTGGACGAATCCTCATACAGTACTTCGCACAGTAGCGTTTCAGTAGAAGCTGATGATCACATGGCCCGTCCGTTGGTTCCTGGAGTTTACGTTCCAACAGTTTGCTTCTTCGATCCAGCCACAGAAGAACTCGACACGGAAACGATTTCCAGTCATGCGATTCGTCTTGCAGAAGCAGGAGTTGCCGGTCTAGCCACTCAGGGTTCCAACGGTGAAGCTGTTAATCTTACTCACTCGGAGCGTCAGACGGTTACGGCAACAACTCGTGCCGCGCTCAACTCGGCCGGGTTCGCACATCTTCCTATCATTGTCGGCTGTGGCGCTCAATCTGTCCGAGAAACGGTCCAATATTGCCGAGAGGCATTTGCGGCTGGAGGAGATTATGCACTTGTTTTACCACCTTCGTATTATGCACCTCTGTTTTTACCTTCCTCTGCTTCCGTTATCAAATTTTTTACTGCAGTAGCGGATCAATCTCCAATTCCATTATTAATTTACAACTATCCAGGAGCTGTTTCCGGTATGGATCTTTCATCAGACGTCATCATCCAATTATCAGCCCATCCCAACATTGTGGGGGTAAAGCTCACTTGTGGCAACACTGGCAAATTGAATCGAATTGTGGCAGCCACAAAGACATGCAAGCCACACTCCCCCGCATCCCCACCATTCTTGGTTCTAGGAGGCAGTGCCGATTTCACTTTACAAAGTCTTATTGGCGGTGGTCATGGGATCCTCGCCGGGTTAGCAAATATTGCTCCGAAAGCGTGCATCGAGATGATTAGACTATACCACGAAGGGAAAATTGAGGAGGCCCAGAAACTCCAGGAAGTCGTTGCTCAAGGTGATTGGGCGGCTATTCAAGGAGGTATCGTGAGCACCAAGGCTGGTATGCAGAGTTGGTTGGGCTATGGAGGATATGGTCGTGCACCATTGCCGCATCCCACTAGTGATGAGATGGCAAAATGGAAAGAAGGTTTTCGAGAGTTGGTTACGGTGGAGAAAAACCTTTAGATGAGTTCTTCTCTTCCTCCTTGTGAATAAGGTGTCCGCGCTTTAGTTTTATGTTTCATATGGCTTTTGATGCATTGCTTTTTTCGGTATTCGGCTCTTTTTGCTTATCGAACTAAAAGTTCCGCTCTTTGGCAATATGGTTTAGCAAAATCCTTTTAGTTCGATCACATGTACTAATCATATTTCGAAATCGAATTTGATCTTGTTCTTGATTTTGACGTTGATATGTTTTCTTCATCACTTGGATTTGTTCTAAACCCCGGAGGCAGATCTGATTTCTCTATACATCATTAGTATTTGTCAAGCAAACTTCCTTTGGGTAAAGAATTTCATTCTTCCCTGTGGTATACTTATGCATAGGGAGGTTAGATGCGTGATACGCACATATATTCTTTAGGCAACAAATTAATCTTGCGTATGGATACGGGTATGGATATGGATATGCACATGCACATGAAGGGACAAGGACATAGGGAATGTTTCGGATTTGAGAGGTGTAGATAAGCTAGGTAGCAAATAGGATTTGGAAATATTAATATGACTGAGCTATACCTCCATACACAAATTATATCCTCCACAGAACTGCCGCGATACTCATTGCAAAATGACTCAACATAAACATACAAAAAAAGAAATACATTCATATAACTCAACAATCAACCCATCCATCCAACCATCCACCCATCCAACCATCCACCCATCCAACCATCCACCCATCAAACATGAATACATCCCCAACCTCGACCCCAACATCCCACTAAAAAATCCAAAATCCAAAATCCAAAATCCAAAATCCAAAATCCAAAACCAAAACCAAAATCACCTATACCCCCTCCTCCGCCCTCCTCTCCAACTCCACCCATCCAGCCTCCACAAACTTCATCAGCTCCTCGAAATTCTTCGCGGACTTCGCCGCTCCTTTTCCACGTAATCGATCCATATTTTCTGCGGCTTGATTGGCGAGGCTTTGGCACTCTTGGATTTGTTGTTTGAGTTCTGTGGTGTTGGGGGGGAATTCTTGAATGCTGGGTTTGGGGTTGGGGGTGGGGTTTGAATTGGAGATGGGATTAGAGATGGTGGGGGAGGTGTGGGATTGTTGGGGGAGGGGGTTGGGGTTGGGAGTGTGGGTGTTTGAGGGATTGTTGGAGGGGGGTTTTGGTGGCGGAGTGGGGTTCGGATTGGATGTGCTTCCTGATGATTCTGGGGAGGGAATTTTTGTTGTAGAGTTTTCGAGTGAGGTTTCGGGGATGGGTTGGGATTCGGCTTGTGATTGAGATTGAGATTGTGGTGGAGTTATTTTTGATTGTTTTGCTGCAGTTGCTTTGGCCGATGCGGATTTAGATTTAGAAGTTGCAGAATTAGGTTTAGACTTAGAGGTCTTGGACTTATTATCAGTTTTGGTTTCAGAGGCTGTAGTTTTGGAAGGTGAGGTGCTGGAACGAAGACTACGAGTTGGGGCTGAAGTTGATTTGGTGACTTTTCCAGCGCCGGCTTTAGGTTTAAGTGCTGGTGTTTTAGATTTAGTCTTTGGAGAGTTTTTCTGCTTGGCGGAATTAGGATTTGCTTTTGATATTCTTGTTGCTCGTGTGCGGGTGGGTGTTGTGTTCTGGGAGGGTGGAAAATCAAAGGGGATGAAATCTAGAGTCGGTGATGGCGCTGTCGTTGTGGGAGGCTTTGGATGTGCAAGCTCGGGAGACATTAGCTGTGGAAGCTGAGGTGAGGTTGGCATTATTGACGGAGCAGTAGATTTCTTCTGCGTCGAAGGTTTCTTTGTAATGCCCTTCCTAGTATCTACAGCCCGATTTCTGTGCGGTCGCCATCTTTTGTGTTGACCTAGTAAAGCTTCTACTTCCCATCCTTCGATTCTATTGAATCCTTCCAGCCAATCTCCAGACTCAACATCAACATTGCCCTCTTTATCTACCACTACTATACCGATTTTGTCCTCTGGCGGCTTTTCTACATGTTTGCCCTTCTTCTTCTTATTTTCATCAGTCGGCGTGAATATTGTGGTAGATGTTTTGACTATCTTTCCTCCTGGTACAAAAATGGTTTTCTCCCGTGTCATCCTACTCTCCCTGATACCTTGTGCCTCTAAATTGGTAGTAGCTGTAGCATTCCCCTCAGCAGATGATTGACCTGTCTGTGCCGAGTGTGAAGGCGCTTGATAATCATGATGTGCAGGAAAAGATCCGAACTCTGGCATCGGGGGGTAGCTTGGTATCGAAGAGTAACCTGATGTTGGGTCGGAGGAGTAACCTTGTATCCAAGGAAGATTTTGCTGCGACGCATTCCAATTATTATACCAAGCTTGTCTTCCCTCGGGATTCTGGTATTGTGGGTTCCCAGGAAGAAATGTTCCCTGCTGTCCCCATGGTGGTAATGCTCGTGGTTCGAACCATTTATAATTCTGTCCAAAGGCACCTAATCTGTTCGGATTGAAATCCATAAAGTTCTTCTGTTCTGTCGAAAACTGGTGGTAATATTCAGGGTTATGGTCCGCGGAATATGTTGGTGGTCCACCTATGGATGCGGGTCTAGTCGATGAAAGTCCGGTTGCTACTCCATCGCCACGAGAACTAGGACCGGCATCAGCATTAGAATTGGTAAGGTCCACTGATTTGAACGGCTTCGAGGGTACTAGAACCTCAGCCCCGGGTATTGCAGATGTACTTCGCCTCGGATTAAAGCCAAATTGATAAGTTGGGCTCGCATTGAAGCCTCGTGGTCCTCCAAATCCCGGAGAGTATCTGAACCCCATTGCCGATCTGAACCTGGGTGAATGGTCTGTCCCATCAGATATACTAGCCCGAGGATAAGTCGGGTCGGGAAACCTTCCTACTAAAGAGTTCAAGCGGTTTTGTTTGTTGGCATCGAAGAGCTGAGAGGTTTGCTCACCCATGTCCTTGGAAGCTGGTGGGAGGATGAAAATGTGCCCTTTTTCTGACGCCGAGTGTGCTTTATCATGCTTATATTTCGCAGACCTCTGTGGTTTGGACTTTGGCATCTCACTAACGAGTTGTTTTCGCGATTCTGGGGAAACATTGACGGGTGATTTTGTAGAATCCCATTGAGAAAGTAAAGCCGCGGTATTTCTGCGGTAGCTTCCTGTAGAGAATGGATTTGGATAGCTTGCTTCTTGATGTATTATTTCATTATTAAAAGCAGAATCTGTGGGCACTTCCGTTATTGCAACATCGGTCTCCTTTCCTTTTCCCTTCCCTCTCCCTTTGCCTTTGCCTTTCGCATCGCTAGCTGAACCTACTTCTGGGGTGGAAATCTTTGTAGGAATGGATTTCTTTGGACGGCCTGGTGTTTTCTTGATTGCTTTGGGTGTAGCCTTTGGAATGGGCTCAGGAGACTCCTTCGGTTTATCTTTTGCTGCTCGAGAGAGCCTTGCCCTGGTAGCAGTGACAGCTGTATCCTTCTTCGGCGCCATGATGATGTTTGAAAATTGACAATTTGGCAAGTACTAACTTGGAGGGCAAATCAAGATATCGACATGTGGTTAATTTTTCACAACAAAGATATCTTCGGCATGCGGTTTCTGCATTGGACTATGTCTCACAAAGAACATCCCTTACTGAAAGGTAACTGATAGGAGCCAAGGACTACCTTGAGAATCACGCTTGAAATACAAATGGCAATGATGAAATAGGTATTGCGATTTTGTGATTCTTTTGTATGAAATCCCGAAGCAAAATTCCTCTCGCCATGATTTACTGACTACTTTTTGACATATATATAGGTGAAGATCCTCTTCATAAAAGAAGCCTTGCTTATTTCCATGATGTTATGAATGAAGATCAATTTATGTAGTATTTATTATCTGCCATTTGGAAGGATTGATTCAAAAGAATTGTCGGTGAATTCTAGCTGTCAATCTTATCAGATGGTGCTAAGATGGTGCTAATATTGCGACATAATAGTTACGCAGCTGCATTAATCCATCCAGCTGCAACTTTTGAGTTGACAAAGCAATGAATGACAATACAAAAAGCGGTATGTCGCCCATCAACCATGTAAATAAATATAGTTACATTCATTTGAACTCTTGATCAATTCTTAGCTAAGTATAGGAGATATTGAATATTCTTCTCATTTCAGTTTTTTTGTCTTTTCTTCTGCTTTTGTCTATTGATCGACGGTCAGCAATTAGCTGCATGAAGCTTCACATTGATTTTCTATATCGAAAACACGAAAACCGAAGCTCAAGTCACCTCCTGCGTGCTCACGACTGGTTCAATTGTAGGTCACAATGGTGCTGAAATATTTCCATCGTCTAATCGATGAGGTTGGCCTCATTACTCTCTACAAATCGTCCCTCGATACCAAGCTCCTATGTCTTCAGCGCTTTATTCGGATGTTCGCATATGCTACCGCGACTCTAATTCTCGTGGAATTCCTCTCTACACTTGACATCTCCAAGACGAAAATAGGGCTTTTTATGACCTTGACATTGATCGGCGATACATTGATTAGCTTCGTTCTTACACTATTCGCAGATGCACTGGGGAGGAAGTCCATCTTGGCGGTGGGGTCAGGGCTAATGATGGGGAGCGGCATTGTTTTTGCGCTTTGTGAGAACTACTGGGTCCTGCTTGCTGCTGCGGTTTTGGGGGTTATAAGTCCCAGGTATGTACTCCTCTTGTCCACTCTCGTTACCATTCAGAAATGCTGATATGGTGTTTCAAGTGGAAATGAAATAGGCCCATTTCGAGCAATTGAAGAGTCAACTCTCGCACAACTTACTGCCGCATCCAATCGAAGCGACATATATGCATGGTATTCTTTGATTGGAACAGCCGGGCAGGCGTGCGGATTTATTGCTTCTGGTTGGGTCATTAATTATCTTCGGAATGAGCTGGCCTGGACGAATATCTTTATATATCGAGCTGTATTTTGGAGCTATACCGTATTTGGATTCGTCAAGTTCCTACTCTCGGTGGCACTTAGCCAAGCTGTCGAGGCTGAGAAGAAAGATGGGCCTATTAATGATCCGGAAACTGCCCCATTGCTTGGTGACGGAGTGGACGAGGCGGTAACTAAAAAGAAAGGCTATTTTGCATCGAAGTTGCCCAACATAAGCCAGGAGAGCAAATTTCTCGTGTTAAACCTATGTCTTATTTTTGGCCTTGATTCCTTTGCATCCGGCCTCGTACCTCTGTAAGTATTATTCGGTCCCACGTTTGCTTTGTGGAACTAATCAGATTATCACAGCTCATGGGTGACTTACTTTTTCCACGAAAAATTCGGCATCGAAGAAGGGCAACTAGGCTCTCTCTTTTCCATCACTAGTATCATATCAGCTGGCTCTATGCTAGTCGCGTCGTCCTTAGCCAAACGCTTTGGAAACGTCAAGGTATATTCTTATTACCCTCACAGTACACACCCTTCTAACGTAAATTTCCCCAACAGACAATGGCATTCACACATCTCCCCTCGTCTATTTTTCTCTCCTTGATCCCCTTTCCTTCTACTCTCCCATTAGCAATAACCTTTCTTATCCTCCGACACTCCACCTCCAGTATGGATGTAGCACCACGTTCTGCCTTTCTCGCAGCGGTAGTCCATCCACACGAACGTACTGCAGTCATGGGTCTTTTAAATGTAGTGAAGACTTTTGCCCAAAGTCTTAGCCCCGTCATCACGGGTGTGTTGGCTGGAAGGAACCTCTTCTGGGTTGTATTTGTTTGCGCAGGGGCGCTCAAAGCGACTTATGATTTATCATTGCTGGCATTTTTTGGAAAGCACAAGACTCATGAAGATTTAGCAGAGGAGGAGAGAAGAGCGCTAGAAGTAGAAGCAAGAGCAGCAGCAGAGAGAAATTCAGAGGCCGAGTCATAGATGGGGCATTTAAGGAAGTGAGAAATAAGAGATGAGTTAGAAGAGTTAGAAAAGAAGCACATAGACATTGAAGATTGTGTTGCTTCGGGATACCAATTTTAAGAACTTAGATCGATAAATTATGTCAACGACTTAGCAGCCTGAAACTCCCTGCTCAAAATGAATTAGGGAACTCCTCCGGCACAATGGCGATGAAGTTGTGTTTTCTCCTCGTAAATACGAAATATCATCACTTAGACAAACGCAAACCCCTTGTCGCCCTGCCCCCTTCATTACTTGGCTTCTCAAGAACACTAATTTTCCCTAGAGCTCCGGTGAAAGAACCGAAGTATAGTTTAGTATTCTGGATGTTCCTGCGCCTAATTCCATCTCATCTGTTCCCAGACGTCTGTTGTAATTACATTTATGTCACTTTTCTGAATGCTTCAAATTGATACCTCTTGAAAGTTTAACCTGTATAATGTTTCCCTCATTTCCTTTTCATGATTTTTCGACGGAATGTTGATGTTGTATATTTGGTGTTGTACTCTTAGTACATTGGATGAATACTCAAACATATCGAGTCCTGAAACGAAGATTTGACAGGTTTTATTTGTCGTCACATACGCAGGATTTCACCTGCAGAATTGGCCGATTTTCTTGAACTGAAATGAACATTCCTTCTATCTCATACCTATTAATATACACGATGATACAATATAATATATATTATGAGGAGACAGTGGAACATCATCACGCAATTGCTTGCGTCAATGAAAAAAGTAAGCGAAACACGAAAGGGGCAGGAACGACCATCAGCTAGCGTCCCTTGGGATTTTTCGTCCTTAAATATCCTTCGCTCCACTTCTTCACCTTTCCTACACTTTTGTGGTTTTCCCCATAACAGAGAAATAAATCGAGATGTTGAGTAATGTATATATCTTCAGCGAGGAAGGGAACAAGCTAGTGCTCAAGACTTGTCCTCGAAACTAGAACTTTCCTAGTTATACTACCTCGTCTGACTCCTCGTTGCGAGTAGTACTCAAGTTTTCTGCTCCTTCAGGTTGCCTCAAGTGATTGCAATCCTGTTGCCTAAAAATTGTTTACAAATTTTCAACAATTCTCATCTGCGTCAAAAAAATTCCAGGACTCAACTTTTGGAGAACCTTCTTTGCTGAGAAAGTCAGAATCAAAACCTCTTGGTTTCAAGTTCCAGTGATCTAATGCTGTTTGCCTGCAACAAACATGCTGATTTGAGGAACAGGAAGTAGCAGTAGGCGTCGCTTCGCTTATGTTTGGATAGTTCCTGCTGAGAGCGCATCGTCGTTCTCATAGGCCTAAATTGCTACCAACCTGCATCTATGCACCCGAAACCTTATTGTCCGGCAGATCATACATTACACCAAAAACATCTTGAGTCAGAGACTGCATCTGTCGGTTTATATTTAAGCCTCACAAAGGAGCCTCGAGTGTTGTGGTCTAGAACGATAAGACTGCTTATCGTGATTCATGAATGCGGGGAACAAGTACCCCCCGCCGTTAATTTTGTCGGGGATCAACAAGTCTCACTTGATGTCCCAAATTCATGATGATGGCATGACGAATAAAAAGTCTTTTCCTCCGTATGTCGTTGAGCATCTTTACTTCCGAAACGTCACGGAAGGTGTCCGATACAACAGATCAGCGTTTCGGAAGTATATCTTCCACATCGGTTCTCTTGGCAGCCATCATTGCAACATACCGGTACTGCTTTAGTAATGTTGTATGTGTTTGCCATTGAATTCCCTTGTCAAATAACTTCCACGTACCTCAAATATGATTATCGAAACATACCGCTCTTTCCTCCACAAAAACTTCTGTTTTCTCCCACGCGCAATTTCCGAGTCTGACTGACAGTGACATTCCACCGCAAAAAATGAGGTAAGAGATTGATATGAACCGTCAGCAATGCAGTAATGCAGCAATGCAGTAGCAATGAAAAGCAAATACTTCATCCAGAATCTCACCGCCTTGTGCTGATAATAATTTCGGCGTTTGGGTTTCCAATAATTCTTCAAATGTACAGATACCTCCGATCGCGCATGTGGGTAGACTGCAAATCTGGAAATCTGCACAGTGCATTATGCACAGTGCACACTGCACAACCCCCAAAATCCCACTTTTCTTCGCAATCAAAACTTATCAAAGCCACCCGAATTATGTGACACAAAAGTATTTCAAAGTGCAATTCTGATGTGCGCCAATCTCGGAATTACATAACAATTTGCACCATCCACGAAAAAGGGCCCCGAGAGCTTTTCTCGCAACGTTGATATGTTTGGATTGGCATGGACTCATGAAGTAAGAACTGCTGGTAGAAGGATGGACGTTTGATCTTTGGAGTCATGTATGACCAATAGCTACCAGGGTTTAGAGGGGTTTGGAGGTTTCCTTTAGCAATAATCATGCACTAGAGGGGTCGTGTGTTGTGGGGTTTAGCAGATCATGGTTAGATTAGATCATTAGATATCAGCATCGTCTGGGTGGATAGCACCTATGGGGCCCATATTGTCCCCATAACACCCTAATCCGTTGCTCTGCAAAAGCTATCTTGATTATATCTTGGCTAAGTGGCTGAGCAACTTTAGCACATGTACAGAAATCAAGATAGCATCATCATAACTTGGGCTGCCGAGAGAGTTTGCAGCAGCAAGGGTCCCGAGATAGGATGTTTAAGAAGATGATAAGGAATGCTGGACGTTGAGTGGTGGAGATAGGGAAAAGGATAGCTGATTAAAAATTAGGTGTATGGGATCATTGGGATGTTACAATTTACAAACTCCATAAATTTAAGTAATTCTCTAAATGTACCCAATGAAAGACTTAGGGTTACCAAATATTACGTATAAGATATGTTGATTGGTTAAGCTCACGTGGATGGCTTACTGACGATGCATATTCATGCATATTCTGGTGTCATTAAAACCATCTATAAGACTTATTAATTCAGTATCTAGTTGAATGTCTGGACTTCAAGCTGATCAAAGCGTAAGCCTTCGAACAAGTTTAATTCCATCAAACGAGAATATACTCGGAGTAGTCAAGTAGGGGAAGCCGGAAAACTTCCATTCTCTGCGTACAAGAGTCGGTTATTTAGATTTTTTGATGACTAGAGTCATTAGACACTGGCAAACGGCCAGAATAACCACATTAACCAAGCCTACCTGGGACATAAAACATGTCGTGTACCCAAATGCTTCAAGGGTTGGATGTGGATGGCCCATCGTACCGGCAATGCAGATGCGAGGTACGGATTACTAGATTAATGTAAAAATAATTATTTATGTTTGATAGAGATATCGAATCTTATATTGGTCCCTTTCGCCTTATCTTGAAGCATGAAAAAAAAGACGCCAGAGCTACGTCTTGGAACCTGGAAAAACGTGTTGACAACGCGGGATCAACTAGTTATTTGTCCTGTTAACCATTTAAGTTACTCAACTTACTCAGTTACTCTTATTATTGCCTTCTAGTTTGGTAACCAAGCCCTCCGTTTGACCAATATCAAATCGGCTTCTAGGTTTTCTCTTACGAAAGTACTGTTTCTAGTAAATGCAGATCTGAGCTTTCATCTCTCCATATCTCCTAAGCTTCTAAGCTCCTTCCTTTTTCCTCCAAGTTCTTCTCATCGATATCATTCAGTACTTCTGAAACCTTTACTAATCTACTATTTATACCTCTCCCTCATCAATGACGTGGAAAACTATCTATTATCTCATTCTCCTTCAATCACTAGCTGGTGCATGCAGTCGTGATAGTCACTGAATTCAGTCAACTATTATTAGTATTTCTCTCGAAGGTTCATGTCAACTGAAATCCATCAAACGGACGGGACAAGAATAAACTTAAAAGGGATAGAAAGAATTTAATATTAATCTCCTCTTACCATTATCAGTAAAGACATTCTATTTGTGGTTGGCTCTCCAAGGTTTCTTATCTACCCGTTCGACACAGACCGGGCACTTGCAGATTCGCAGTGCAGACGACACCACAATTTTCCACCTCAAGCTCCGATAAGCTCTTCCAAGAATATATATGGATTACAGGGCCTCAAGCATATAAAAGAGATATTCAACAGGCAAAAGAGTGGGGAGAAACATCGATAAGCGTATCTGATAATCTACTCTTCAAGCCACTCACGTCTTTTGGAATATCATATCCTCTATCTTTGCTGGACTTCCCGATCAAGACAGTTCCCTCGTCACTAGACCATTCCCATACGCTACCAAATTTCGGAGGTAATCACATCGCGCTTCTCCGAGGACAGGGGATTTACACCAAAAACCCCATATCTCATCTATACTCCCTGGCTACAGCAGTGTAGCTGCAGTATTGACGGAGCCAACCCCAGGGTCTAGAGCAGGTCATCGGGTTCACGCACTTACGGAACCTGGTGGTGGACTTTTCGGCGGATACTGATCCACAGGAATTTTATTACCCAGTGTTCATCATGTCGACCCCAACTCCTATAGCACGTACTGCCCCAATTGCCATTGCTTCTAAGAAACCTCATCTAGATACCATCCTCGATACTCCAACCGATTCTTCAAACGGCAGAGATCTTTCTAGTTTGTCAACGAGCACGAGTAGTGTGGCATCGATGGACTTGGGAAATAACATGAGAAGTCGAAAAGATAGACCTTGTGATGCTTGTAGGAGGAGGAAGAGTAGATGCGTAATCAATGAGGGACAGTCCACGTGTGTTCTTTGTCAATTTCATTCGCAGGATTGTACTTTTGTGTCAAGTCCACAACCTAGGAAAAGGAAGTTAAATGTGGAGGGGAAGGAGGAATCTGTTGCTAAAAGAAGGTACTTGAAATTACATGTTCAATATTTTGTGTGTTTTTGAGTCATGGCTAACAAATATGACAACTAGATCTCCAGACAGGAATTTCGAAAGGTCCAGACCCCACGAGGCTAGCATATCTAGCACCGGTGCCACGAATTCGCTGACGGAAGATCTGGCAAATATTGGGGGCCCAACCTTACTAAAGCGAACACTGGGTTTACAACATGACCGATACAGTCAATACATTGGTCCAACTACAGATTTCGAGCCTTCACTCATTGATCTTTCACCGTTTGATCCACAAGACGAGAGTTTATTGTCGAGAGGAACACTAAGAAAAGTCAGCGATTATGATACATTTTTGATGCTTCCGGATCATAGAACTCCCGGCCATGAACATCAAATTGAGGATGCAGATGCGATAGAAAATCTGGTGGCGCCACATGGTCCCATACTCTTGGATTTATATTTTCGCATCATTCATCCAAACTTTCCTATCCTTCAGAAAAATGTATTTTGGGAAAAGTACAACAGATCGTACCGGGAGTTTTCACCACCTCTTTTGGCAGCCGTTTACATCCTTGCGATCAACTGGTGGGACCACAGTGAAGAACTTGCACATCTTCCTAGACCCGACCTTAAGGAGTTGGAACGGTTAGCGAGAGTTACATTAGCAGATGCTATGAACAGACCCAAGCTGTCAACTGTACAAGCGGGACTCTTATTATCCCAAGCGCCGGAAGGCGACCAATGGGCACCCACCGCACAACTCGTAGCAATTTCCCAAGAACTAGGTCTCCACCTCGACTGCTCGAATTGGAAAATCCCATTATGGGAACGCGGGACTCCGTAAACGTCTTGCGTGGGCTTTATACATGCAGGATAAGTGGGGATCGTTAGTTCATGGACGTCCATCCCATATCTTTGCTTCGAATTGGGCTGTTCTCCCACTTTCCCAAAACGACTTTCCTGATGTCGAACATGATGAGACTGATGATGAGCAAAGTACTGAATACGAACGGGGCAGACTCCTTTTCACTCAAATGATCATTCTCTCTCAAATTCTCTCCGAGGTTCTAGATACCTTCTACACGTTATCTGCCATGTCTAATATTACCAACGCCGGAATACAGGGCACAAGCCTTGTTCTCCAGCTTGCAAAACCTGTACAGCTCAAGCTGAAAGACTGGTACGCAGCACTACCCGCCTGTCTCCGCATGGATGCTCCCCCCACCTCGTCCAAATTATCCTTGTCCTCCACCGGATTCCTGCATCTCGCGTATTTTGCAACGGAAATTACCCTTCATCGCCGCATCATCCGTTCCTTATCGCCTCCCCCCAGCTCCTCGCATACTCACATTAAAATAGAAGGGCAATCGTCTCCTCCGCAATTAGATCCATATGTCCAGCATATCTGCCGCAGCGCAGCCAAAACCCGTTTAATATCCGCCATGGATTTCGTGAATAGACTCACGACGAGTCATTTGAGGGCGTTTTGGTATTTTGCGAGTAAGACGAATTTTGCGCTGATCGGAACGTTTGGCTCATTGTTGTGGGCGACGGCACCGGGGAGAGAGGAGGCGGAGTGGTATAGAAGGAGGTTGGGAGAGTACAGGTGGACGTTAGGAGTTAGCTGTAAAGGGGGAGAATTGACGAGGTGGGCAATGGGAATGCTGGATACGAGTACGGGGTTATTGAAGGGATTACCGGAAAAGCCAGCTTTGAGTAGAGTGGGGAGTGTAGGAGAAGGAATGGAAGGCAGTGGAGGTCCAAGAAGAATAAGTGGCAACCCATTGGGTTTTGTAGGCGGGAGTCTACCCACCGGTATAGGAAGCATAGGCATGGGAATGGGCATGGGCATGGGTATGGGACTTGGAGGCGGCACAGGATTCGGGATTGAGGGGACAGGAAGTAGGAGTAATGGAAGGCTAGTTACAGGTATTGACGAGGATATGACGGGATTAGCCGGGAGCAGTGGATTGGTAAGCCCAAGTACGAGTGTTAGCAGTAGTGAGGAGTCTCGAGGCGACCGCTACGATGGATATATGTTACCGCGGCCTAGGTTTGTAGAGGAGGGATATTAGGATTGGAGATGTCTCAATTCAGAGGGCGGGATGGAAAGACGATGCAGGATATTTTACGAAGTCATGATGAATATTTCGGTAATGCGGCGATGAAGATAAAGATGGATGAATGGATGGATGGATACACATAAGCGTGTTATTTTGTATTTTGGCGAGTCAATATCCTTCCTTGCATTTTTGCGTACTACACTATAGATTGGATGCCACATACCATGCGACGCGATGCAATATGATGCGATGTACATGCATTAAATTAAACGGCGAATTATTCTATTAGCTTATTTGATATTTAGTATCTTTTGTTTGGTACCTAAGGATTTGTGATGATAGATTTGTGTATGTGTACCGCGCTGCACTGTGAGGTAACCATAACACTGCTTATTGATTGTTGAATTATGGAGAGGGTATAGAATATATTATATTGCCTAATGTGGTAGTGTAGTGTAACATAATCCTAGGTATGTATACATATGTTGACTTGGCGGAGAATAGTTCAATTCCGGTTTATAGTATTATACATTGGAAGGTGATTGGTATATAAGAAAGGCACGCCGTTAGAAGTTTGATGGCTATTTTTCTTTCTTCTCGAAACTGTAGAACAGGTATGATTATATGATATCTCGAAAATATTATATTGAAGTGGTTGATCTTTGCACGTGGTCTGAATGTTTGGATTGTGGTGGGATATTGGGTTAGATACCTGGTCTTTTTAATGATTGTATCTATATGTTAGAGGAGAATTCATGAAGGTTTTTAGAATTGATTGGTGGTTTGCTTTGATGCTACTGTTTTTCTACATTTGGATGTTAATTAGATGTTCGGATGTACATGCGAGAGAGAAGCTGGGTCGAGTATGGGTGTACCGAAAAAAGCGAATGTCATGATAATATGTTCATGCAATTCATAAACCAAAGGCTTTTCTAGGTTGTCAAATTGATATATTGAGTCTCTTATATAACCTTAGCAGTCCAGTATAGCGCAGATATAAACCAAACTATTCACTCAACGCATCAAGACGCCCCCTTCACTCGAATCCAATAAGCGAGGACGAAAGTGAAAGTGAGGATCTTGTGAAATCCCATCTTCGGTGGTATGGTATAGCCGAGTTCCCGGATTTTGTTGCATATCTCAATAATTGATTTATCGCTCAATTGAAATCAATTGAAAATTGGTCGCGAATTTGTGATTGCAACAGTCTAACAACAAGATAGATATCATTGCTCAACGACAAAGGATATAGACCATTGCGAAATGAACAGAATTGACAGCGGAAGATTTCTCTTGATATCAAAAGTGTTTCTAAAATGAAATAACTTCTAATTTGCTCTTCCATTGCCATTGCGCCGGATATTTCGCACTCTTTGCCAGGAGAGTTGTTTCGATACCACTGGGTATGCTGTATATATTCAGACGAGCCCGACAACTTACATCATTTAGCTGACCATTCCAGAAAGAAATATGATCTATCTGTGAGCTAGGAAATGGTTAGATCTTTTCCTTTGTAAAAAGGCTAAAGGCAATCACTTGTATACCTATTCGTACTCGCACAATTCCTACAATTCGTGCAGGGCTATACCCGTTTCTCTTCCTAGCAACCGACAGAGTCCCATCCATTGACTACATGCATCGCTATCTCAAAAAGGCCAGACGAAAGGACAGATTGGAAAACCAACTTGAGGTTGTATGCTAGGCTGAATGATTTTCGAGGGACATTGGAAGGTAAAGTCTTAAAAACGCTGTTCCATTTCAAAGCATGGACGAACTGATAAGAGGCTTTTGTGCCGCGACCGGATGCGATAAGATTGGTTCCAAATGCTGGCGCTTCAAACGGGTAATGCAAGTTATTGACTGGTTGGGATCGCAAAGACTGTGTTCCCCGAAAGCCAACTTCCCTAATCGTGCGAGCTAGAATTTCTTTGGAAGCCTGACGGTATCCCTTACTTGGACGTGATAAAGAGTGGAGGACATTGAAATGACATGAATGATACTTTTCAAAGATTTTACTTCAATGGATGACTTCCTCTCAAATCCTCAAGAACGCAAATTGGTATAACTGAGAGAATCTGGGGAGAACAACAATTGCGTAAAAGCAAGTTAATTACTACCCGGGACCAAGCATCTTCCTTGGGGAACGTAGCTCTTGTGATCATGAGTTCGGAACCAATTAGATCGCGAATTACTTGTCATCCTCCAACGAGTGCTAAAGTCAGCCGTGCTCAGTGTGGAGATGAAATCAAACCCTACTGTTATATTGTTAGTTTTGGTAGCGACCTGTATTGAAAGCTGGTATGATTAGACATGGGCTGAAAGCAGTATAGAAGGAAGAACACGAATGGAAAGGAGTAAGAAGTAACTTCACAAACTCGGAAGTCGGTACTGATGATACGCTTCGTCTAGGTCTCGTGTATTTGAATGGAAGAATAAAACAGTCGTAATTTCCAAAATTTGGAGGAGGAAGCTAGGGACTGGGGAAATGTGGAAGCTATTACCTACTGATTGGTTTTAATATGTATTTGGCATGAACCTAGCATGGATATGCCGCACGTCTAAAGGTACACTCCACAATGCCGATAAGACTCCATAAGAGCGTGGGAGATAGAAAATCAAACTTTAATTTACTAGCAGCCATAGTCATTTGTGAAAGTAAGATCTTCAGTGTTTCTAAATCTTCATTCTCAAGAAGATCTCTGATATTGGGTAATCTTCATTTTCATCTCGGTCATATACGAAACTATCTAGGACCAGCGAGAAGTTCTCGTACCTCAAAACCTCAAGAGGAACTCTAATGCATCCACGGCATCCTACCTATCACATATCCCCGCTAACTTGAACTGATAGCCAGCCAAGTTGCGGCTTCTTGCCTGCCCGAACTTAACCTACTCATTAAGATCCTTGATTTTTCACTTGTGATCCAAACAGATGAAGTTATACTTCTCAACCGCTCGAGTGTCGATTTTCTACAATGCTAGCAAGACTATTCTCGTCTCCGTATAAATCAACACTCTTGTGTATTCTCAAATCATAAGATTGCGAACATGGCAGCTTATGATACTCTGACCATTTCATCATCAACCTCGTCTCACAACATTCTACGATTAACAGCTCCGGACTCAAGGAGTAATCAATTCAATATGGATACCTTTGAACATGATTTGAATTTCGAGGCGGATGGGTTGCTGTATGTTTGCTCCGGAGGAGTTCCTAGGGATAGAAGATGGAAGAGCATGTATGCTAACGGTTGAGGAGAAGGGACGATGTAAACACAGGAATACCCTCATTACCATTCACACCCTCGTACGAGTTATCTGACGCCTTTTCCACCACCTTCGAAGATCCCTTTTCCTATCACGCCGGACCTTTCGAATCACTTCTTGATGACCCAAACCTAGAAAATAATGGCGATACCAATTCTAGCGATCCCGATAATAAATTACTAGGCTTTGGCGCACCAATAATGAAAGTGCCAACTTTGGATGATAATGGACAGACCTGGCCAGCCATGACTGCAGAATTATACGGAATGTTCTTTGTGGCCGAAGATGTATTTGGTGGTGAAACTGCGAGGAGACCCATGGAATTGACTTGTTATCGGCGGAACCTATTTCAAATCTCTGGAAACATTATCTTATCGAGATCCATTACGAGAATAATAAATGACCAAGGCCAACATGTTCCAATATATAATTTGATTGCGACGATATCTGCTCTAGAAAGCATTGAGGGAAAGAGCACGGAAATTATCAGTGTACCATGGAAGACGGCGAATGCGACGACTTCTGAAGATAGAGCTGGCGCTGCACCACCTCAATGGCCCTTGGACTTGAGCATCAATCCGGAGCTGGATCCTACATGTGTATCTATTCCTATAGCGTGGAAGCGATTGCAATTCAAACATGCGACGGCAAATAATGGAAGAAGGAAAGGATTACAGCAGCATTATGTTATACAAATTAATTTGATGGCTACATTAGCCACCGGGGAAAAGATAAAGTTGGCTGAGATTCAATCCGGGGCAATTATTGTGAGAGGAAGGAGTCCTAGAAATTTTGATAGCAGGAAAGACGTCCCTGTTAGTGATAAAAAGGGAGAACCAAAACCTAGGACTATGAGCAACGAAGTTGGAACGACGGTAAAAGTTGATCCAGCAACCTCTCAGTCTTCCTATCGCTTTTACGCTCCGAATGCTGTCCAAGTATGTCTCACATCACATTTCCATCCCTTTGGTACGCTTTGTGCTTTCGAATACGAAACTAACTTATTCTCAGCAACCACTAGACTTAATACCTGATTGGCCTATCAGTCTCGCATCTTCATCTCTAACACCTGAGCAGCCACCAACTCCTTCACAACGTACAAAGAGGAATTCATCTCATAATCGTCCTCCCATCCCCAAAGCTCGTTGGAAAGCAGATTCTTCGACTGCTAGACCTACGACCCAAAACTCTGCAGCCCCAATAGATCTGTCTCTAGCTGATGATGACGCGGGATATATGAACCCCCAAGTTTCGTCTAGGAATTCATCGGGTCTTTCGGATAGAGATAGGGATAGAGGAATAGGTCAGAGAGGTAATGCCGAGAAAGAGGGCGGAGTGAATGCGAAGACGAGTTCATCGAAGAAAGCGATCAGTGTGGGTAGTCCAGAAGATAATGAGGAGGCACTTTATGAGTATTTTCCATTGAGTCTGGATGATTGGTTAGTTTACTTTTTCCTTTCGGCCTTGAAACGAATCCATCTTTCAAATTTCATTCAAATGCGTCATCTTTGATTCCAAGAATGGAGGCGTCAGGAGATAAGAGCATCGAGTTGAATCGAGGTTACGACCAGTGTAAAAGAGTATGCTAACAAGGTAATATAGGATGCCACCAGTAGATGCGATTTACAGGCCTCACGTTGTACATCATACGGTTGTGCCAGAAGATTTAAAAGCGCAACAGGGAAAGGCCAAGACCAAGAGATACTTCTCAGCAGACGATTGATTCTTCTGAACTTTGGGGAAAGTATGTGTCTGCGAATGGGATTAGCGACTTCATGCCGTCGAGTTTCATCCAGATAGCATGATGATCGTTCACTAAAGCTTATGGTCATTGGAGTGCCCCATCAACGGGGATGAATTGACATTTATAGATATATCTATCATTACATGCAACATCAGAGTGTGTCAGGGCTAGCTTTAAGCAGAAGTCAAACGAAATTGGAGCTGATTACTGTTTTATTCAGTACAGGGCGATGGAAGTGGGAGGCAATCTCCACGAACTACCAAGGAAATTGATCTAATCGAATTAGTGTTGAAATGGTTGAGAGATTGGCAAACGAGGAAGCCAAAGATGATTGAAGCAAGAGAAGCAATGCAAATGTCATGCTCCGAAAATGCGCTCATCATTAAGGCCGTGGAGATTCTGATGGATCGATACACTGTAGAAAGGCAAAAGTTGGCTCAAGCTTTCAAAGCCAGAGTGTAATAAATTCATAGCTACTAAGCACAAAGTCGAGATGAGATCTGCATAAATAACACCAGCATACTTGCATATATACATTCCATCCACGACGCACCACTTCTCCCGGCCTAGAAACTCTGACTCGGGCATCTTTCCACGGCTCCCGGATCAAGGAGATTAAACATAGGAAGACAGCGAACGAAAGGAACCAGGAAGAACTATTAGTGAAGGGAATGGAAGTACATGTTAAAAAAATCCTCGAGGAAAATGTGGTTTAAATACTAGATTGGAAACTGTATCATCAATTGGAGTTTCGGTACGAATGTTTTGATGTGGACCAAATCTTGTAGGCTACAGTGAAGGATTCTCTCGTTCTGGTTTCTCGTTATTTGGATTGGAAGTTGTGGATTATGGATTATGGATTGTGGTGATTGTTATCGGGGGTGAGTAGTCTGAATAGCTGGAGGGCTGGTTGAGGATGGTGGGATGGTGGGATGGATGGGGTTTAACTTTATTTGTGAAGATGTGGAATGTAATCTTAGGATATAAAATGTAGGATTCAGAATGGTACTCTCGTTTGTGTATTGCGCATTGAAGATTGTTCGGTTGCGGTTGTGGTTGCGGTGTCAGTGTCAGTGTCAGTGTTGGTGTCGGTGTTGGCATAGTTTGGGTTGGGTTGTACTAGTGATATGATATGATATGATGTGATAGTGCGGGTGCTTATTTATGTTAGTTAATGTTGATAATTTACATTATTATTATTATTATCAAAGGATAGATAGATAAATGATATTGGATATTTGATTAATCTCTATCTTATTAGACCTAAAACGAAAGTAAAGCTAGATTCTCGAGGGTCGTGCTTAATGAGTGAGTGAGTTTATATTTGGTGTTATGTTAGAGACGGGGAAGGAGGTTGTATTAAGCTTGCTAATGTGTAGGTGATGTAGGATGTGATGAGGACTTGGATGGTTTTTTTATTTTGTTTTGTTATGGGATAAATAAAATAGAATAGGAGAGAACATGATGGGATAGGATAGGATGTGCTGAGGTTGAAGGGTGGGAAGGAAGAGTGAGGTATAGATAAGATTTGTTTATGATGTTTGTATCACCAGATGGATATATAAAAAGTTTGATGGTAGAGAATAGGGAGGTAAAACTCAAGCTGAAGCTATCCAAACACCATCCTTCCGAAAGCCTTTATATCTGTTTGATAATCTTACTCGAAAACATCGCTAGATGCTCAGAGGAGTCGTGGATAAAAGGAGGAATTAAGCATCAGCGCTGCAACGTTTTATATTCTAAAATGTCTGAGTGCGAAATTGCTGTGGATATGGAGTTCTTTATGAGTGGTGTAGAGTATATATACTCGGAGGTAATCATAGAAATTATTACATGACATCTCTTTCAAAAGACCTAGCCGCTCGGTAGGGTCATTATTCCCCCTATTTCGAACTGAAAATACAATTTCTGCTTTTTCTAATTCTTTAGAAATGAGTTGACCTGATAAAACGGTTATATGAAAGATAGATATAGTATAATCTTGGCTTACTTTCGTAAGGAATAGGTAGGCATCATGAACCTACTGCGCGGGAATGCTGACGACATTATATCATCAGACATATGTATATCACCTGCATATACCACAAGTACATAAATTGAAGTACTGCAAACAACTTCTCCGTATTTGCATTCAGACCTCTAACATGAGCTTTTAAAGGGCCAATTAAGTCTTACAATAGCAACTGGAAAAAAGCTATTCCATTTAGTCATCAAACGCGGGGTAGAAAATAAGCTACCGGTGAAGTATCCCGCCCCGCATCCTTAAAAACTACACGATCAAGTTCCATCCATCTAAACCGAAATAAATTCGCTCAACCCTAATTCCTAAACTTTCTATAGCCATACATCATCGAGTTTTATATATAATCAAAGCGTTTAGTCAAAAATCAAAAAGTCCACTGCGATGTGATACCTGGACAAATGGTGGTCTATTTGTATTCGTCGTATTTATCAAATAACTACCGAATATATTGTAAGTATACTCGAGTAACATAATACAATGATCCCCCCAATTGCATTCCAGACCATACATGAATAATTCCACCATCTAGAGTCCTTTTAATCTCCCAGCGATCGATGAGTGACTGGTTAATCAGGCTAATCACCCAATCCGTTGACTACAACATTAGATACACTGACATACTGTCCATTGGACAAAACATACTGATCCGACCATTTATATGATTCCAACGATACACACATATATGCATCTTACGAATCACATCTTTCATATGACTTCTCTCATCTTTACACTGCACATCCACACTCTACACTCCACACCACTAATATATATCTCACACCCGCCACTAGCGAATACCCCACACCAAACTAAATAACTCCCCCGCCAATTTAGTTGTACAACCATACAGATATGCAACAAAGCCATGTGCTCTGAGTCTAAGGTCCAGTTCCCGCTATTTAGTTCGTCCCGAGTGTTTTAGTAGATGCTGTGTGTGGCCAATGGAAATCATCTTTTACCATTGCCGTTGTGGGACAAACCTAATATATGCGTGTCAGGATCACAATGTCACACCTCAAGCATCCAACGACATTCTCAAAAATCTTTTCAAATCACATACAGGGTATTTTCAAAGATTACACGATACTCGCACAAGGGCGGAAGTGCCAAGCCAGAACCAAGAACTCCAGATTCAGTAAATGCCATCATATCAAGCCCAATTTCCCTTCCTGAACGCCTTTGTAATGAATACATCCTTCCATGACCAAGAATGGCTCACATATTTTCGTCATCAACCATATCGAGTATTCTCGCATATTGCACCGTGAGTCTTTGAGAGTCTCGATATTTTCCTGTTGAATGTATTAGCACGTGGACTCTGTAATTATCGGACGGGAAAGCAAAGACTGGTTTACCTAATATTAATACAACTCCTTTCAGGAGCTCTTTCCGGTCCCATCCACACAATTTTTCATCCTCACTCATCCATCCCTCGCCCTTTTCAGCTGCGGAAATATCACTGTTTTCTTGTAAGATGCCACCCATAATGCTGCGTAGAAGTTCCTCAATCTTGTTCTTGAGCCCCTCTGCCCCAAGACGTTTCGCGTACATAAATAAATAGAGACGGAAGTCATCCTTGGCTTGAAGTTGCAAGGCGGCAGCAACGCGATTTTCGAGATGAGCAATGCTAACGCCTGACTCAAAGCCCTCAAAACCATCTTTGGAAAGTAAGGTTTTGATAAGCCGTTGGAGATGGTATGCTCTACCTTTAAGTAGCACTTCGCCGGTAGTATGTCTTTCCAGATGAGGAATGATCCCTGCTGATAGGTTCGAGCTATCAATCTCGCCATCTTTGCGACTCTCGGGGCCGACTCCTGTAGATTGCAGATTACTGATTGAGGAGTCATTGGAGTTCCAATATTGACTACCAACAGCCCACCATGCTTCAGACAATCGTTGCCAAACAAACATTTTAGGTGAGTACACATATCCATCACCGTTGGTTAATGTAACAACGATACGACCAGTTGAGTTGAGATGAGCTGAAGTTACACCCGGAGCAAATGTAGTATGCGTACCCAAGGAGTGCATGGCAATTTCGAGAATAGGGGCCATTGAAACAGGTGGATGTGGCGAAGCGAGAGTTTTCAGATTCCATACATGGCACAGCCCAACAGCTGTGATGCAAAGTAACCACCAGCCTCGGCATTCAATGATAACTGGCTGAGACTCAGTCACGAGAGCATTGAATATTCTTCGACCTGCAGGGGTCCATGTATAGATGCTTCCATCTTCACAGGCGGCCGCCCAAAAATTCTTGTTACCCGTAACTAATATGACAGCTCTTGGAAGGAAATCCTGCCATAATGTAATGCCTCTTTTGATGGTACTGATTCGGCTCGGGTCCTTGACCTGAACAGGCACCGTTACATTCGGATTGCGAGCTTCAAGAATAACATCCTCGGACAGTTTCGCACCCTCATCAGATCCTGCGGCGCCATTACCGTTTGTTGATGCTAGATTGCCACGGTTGAGGGATCTGACGACATGGCTTCTAATTTTTGGTACAGCCAAACGCACTTGACTAACCGACAGCGATGGATTGACAACAGCTGGCCGAATGAATTCCGGGGTTGGAACAACGCCGTTTAGAGGTGGTAGTGGTAAAGCATTCTCCAGCCCACTAACCCCATTGATTGTTATAGGAACAGGCCCAACCACTGGTGTTGATCGCTTGTGGGAATATTCATCATCATCTTCTTCATCACCTTCCATAGCAATAGCTTTCCTTTTGTTGCCTAAGAGCATAGCAGCGAGACCACCTCTCGGAAGTCCATCGTAAGGTTTAGAAAGATCTAGTATTGATACTGGGGCTTCATTCTGAACGTTATTGGAACTCGATGCCATGAGCTGAGATTGAGGTAAAGATGATAATCCTGTACTCGATGCAGAGACAAGTAACGGGGCAACACGCTTCTTGCCCTCTTTTGTAATTGTAACTCGTTGCTTCAAAGCGTCTAGTTTTTCTGCATTAGGATCGGCTGGAGCTGGGGGCTGAGACTCTGCCGGTGGTACAGAACTGCTGCCATTCGTTGCTGGGGCTGCATTGATAATACCAGTCATTGGAGTCGACGACAGGTTCCCATTATTGGCCAAAACAGGGCCGGAGCCTCCCATAAGAGCGCTCATTTTCCCTTCCGTCTTTTGACGTTCGTCGGCTCTGCTTATCTCTTCTAAGTGAATCGACGCAACATCTTCAACAACCCCAGCACCTTTGCGATTGCCACCAAATTTGTTCAAGGCTTTTTCGTTTTCCGTCAACGGTGCAATATGTCCTAGTTCGCCCTTAAGGAAGTGTGCAGCAATTATAGTTCCATCTAAGCTTGCGACGAAAAGGGAAAGCCCATCCGGCGACCAAGCAAGATCAGAAATTGACTTTGCAGCTAGGTGTTGGCAAATTAGTAATGGCCGAGAACTGCTAGTATTCCAGATACTGAGACTTTTATCTTGTCCAGCACATGCAATGACCGTAACCAGAGGATGCGTGCTATAACCGTTTTGGTCCGTAGTTTCTGGAGTAAACTCGGTTTTGCTAAACAAGCGTGGCGAGAAAGTGCAAACCTCCACCGGGCCCTCGTGACCAATTAGATTGATTTCACTATCCCAAGCCCCTCTGTTAACGATCGCTACAGAGCTTACAGGTCCGTTGACCGCGTTTGCTGCAGCTATGTGGTTGCCATCTGGTGACCAAGAACATCGCCGGAAGTATGTCGTAAGAGGCGACGAAGCAAAGGGTGCCGCAATCGAGTGCTCGAAAGTAAAATTATTCATACACTCATACGCAGTAGCGTTAGGTGGCGGTGAGGTAAATCGAAAGAGCTTAATTGTTCGATCGTCACTAGCAGTCGCAAAGTATTTGTTTGCGGGGTCAAATGTGATTCCTTTAACGTGGCTTTGATGAACAGAGAGAGTCTTGAGTTTCTCAAATGTATGCCCTGACCATACAACAATTTTCGAGTCCAGCCCTACGGATACCATGATCGAAGAATCGTAAGACCAGCCAAGATCCTGTACATCGCTATCGTGCCCAATGAGACGCTTAACAATTTTCCAATTCTCTACAGGTGGTGGCTCATTCGTCCCTATTCCTCGTCAGCATATCTTGTTGCCTGGCCGCAGAATTGACGACTCAAAGATACCGAATGATGCAGAATGAGCTGCTGGTTGTGTATCCAATTGATAAATACAAATAATCTTGTCATCTGCTCCAGAAGCCAGCCATCGTCCGTTCGGAGAGAATCGGACAGTATGTATAGTGCCGGAGTGATAGCTCATATGGCATAATTGTGTTGGTATTGCAGGAGGGTTTTCCCCAGCGGCTTCGAGAATTGCCTCTACGGACCAGATTCTAACATGGCCATCTGTTTCCAATATTCAGCTATGCTACTAGAGACTCCAATTTCAATCCGAATTTGCCCTCTTACCTCCAGCAGCTGTCGCCAATCGTTTACCGTCGGGCGATACATGAAGACTGTAGACCTCGTGGTCTCTCTGCTCTCCTAAATGTCGAGGCGCATTGAGCGCAAAAGTTAGCCAACGCGACCTCCATAAAATGACACGACCGGTGCATCTTTATTAATTAATGCAAATATCGACAAACAGACATACCGCTATGAGAAAGCCAAGACGGCTTGATGAATTTCATAGTTTTCACCTATGTCGTTGACAAGGGCAGAATTTCATGTTTAACAATCCCGCTTCAACGTCAGATACACATTCACATAGAGCTAGGAACGCGTCTGCGGGTGCACTTTACTTGCCAGGATTCCTGGAACGTACAACCAATCAAAGCTGATTGACTTTCTTCAAGGAATTACTTTTATCCGAAGATCTAGAATTAATTACCTAAGCATGTAGATGAGTTTACTTACCTACTTGATTTTGTCTTCCCAATCCTGAAGACGTATATTAATGATCATTGTCCATCATAGTTTCCAAATCTTCAAGAGGTTTTCTCAACCCCGCTTGATCATCATAGCCTACGAAACCGAGCGAACTATCATTCTTGCAAGTCTTGTAAGATAATTGGTACGTAAAAAGCGTGTCCAGGATTTGTTCCACCCACTTTGCTCATAGGCTTAGGTCTATTGGGCTCTTTTTGTGCATGTTGAATACCTCTCTATCGCTTTGTCATGCCGACCATCCTAGGATTTGACTTGTAGTGTTGGCGATCAAGGTTTAGCTTGTTGTAACTATCTCATTGAGGCAGCATTTCCTGTCAGCCTCGGAAATGTCCATGACAACGTGGCATCTTATGTAAAGAACCGACTCACACAGCTTAATATGGCATTTATGGAGAACTCAGCAATAGCCGCTCAACACAGAAACAGAGAAGTTCGAGATAATGCCTCGATTTTAAAATTATATATCACTATTGCTAACCCCGCTTTGCTATCATCAAACACCTATGGAAACACATGGAAACAGACCTTCTTGGACTTTGCTAAATACAAAAGAAGACACTCCCAAAGAGTTACATGGAATATCGCCGACCTCTTATCTTCAATGGCCGAGTGGTTTTGTTGCAAGCGGTACTATTTGAAGTGGCTAAAACTTTGAGAGCATGCTGCGAGAACTCAGACCACGCTGTGAGCAGGTCGTATACGAATCTCTCCTCTGAAATTAAGCTGTTAATGAAACGCTGCAGCTCTGCGCCAGATTTTTCTAGCCCCCGCCGAAGAAAATCTTCCAACACTTGCGCAAGTCCGAATACTGTGGGATCGAAGCGATAGCTCGGGGGGAAATAGCGAGAAGCTTCAACGAGGTTGCAGTCAGGCATCAATGTGGTCACACCGCTCAAAGCTGCCTCGAGTGGCGTGATCCCCAAAGTCTCATAGCGTGATGTACAAACGAATATTCCGTGTGTTTGTACATATTCAAACAACGCATACATGTCGTCTTTCGGGATTTTAGAAGTGATCTTGACATGAGCGATATGCTTTTGTGGGACTCGGGCTAATAATCTCGATGATGCTATATCCAAGATCCCTTCACCACCCACTATCAACAACCGCACAGATCTACCACGATCGAAAAGTGATACTGCTGAGTCTATCAATAACTCTACGTTTTTGAAGTAATCTAGACGAGCAACTGCGGTGAAGATCAGAGTTCTTTTGCTCGATGAGAAGGATGTAAGTTTCTCGACATCGCCCATTTTATGCTGACTGTATATCTTCATCGAGTGAATTGGTGGATTGACTGCTCGAATTCGCATGGCATCAATACCTCGTTCCATGAGATATTCACCTTGTTTATTGGAATGCTGTAGAACGTAGGCACGATCAGAGGCTTTTAGATGTCTCAAGCCCTCCTCTTGGGTAGCTTCCAGATGAGAAGCCTTGTTCTCAGAGCCATATGCTATAGCAGCGAGATCTCTTGTGAAGTGGCGAGTAAAGTCGCCATAGAAAGGACCGTGGTGCGTCACGCAATAGGGTAAACGCTTCGGGTGGTATCTGAGGAGCGTGTCGGTTTGGTAGTAAAGCATTGGTGTTAGGCTCTCTGAGAATGTTGCAACGAGTAGAGCTGTGGAGGCGTATAAGGCATATCGAACTTGTACAGTGTTCATGCTGAAGCTGAAAGATAGCTTGACGCATGGTGTTGAGTCCTTTGTCATGAGCTGTACAACTGGCGCCACTAAGTGATCCTGACGATCATAAAGAATCACCCCGCCAAACAGCCCCGCATCCTCAAGAACTCGTATCACTTGTAACGCAAAAGCAGTCGCCCCAACCTTAGCTGCGGAGTTGGTGGAACTCGGATAATAACGATAATTCATAACAAGGATTGCTGGAAGCATTTTATCAAAGGAGGAGATCTTCATACTGCTCGTTGGAAGAAAAGTTGGGGGCCAAGTGGGTAGTTTTCAAGTATTTTGGCAATAGCACAAAGTTTGTGAAATGGTCAAAAACAAGTCTGAGACACGGAAGATGCTACTCGAATTATATAAGATACAGGAAGATAGAGGCAATAGTGACAGTTGCAAGGGGCTGCTGAACTGTATTTGGTGTCCAATTTACTTTCGTCTTTCAAAGGCACGGAAGACTAGGGTCAAGGGCGTTCAGGACCACAAAGAGATGCATGTTGACTATCTCGATCCAAAACGCATTCGATAATGCGCCGAGCTATTATCTCTCACGCTTGCATCAACGAAACACATGGCGGGCCGGAGCGGGGAACAAAAATCCTTTGCCGCACAGCTCCTGCTGTTGATGACAGATGTGAACGATCGGAAATAGAAGTCATGACAGGAGAGATGCTACGCATATGCAAAGCTTGTTACTTTAAGTCGACTCTATTTTCAAGCATCTATTCATAAACTTTATGGCGCAGCACCCACAAATGGGCGAGATGCGAAGGTATGGATAGTGGTGATATGTGTCACGCAGGGACAGTCTAGAGCCTTTCGTGCGGGGACTTGTTATCTATTTCCTGGGATCGTAGCTCGAACAAAAATGACCAGTATCGATAAGCTGAAAAACTGGGATGGTGTAACTTCCCACATGACAAGCGAATGGAAACCAAGTAGACGGGCTTTCATACGTTTCCACACGTGCCAAAAGCAATACGCATACCCATGTGCTTTTTTCTTTTTTGTAAAAAGTTCATTTGCGTCGTACTGCATACCAAAAAAGTACGAGGTATCAGGGGAAAGAAGATTGAATTCCTTTGATGAAGCACGACGTTGCTTTCCCGATTCACCTCCCATAGTGATGTTACTCAAGAATGCAGACAGCCTAAACATACAGTATGTTGTGATTGTAAAACAGATCTGACTACAAGGAAACCTTATAGAATCTACAGGGGAGCTTGGCTGTCGTTGATATGCTAAAGAAAAATTGAGACTCTTCGTATTCAAGTATTGTTGACCAATTTGAGCTGAAGTGGTAGCCTTATGATCATGAACGATTCGCAATGCACATGCATATGGAATGAGCAATAGAAGCAGAAGGATTAAACCGCGTAGAATTACGATTTCTAACTTTCCTCGCGTAAATGCTTGGGCTAGAAATCGACGAGATGCTGTGGTTGTCTCGATTCATGTAGCATGAGGTTGAGCGGAATATCTTCCGGTGTGATTCACGTGACTTGTTTCACTTAACTTGCATCTCAACCTCGCTCTTTCCTCCGTTTACCAGGTATCCGGTTTCACGTTATGCCTTTCTCCTCGTCCCTCTTGAAATTTTGATCACAATGGAGCTTCATCGTAAATTTCCTCAGCACGATAAAAACACAACTTTCGGGTAGTGGGGGCCGATATCATATTCTGGCGTTGCTAAGCTCTCTCCAGTGCAACAGCGAGTGACGAGGTTCAACGGCCGATCTGTTACTCCCGCTTATTCTGGGGTAACCCGCAGAGATCCTATAGAGATAGATGCAACATGATAGAAATAGGGTTTTCGGTCTCAACATTATATACTCTCGTATGATTGAAGTGTGCAAACACGATGTCTACTCGCCTGCTGACAGACTATGCTGGTATCTCCACTTTCATACTATCCCTGTTGTAATTACAAGGCAGGTACGAGGGGATATGATTGCTATTTCTTATCTTGATATAGTAAGATCATGGGGACATAGTGATGTTTTCTTTCCTCATCTTAAACTTTCCTCAGAACACAAATCTCTTCGTCATCGTGTTAAAGTATTGATTCTGAACGATGAGTGTCACGCGATCTCAGACAGCAAGTAGACCTAGCAATGAGCATAGTACTACTTCAACTTACCTCGACACACCTTGTCTATCGGGTGAAATTTCTTTGATATATCGTTCTTTCAAATACAGTTTCTTACAACTTCCTTCAATTACCTCACCGTCTGTCCAATTATTGATAGTTGCGGTCATTTGCCTGCTATGTCCTGGTATGTTCAACGCTCTCAATGGGCTTGGTGGAGCTGGATTAGTTTCACCTGGTCCGGCCAATGAGTCGAACATCGCACTCTACGCTTGTTTTGCAATTGTGGGGTTCTTTGCCGGCTTCATCGTCAACATAGTTGGATTGAAGTCATCGTTGTTTATCGGTGGCATATCATATGTGGTGTACGCTGGAAGCTTTCTTGCTTACAAACACATCGAGAATCGAGGTTTCTTGGTCTTTGGGGGAGCATTTTTAGGAGCATGTGCAGGCCCGTTCTGGGCCGCGCAAGGGGCGATGTTGATATCTTATCCTTCTGATGAGCAAAAAGGACGTTCTACCTCCTGGTTCTGGGCTATATATAATAGCGGAGCTGCAATAGGAAGTCTTGTGAGTAACTTTATTCCTTCATGCAAACCTCAAGCTGACAGTCTGTGAAAAGGTCACTCTGTGTCAAGAACTACAAACGAGCGTTAGCAATGTTGCCTCTGACAGTACATACATCACTATTGTTGCGCTAATGTTTGCTGGAACCGCATTGGCCCTTTGTCTATGCCAACCCAAAAATGTCAAAAGGGAAGACGGGTCTTGTGTTCACCTCACAGTAACTGTTGAAAAAGACTGGCGAAACGAATTTATGCATTTCTGTAAAGTGATCCGCAAAGACTATTTTATCATTCTATTATTCCCGTTATTCCTCACCTCAAATTGGTGCTATCCATACCAATTCAACACCTTCAACCTTAAAACATTCAATATCCGCACCAGAGCTTTGAACAACTTCCTCTACTGGCTATCGGAGATAATAGGTGCGCTAGTTGTTGGCCATACCTTGGATAATGATCGTCTGAGCCGGTCTAGTCGAGCGAAGGGACTTGTCGCCGGACTTGTACTTTTGACATTCGGAGTTTGGACTGGCGGATACATGTGGGAAAAAGGGTTTTACTATCAAACAGATTTCGTCGAAGAGGGCCAGAAAGTGGACTTTGATGATACGGCTTACCTTGGGCCGATATTCTTATATATGGCTTATGGGATTTTCAATGCAATTTGGCAGAATTGTGTATATTGGTGAGCCATGAATCTTATTGTTTGAAAATAAGTATCAACTGACATGTTTTAGGATCTTGGGAAAATTTACGAGTAGTACTCGAACAGCATCAATCTACATCGGCTTCTACAAAGGCATCCAGTCCGCGGGTGGCGCTATCAGTTATCGCATAAATAACTCAGATATTTCTGCAATGAATGAATTCTTAATTTGCTGGATTCTTCTCGCTGTTTCGCTGGTTATAGCGGCGCCAGTTATCATTTATAAGATACGAGATGAGATTGACGAGGAAGAAACCGCTGGAGAAGAAACAGCTACAGAAGTGGGGCTCGCAGAAATTGATGAAGAGAAAGCAAATGCTGTAAAAAGTTCAAAAAATGAAGCCCAAGGGGGGCTTTCCGAAAAAGAGTTGGAAACATCACCAGCGTGATCATTCATTTTTAGGCACATTGGGCGTTTTGATCATGTAAAGATCGATAAATTGGAATTTAGCCAGCGATTTGCAAGTACCTTTAGATCTAGTAGATAATCTTGTCAAAATGCACATGTCAAAACTACACCTGTCAAAAATGCAGTCAAGATAACATAGTACGAGCTTCATGTCTTCTGCGCCAGCCTTCTCATGATTCGTCACACTTTGTATTACATCAACCCCACCTCGGTCGCTCCCAACCGTGAAACATTTCCTATGAGAATGTCGGAGCTGACTTCCTCTTGAATGCCTGAGCGGAAGCCCGCAACTTGCGAAAACGTTAACGTCTTGGAATGTGTGCGATGGGCCGCACTACCGGATGATGTAGAAAGCCGACGGTCTCAATACGCTCCTTTCGTTGCCGACCGCGAGGGAAACAGTCAGATGTAAGATCTTAATTAACGGGAAGGATGATCATGCACCAGAAGCTTAATCTCATATGGGAGTATAGGTAGGTAAGTTTGCAACCATGCATAAATTATCAGATAAGGACAAGTCAAGATCCTAAAGCTGATGCAGGGAGCCTCTATGCATAGAGATAGTTTATGTCGTGTTTGGGGGGCCATTCCAAGATTCCACTTTAGGATTCCGGTGCTTGGTACTACCAATTTAGATAAACATGTGGCTCTGAGCACAGTTATCCAGTTGTTCAAAGTGCTGAAATCCTGACTAAGATGTTGGCGCAGCACCGGATATACATTCGCGGTTCCTAATGTGCTTAATATTCGACCGGGAGCTACACACTTGCCTTGGCTCGGAGAATATATTACTACCGCTCGAACACGGAGATTTGCATTCAAGTGAAGAAATACACTTGAATTTTGCCCCACAAATCGAGGAATATACTGCAGGAAAGGTGCGTAAGGGATGGTGCGTCTTCCAGTGATAAGAACATATTGATACAAACGACGATGACGACGAACAAGTTGTCTCCATCTATTGCTATTTTTCGACAAAGGCAGAGAACAACCCACTGAGCTGGATATTTACTCCTCCCATCGGTAGAGTGCAAAAGTCCGATGGGGAATCGGAGGCAGGAAGCGGGCTTCTTGAGGATATTTTCTATTGTTCCTGATTATCAGCCTATTTTCGTCCCAGATAGTTGGGAAGATTGAAGAAACGCCGTATGCTTTGCTTGCTAACAATTCCAATGGCGGAACAGAAATTAGCGATCGAAAATACTAATCTGTTGGAGGGGCAAGACAGCAGTGTCACGGGAAAATGATGCTTTAGACTGTTTGGACTGCACACAAACACATGCACTCCGAAGATCACTTATTTCAAGTAATGCCTAATGATTATTGAACCCCTCGACTCGTGACTCTAGGGATGGGCGCTTTACGTAAAGCAGGGCTAGATTATAGTAAAGCATAATAAGGATACAGCATTATTATTATATGCTTTATTTCTTGAAAAAAGCTTAGTCATACTATTAAGCCAATCAATATAATAGGATTTTTTTAAAATTATTTTGATATTCACTACACCTCAACCATTCATTTTTGAAGAATAACCTTATCCACCATACCATCGATAACGCGAATATTCACTTCGTGGAATAGCCTAAACGAAGATATACTAACGTGGTTTATCAGCGAGCGGGCCATATCACCGAGCGGGCCACTTTTACCTCAATTTATCATTTCAAACCCATATTATTTAACAACAATTAAATCAATTGATTGAAACTATCAAGAATCTAATAATCTAGGATCTATTATACTATTCTGACAAGTTCTTGAATTATGACCAATCTTTTCACACTTACTACAGCATCGACTAATAGATGATTCTTGTAACGATACTGTACTAAAGGCAGCGGCTGCCTAAGGTTCGTCGGTTGGTAGTTATAGGTTAAGGCTTTATCACTGGTATTCACTTGAAAGTGAATTCGTTACTAGATCAAATAGAATGTAGGTAAACTAATTGATAACTAAGTTGAGCACGAAGCTCCTAAACTATGAAACTACTCTGACTATATAATGAACGAAGAAGGGAGCCCCCAGGAGCTTTCTGGCTCCTCAGGGCTCCTTATCACGTGATTTCTGATGGTGCGTGCGCATACGATCTTCAGGTGACCAAGATCACATACTAATTCGATGAAATCTGATCGTGTTTGCACAAGGCCTAAGCTCTCCTAATTAATCAGTTTGCTACCATCGTAACACCATCAATCCTAATGGTGAATCGTGACAAGCTAGTACAGTTTCAAATATAGGTGTAGGGGAGCTTGATTGATGACGAGCCATTCGAGATTTCACTAAAGTTAATTAAGAAAGAGCTTCAATTGGATTGTGAGGAGTTTGAGAGATCCAAAGATTTAAATCGAAAGGGGGGGGAGTAGATGTATGAATTCGAATATCTAATTTTGAGAGTATAGCTTGAGGGTCAAATGGTATTAGACCTATTCCTCGAAAGCCAGCTTTCATATTCTGAGAATTGATTGATTATTGATATACAGCTTTGAAAGCTATAAAGAATTCAACTTTAGTGATATAATTGATATATGTGTGACCAAAAGGGTGTTTATAGACCAGCAATTGTATTTAACTTAGAATCTACAGGTGAAGAGCACCTGTAGATGGGGATAGCTACTCTATATATACACAAATGAATGGCCTAGCCGCAATGGCTAGGCAAAAAGAAGTCATATTTATTCCTCCAATGATCTTACTTTACCGATAACCATTGATACCTAGTACTTGTCCGGATCTGATCCTCAGGTCACCTAAATCGCATACTAATCTCGAGTAATCGTATCATGTGTGGACATGGTTAATGTACCTGAGGTTTCTTATATAATAAGGGTGGGAGGAAAGCAGGGATTTCCGTCACAAACATTCGATATTTACTCTTTTTTTAACGAATAATATATTTATCGAAATACTTTAATTATTTTAGACCTATTTCATTATTCATCCATCCATTGGAAATAGATTTAATAACCTAATCCACAAGAAAATTGATTTCAGTATATCAATTGGAAAGATGAACTTGTTGTTACGAGGTTTGCCGTCTAGATCACGTAGAAGTGCTCTAGGCTCTCGAGGTGGTTTATAACTAGGCGTCAAGCAGGGACTTAAAGTAATGACAATAATGCAATTCGTAACTAATAGTAGAGTATACTAAATGATTGATCTTGAGCACGAAGCTCTATACAAAGGGAATCCATCTTGATTATATAGACCATCGTGGCATGCGTCCCAGTGCTCCCAGTTGTCCCAGTTGTACTGGGACAGCTGAGCCTACTGGGATCCTCATATCACATGATGCTAATCACGTGATGTTAGGTGTGTGAGATCCGTCGTAACACTTGTCCTTGAACTACCAAAAATGAAGGTATAGTTTCACCCTCTTCATTGCTATATATAATTGCCGTAGCCCACTCTCGATTGCCTGGTTGTATTGCCTTGCTTCTGCCATTTCGTTCAGCATTAGTTACAATTATTCCAGGGCATATTATACCTATTATGAAGCCGGTTTCATCGAAGTTGTAGAAATCGGAATCGATAATACTATATTTCATTTGTATATTCGATATCAATCGAAACCATTCTTCAATAAGCTTGGGATCTTCGCAAAGAGCTCTTTGAAAGTCATAAATACGACTAAAACGTGTCTTTAATTTCGTATGACGCTTTACGAATCGATAAGCCTAGAGCTTTCCAACCTTCTTCGCCCTCCGCGATTCAAGAATAGATATGGTGCACTCGGTGTTAAACCACGTTAGTGCTTCACATAATGCACGAACTTATCAATTAAATCCAGTATTAATTGATCTTTAAATTATATATAATTTAATTCTAATTTATAGTATTGTTGTAATTTTATTTTAATGGAATGTGGGCAATTGAGGTAAAAGTGTACAGGGTCCTGATATGTACAGGGTCCTGATAAACCACATTATTACATATTATAAAGCGCGTTCTGTTATTATACTTTATATAGTTACATTTTGCCCAACCCTACATGACTCTGACATAGAATTTGATTGCATTAATGACTGCAAAAGACCTTGACAGTTGTCTGGTGCACATTTTGAGATTAATAGACATCGAAATGTGCACCTTGTAATTAAAGCGCAAAATGTTTGTAACTATGAACTACAAGTCCACTCTAATAAATGAGGGGAATAATGGATCACTTTGAGAGGCGGAAATTAACTTTGATGGCGATATCCATTGTTCAATCATTTCCAAGCAGTATGAGATTCTGTTGGAAATGGCCCCATTGAAGTTGGTGAATATTTTTGAACGGCTAGACCAAACAAAACGAATATAACGAACTATCACGTGATAACGCGTTATGACTTCCTAATCGGCATCACGATAAGCAACGCGATTTGGTGAACGTCAATAAATGCGACAGCCTCAAATGCAAACAATTAACACAATAACAACACATAATATGCGGCGGAATGTCGGACGATGAATATGGAGATATTGATGCAGCTGTTTGGGACGAGGCCGAAGCATTAACGCAAGCATCACAAACACTGCCATCGAATTTCCCCCATCGTAGAAAACGAAGGCGAATTGGCTCCGAAGAGCTCGACGATGGTTTTTTAAGTGGGCGACGACGCGGATCGCATGGCTTTTCACGTAGCGATAATGATGAAGCAGACGAAAAAAAGTCCAAATATAGGATACATCTCGGTGCTGAGGAAGTACCAGCGGCTGTCATAATGGGCGCCACACAAGCAGATGAAATGCCAGACTCAAGCCCTTACAGAATCAGAGGGCCTATATACAAAAGGCCTAGGCGCTCTCCTCCAATGGAGCTAGAGCAAAAGTCTTCGCCAGCACAGCCTTCTATGGTTGAATCTGCCAAAACTCAGAAGCAGAACATTGTTCACTCACCCCAACCTACCGCGCAATACGATTTCTCTAGAGAGCTTGAGGACCTGCCCTCTGATGCTTTTTCACCAAGCCCGCCACAACTTCGCATGTCAAGTATCCCAATCACGATAAGCTCATCGCCGCCATTGGAGTCAACACAATCAGTTCGTTCTCAGCGGTTAGCTGCACCACAAAATGGCCTTCGCCAAACTACACTCTTTGGTGGGCGTGCTCCGAACCAGGTACCGTCGTCCACTCAGGCCAAAAAGGTGCATAAATATTTGGTAGATAAGGTGCCAGAGCCTCCAACACATCATACTCTGGACGAAGAGGCTATCAAAACATGGATTTACCCAAATAATCTTGGTGCAGAACGGAGGTATCAGTACACTATTGTACACAAAGGTCTCTTTAACAACCTACTGGTAGCTCTGCCAACAGGTCTCGGGAAGACCTTTATCGCCGCAACCATCATGCTCAACTTTTTTCGGTGGACGACGGATTCACAAATAGTCTTCATGGCGCCTACAAAACCTCTAGTGTCTCAGCAAGTCAAAGCTTGCTTCGAGATTGCGGGTATACCGAGATCATCAACAACTATGCTCACAGGAGATCAGTCACCCGCTCTAAGAGCCGAAGAATGGGCTGAAAAGAGAGTATTCTTCATGACACCGCAGACAGTCGAGAATGATCTAAAGACTGGTATAGCCGATCCCAAGAAGATTGCGCTAATAGTTGTTGACGAAGCACATCGAGCAACTGGCAATTACGCTTATACCAAAGTTGTGCAGTTTTTACGGAGATTCAACGAGAGTTTTCGTGTACTTGCTCTAACGGCCACCCCTGGATCAAGCGTAGAAGCAGTCCAGGAGGTAATTGATAATTTAGAGATTGCAGAGGTCGAAATTCGAACGGAAGACTCCATAGACATCAAGGAGTACGTACACCGACGAGACATAACTGAGATCCTCATAGACCCTTCCGATGAAATAATCATGATAAGAGAACTATTTAGCAAGGCACTTCAACCACTTGTCAATCTACTATGCTCGCAAAAAGCCTATTATAATAAAGATCCTATGGGACTGACTCAATATGGCATGCTCACAGCTAGAAAGGCGTGGATGGCATCTGGTGCAGGTAAGTCTGCACAAATGAGTATCAAAGGGATGATGAATGCTTTATTTACGGTGTTGACGAGTATGGGTCATGCAATAAAACTCCTCAATTTCCATGGGATTGGGCCATTCTTCTCGAACATTAAGGACTTCCGAGCGGAGGTCGAGGGAAATAAGAAAGGCGGGAAATACAAAAATCAAATCGTCAATTCCCCCGAGTTCAAGAAAATGATGGAGAGGATTCAAGGCTGGATTAATAAAGAAGACTTCATTGGCCACCCGAAGCTCACTTACTTGTGCGATACGGTATTAAATCATTTCCTTGATGCCGGCGCGGGGTTGATGGGTGACAATATGCCACCTTCAAGCACTCGAGTAATTGTCTTCACCGAATATCGAGATAGCGCAGAAGATATAGCACGTGTACTCAACAAACATGGCCCCATGATTAGAGCATCTGTCTTTGTAGGCCAAAGTGACTCGAAGCGGTCAGAAGGCATGAATCAGGAAAAGCAGCTGGAGACCATTCGTAAATTCAAAGCTGGAGGCATAAATGTTATAGTTGCAACCAGTATCGGTGAAGAGGGTTTGGACATTGGAGAAGTCGATCTAATCGTCTGTTATGACTCTTCATCGTCCCCGATTAGGATGCTACAACGAATGGGTCGTACAGGGAGAAAGAGGGCTGGTAAGATCGTTCTTCTCCTCATGCGCGGAAAGGAGGAAGATTCATATAAGAAATCTAAGGACAATTATGAGCAGATACAGAGGATGATTAGTTCTGGGTCTCGCTTCACTTTCCGCCACGATTTATCTGCTCGCATTATTCCGAGAAAGGTCAAGCCTGAGGTGGACAAACGTTTTATTGAAATTCCTCTGGAGAATACTCAAGATCCATCTTTACCAGAGCCTAAACGACGTGCTAAACCTAGGAAGAAACTAGCTAAAAAATTTCACATGCCTGATGGTGTTGAAACAGGTTTTCGCAAAGCCTCGAAGCTTAATAGTAATGCCGAAAGCCCTTTAACGAAATTTGGTATCAAGCGAAAACCCAGTGAGTTGAATGATGATGAGCTGGCGCCAGTACCATTGCTCGACTCTGTGTTACTAAATGCGAAGGATGAAGCAGAGCATAGTCGTCGTTTTCTGAAAGTACCGGATGGTGCTTTGGAAGAAGTCGGGATGCCTGACCTGACAGCTCAACCAATCACACAACGAACTCTAACTCGGACAGCTAAGGTATCACATGGAAAATACACCAGAAGTTGTGTCAGTCTGTTCAACAAGCTTTCGAGACTTCAAAGACCGGAGGATCGCGATAACAAGCCATACGGAGATGAACCGCCGTCTGACTTCGGTAGTATACCTACTATGCCATTAGAAGCGGAAGTACGTGCTAGAGCTCCTAAAGCCCCAAAAGCTTCAGATCCCGCACAAGTTGTCAAAGCTTCTAGAGTCGCCAAAACGACTTCCGCTCTCAAGAAAGCGCCTGCAAGTAAAAGGGTTGCACCCAAAAAGGCTAAACCACGTCGTGGTCGCGCTCTTCGGAATGATAACTCTGACTCAGAGGATAGCACCGCATCCATGGCTATGGTATCCAATCTCCGCTCTTCTCAAATTCCACAACCAACACCAGATTCCGATGAAGAAGGACCAGGTGAAAGAGTCGATAGGACAAGTGACATGGAAGAATTAGAAGCGGATGACGATTCGGACTTAGGAAGTTTAGTCGACTTCATCGATCCCACGCAAACGCAAACTCAAATACCATTAACAGGGACATCCAATTTTTCTTCAAGCCCGCCGCTGATGGAAACGTGGGAGGATGAGAGAATAAATGGAAATGCTGTGGGTGGTAGAAGGGGAATGCTGCCAAGAGCCGTGGAAATGACTGGAGCTAAGAATTCCTCCTTCAAGAACGGTACGATGACTCAAGAGAGTAGTGATGGTGGTGATAGTATGGATAGTGACTTTCCTACTATTGAAGATCTCGTCAGAAGTGATACTACTACTACAACCACGAGAAAAATCGCAGATCCACCATCTAGCAGCGTATTCAGCAGCGGGCAAAAAGCAACACCAAATATGTTTACGAGGAAGAGGGATGGTGATGTAAGAGGGAGGGGATTGAAGCGGAGAGTTGTCGAAAGTGATGATAGTGATGAATGATGTTGAAATATACATATGAATACATACATTATCCTTTTTGGAATTTGCTACGGAATGGTTGACTTAGCGTTGGTGTTGCTGGGTGTGTTGCTTGCTATATATAGGGCTGTCATCATGTATTCATGTAATTAATGGCAATGTGGTAATGTGCATTATATATTTGAAGAATTGAAGTAGATATTGAGATGTTTTTTTGGCAAGTTTCCTGTGTATTGGGGTTCTTCAAGTTTTACATGCAATTATTGTTCATTGTCTGGTCGTGAAATACTATATATGTACTTAATTCCTAAAACTTCGAGATTTGGTAGGCCCTTTCTCGCTACTTCTCTTATGTACCCACGAGTCGAATCGGGGATGGGAGTGACATTCATTTCCTCCACCACATAGCACTCCTAAAAAGCACACCATCCCAAACTTTAATCCCTCCACCCTCTCCTCTCCCCAACCCATCTCACTACATACACTAACGCTAGTAAAACCGGCACCTCAATCACTGTAGAAAACATATCAGTAAGAACATCCTCACGATACCACTCATCTTAAGAATTACATACACGGACCCACAGTAGCCGCTAACGCCTGCTCACTATCAGCACCATAGGTCGCAACCGCGACCGCAATAGCTAATTCGAAATTATTGCTCGCGGCGGTAAAACTCTGCGTCGTAGCTACCTTGTACCCGAAACCCATCTTGGCACAGATAAATAGAGTAAGGAAGAAAATGAGTGCGAAATAGACGATTAGGGGTGCAGCGACGCGCACCACGGAGACGATTTGCTGGATAACGTGTTGGCCCTGACTGGCGAAGAGGATGAGGATGGTGGCTAGGAGACCGAGTAGTGAGAAGGGAGAGAGGTATTTGAGGAATTGCGTATCGTACCATGCTGGGGAGGTGAGGTGGCGGAGGAGGAAACGGGTGAGGATTGCGGCGGCGAGGGGGATGCCCAGGAAGACGGCGACGCTGGAGGCGATGGTTGGGTAGGAGAAGTGGGGGTGATGTTTGGAGTGTGAGATAACCGAGATGAAGAGGACGGATAGGGGGGCGAAGAGGATCATTTGGAGGAGACTGTTTATGGCGACGAGGATGGCGCAGTAGGATGTTGAGCCGCCGGCTAGACCGGTCCATATTAAGACCTTGGGGGTGGTTAGTGTGTTAGGGTTGAGGAAGGGGGCAGAGGTGGGGGGTGGAGGAGGAGAAATACCATTGCGATACAGCGGGCTATTCCGACGAGGATTAGACCGGATCGAAGCTCTTCTTTTTCGGGTAGGAAGGCCCATGCTAGTGCTAACTGATGTGGATTTTCGTCAGCTATTTGTATGGAACATTCGTACTCAGAAAGGAAGAGAGGTATAAGTACCATTACCAACGGCGCAACAATCCAATTAAATACTAAACTAAATCCAATCTGAACCCAAATATCTTTTTTCTGAAAGACGAGGTGCAATGTTTCGAATTTGACTTTGCAAAGGATTGGATACATCATTGCTAATAAACACACAGCTAGATATCATTCCCGTTAGCACATAGAACAACCCAACACATACCAACAACTTCCCAAATCATCGTCTCAAGTGGCTTCAATATCACTCATTACACTCCTCCACAATAAAACCACCAAAAGAAAAGAAGAGGAAAGGAAAACCAACCAATCGGCACACTAACCCCCACAAACTCTCCCTTCTGCAACGCAGGTCCCGTATTAGGCACGAAATTCCCCAATGAAATACCCACAGCCATAGCAAGAAAGATCCACAAAGCAAGGAGACGATCCAGCCAGCCTAGACCTTTAAACAGAGAAGTTTTCTTGTGATTATTTGTTAGAACATCATTTGGAGATTGAGTCTGGAGATGAGAGGTTTTCTCTATATCTACAGAATGAGACGGGAGATCCGAGGAGGATTTTTGGAGTTGGTTGATATTTTCTGAGGGGATGATATCTTCTGAGGGGAGGACTTTCGTCATATTGAGTATATGTATGTATACCTAGTACGTAGGTAGACTTTCGATAGATCAAAACACTTAAAAGTTTTTTGTTGTTGGAAGGGGAATTTGAAGGTTTGGGGGACATAGAAATCGTAAAGATTGAAAAGATATAAACTTTATGAAGAAATAAACTATATACTATAACAACTTTATGTTTTTTATAGGAAACAAAAAGTAAGAGTCTTGCCTCGATGTCTCCCTACACTTTTGGCGAGGGTAGCTTTGACCAATCAGAGCGAAGTAGTGACATTTATGAAGGGTTGAGGCGAAGTGGGGCTAAGGACATGTGCATGTCACTTGGAGAATGCAACTTGCTATTCGCATCGAACAAGAGCTCTATGATAATAATGTTGATATTAAACTTCTAGGCGATTACGTGAAGATGCAATCTGAGAAGGGACATCACTCTGTATTTTCATTTTGCTACTTTAACAGTACAATAGTTTGTGGTAGAACAATAATCGAACAGAAAGTAAGTCTGGTGATTTGTTAGAGCTATCAGTGTCGACTCACGACTTCAATGCAATAAATTCATTACAACGTTAATCGTTTAAGCGTAGGTATGACGTGTATCAGAGGGCTGACACAGACTGTGAAGGTATGCATAAAAGGAAAAGGCGCGAAATGATAGACGAAAAGAAGGAGTTGGCGTGCTTCGAGTGTTTTGACAACGAGATTGCAAAAGTCCACCCATAAGATCCCCCCAAATGGTGACAAGCACTGGTTTTGAACTTTCAAGAAGCGCCACGATATAATGCACAAACGCGGATCAACCAAGTTTCGAGCGACATTCGAGACTGGAGTGAAAAGAAATTTACGATGGGAAGAATGGTATTTGTTAACCATGAGGTAAGCCACCTCAAAACCTGATATGCTTCATGTCATCAATGTCTAGTTTACAGCGCAAGGTATAATTAAAATCATCCATTTAGTTGACCTGGGTTCCATATCCCCGGATTTGTTCAGCTGTTCAACCGTTAGCATGTCATGGTGCAATGTTTGAGTCTTGAAATCTTACCAAAAGCCCAACTCTGCTTCTCCAATTGCTCATTTTCCTTCAAATCGATACCTTCTTTCGTGATAACCGCAATCGAATACTTGTCCATACTCCTCGCATCTCTGTAAAACAAGACCTTCATGCTCTCTTTGATTGCCTCTAAAGCTGCCTCCTTGGTCAACTTCGCAGTAGCCTCCTCATCTGGCGCAACCTTTCTTAACAATGGCTGGGCCAAATGTGCACCGAATCCAGTTGCCAAACTTGGTGAAGAGAATGTTGTACCCAGTAAATCGGCGCTCGCCAAGAAAGGCTTATCATGTTCATCCAATCCTGCAACCAGTAAGGTGTTCCATAACGGATTGAAATCGGATCGACGCTTATAAAGGACTTTGGAGAGGTATTTGTGGAGGTTACGGGCATTGAGTGTGTGGCCTGAAGCGCTGTATGCCTCTTCGGTATCGAGGGATTGAAGAAGTCGGTCTAAATATTGCATGTCGGATACGTCCCCTCCAAAACCAACAACGGATGTATCTGCGAATTTTCGAAGACGTTTGACATCTGTGAACCGCGCGAGAGAACCATATGATGCTAGTGGAAACGTTAGTAACATGTCTTTATGGCAGTAATGAATCATGCGCTGTACCCAAGTTATCCGCTGCAATTACAACACCATCTTTGAATTTTAATGCCACAACGGATGTGCCAGTGACAATGGGTGATTGGGTGTGCTGATTTGGTCCGTTTTGTTGAAGATATGAAGCATCGTATGCACCGTAGATATCATCTCTAGGCTGTTTGAATGGTCAGTAGCTCGAACTTATATTATTTTGCGTGTGTATTTGAACTTACACGACCCCAAGCTTGTGGAAGGTGATTCATGATGTGTAAATAGTCTGGGGATTTGAAAGGGTTGTTGAAGTATTGTGGTAGCTTCAAAAGTTCATGGGGTAAACGATTGATATTGATAGATAGATAGTGTTGGAGCTTGAGGAAGCTCTCGTTGTTCCAGGCAGCTCGGGACGCGCCTTTCGCAACCTGAGGCCGAACTTCGGGAAATAACATGACCTTACCCAGTAAAGTAGGTTATCCGGAGTGTATTAAGAACTATACTAGCTATTTAATTAATCGTCTTTTTTTTCAATTCAATTCTTACTTTGCAATAATTATGGCAGGTTTGGTAGATTATGGAAGTAGTGATGAGGAGGGCTCTGTCCATCTAGATATTCCACAAAAACCTTCAGACGTAAGTTGAGCTTTTTATTGCAATTGTCATCCAAAAATGGTCGCTGACATCACAGGTCATAGACTACTGAAGGTTCACTGTTGGATAACCCTAATGCGGATGGTACAACGGAAGGTACGCAGAGCTTACAATTTGATCCCTAGCCCTTCTGACTCCTCGACAGATGTGCAGGCACATGCAACAGAGCTTCCATCCGCAGAAAACTCACGGACGATTGAACTACCAAGCAATCCAAAACCAGACGATCCTCTCGTTGGACCTCAATTGGGACCAGCTGAGGCAACTCAGTTTCCAGAACTAGAAGATGCTATGAATGAGGAACGAGGGGGAGAACCGCAATCGCCATACTCTGCGAATCGAGCTCTATTACGAGATCTCACCCTCCCGACAGTTCCCAATTACGATATTCCTCCTTCACCACCAGGTTCACCAGTAGCCAGTACGAATGTGAAATTCAAGCACTTCCTCGAACTCAAGAAGCAGGGTACACATTTTAACGAAAAGCTTGCAAAATCGGCGGCACTCAAGAACCCGAGCTTGATGCAGAAGCTCATGGACTTTGCAGATATTGACGAGGCAGAACAATATTCAACAACCCTTCCTAAAGACTTATGGAATCCTGCTGGCTTTCCTGAGTACGCTTACAAAGAAGAACTTGCAAAAAGCCAACAGAATATTTTGAAGGGAAAGGAGGAAAAGAAAGCCCGAGGGCAGAGGGAGGCTTTGGATTTCGTACCTGCAACAAACCCAGTCGATGCCGGTCGTGGTGGAGCTCTTCATACAGGCGGTATTAACGTAAAGGGACAACAAAGCACTGCTGAGCGTATAATGGCAGGACTCGATAAGGGCAGGTCGAACTCACCTCACACACAAGGTGTAAAGAGAAAAACCAGATTCGAAAGTTGAAATAACGGTCAATTTTAATATGATCTATTGAACGTTGGAAGAAGCACAATATTTCAAGCGCCGAGTCAATGAGGACGAAGCATGACTCTGGGTCTTTATCTAGAAGTAGACATGGACCGAAAGGAAAGCCATGAGATCCTTGGGACATTTAGCACTCTCGGGATTTCGACATCGGTAATCTCTTGAGGCAAAGTCCTGGTTGGTATGGAATGATGAAGAGACTATTCTTAGAATAGCGCGGTAGATATTTCAGATCACTTCTGATTTTGCTTTACCATTTATATCCTCACAAGGCATGAGCATATACACATATCACGAGATGTGATACTGGACTAATGATAGATGCGGGAGAGGGAGCAGTTGTAAATAGGATTGTTTACGATTCTTGAGATATTTAAATCTGGTGATGTTGTATTTGTTAAGGGCGAGGTATCGAAAACAATTAGTCCTCTGATCAATATTTATCAACAATCCGTCTTGCACATGACTTCGACATTGACTTATAAATGAAACTCCACCGACCATATGGCATTCTAGACATCATATCATATCATATCATATCATATCATATCATATCCACATTGATTTAGTTCCAGTTCCACTCTAGCATGGGGAAAAAGTGATTTTACGATGATGACGTCTGCCCGTGCGTAGAAGAAAGGAAAGACCAATTTTCTATTATTCTGTTCTCTCTTTGAAATGTCAAATTTGATATCATTATTGTTGATCTTGTAGCAATAAAGTAAATTTGTTGTTGATACTAATCTTAGCCAATATGCGATAACTTTTTCTACTACAGCCGGTATTTGTATTGCTGCCTTGGGAATTTTTTTTTCTAATATTAAAATATTAAAACTGTGCTTAAATTTCATCAATACTGTCTACGATGAGTGAATCGGTTGGCGGGGTCTGGATGTATTGATTCGATCGACACGTTTTATTCTATCGCTTCTAGGCAGGAAAGTCCCTGGCTTTTAGATCTCCGAGCCCCAGCAAATGTTAGTGGAGAGAGATCCGACGACTCTCACGTCAACCATTTTGTTTGATTTTCGAAAGAATCCAAACCCAAACTTCCTAATCAAAAGAAAATATACTCCTCGCACAAATTGATAATTATTTGAATTGCTACATATACACTTACTTCCATTGATACAATCGCAAAATTCGGCATAAATCTTACACTTCAGCTCAAGTTAACCCATTACTTTCATCAGAGTAACTCAATTACCTCGAATCGCATCATAAATCAAACCGAGCTTCAATTTATACCAAGATGCCTTCTAAAGGAGAGAAAGGCAACCTAAAGCGGGATAGAGTGCGAAATGAGTTCCTTCCTAATAATCAAGAAGTTCTAGAAGACTAATATATCGGTTCACTGTAGGCAGGAACGATCGAAGAGAGCGAATCATACAAAAAACCACGTCGATCCGAAAGACTCTCACAACCAGGTCATACCCCAATCTCGAATAAACAGCACCTGCCTTCGCCCATTACAAATTTAGAATCTTCTTCCTCAACCAATAGTTTGAGAGATGGCACTGCAACTCCTCCAGAGGGTCGACCGAGCCAGATTCAGCATAGAACTCCAGAACCAACTGACAATTTCGGTTCAAAGGCGCAAATTTTCTCATCTCCCATCGCCAAGTCTCAAGCAAAGACTCAAGAATTCAGTCAAACCCAAGAACTGAGTCAATTGCCAGCAGAAGATGAGGAAGAGGAAGGTGTTTGGGGATACTTGATGCCTCTCAATTACAAATACGGAAGGCTCCTTGTTTTACGGAAGAGAAATGCCTGTCCGTTACCAGATAAGAACAGTGACCTTGGGAACCCTGGTAAAGACAAAGATTTAAATAAGGAAGAAGATGCTTATGAAGCCACTAAGTTTAAGGGAATTGCTTCGGGTGGATATTTGATCGGACGGCATCCGGAGTGTGGTAAGTGAACTCAGACAATCAGACGAAAAAGTGATATTGATAATCTTCCTAGATCTCGTCATTGATGATATCAGGGTCTCAAATAGGCATTGTCTCATGTTCACCGAGAATCAAGCAGGTCTGAATGTTGCCGTCATTGAGGATTTATCAAGTAATGGCACTTTTGTCAACGAGTGTGTGATCGGACGAAACAAGCGTCGGCAACTCGAAGATGGAGATGGGATACAGATATTGAATGATGCCAGGTTTGTCTTTCGATACCCGAAGCTGCGGGAGACCAGCAAATTCTTGCAAAAGTACACAGTTCTAGAAAAGCTCGGGTCAGGTCATTATGCAACAGTTTATTTATGCGTCGAAAAATGTACGGGTCAACGTTTCGCGGTCAAAATATTTACAAGAAAACCGGGGGCAGGGGAAAAGCAGAGGATCGAAGGTCTACAACAAGAAATCGCAATACTTATGGGTGTCAGCCATCCGAACATGCTATGCTTGAAGGACACCTTCGATGAGCCCGATGCGACCTACCTCGTTTTGGAGCTTGCGGCGGAAGGAGAACTATTCAACTGGATTGTTAAGAGGGGCAAACTTACAGAACAAGAAACAAGAAAGGTCTTCGTTCAGTTGTTTGAAGGCTTAAAGTACCTGGTGAGTACTTTCTCCGGCAACAACCATTTATTGACCCTGGTTAACTCATCAAAAATAGCATGAACGTGGTATCGTACACCGAGATATCAAACCCGAGAATATTTTAATGACCGATGAAGATCTGCATGTAAAACTTGCAGATTTTGGTCTATCAAAGATTATTGGAGAGGCTTCTTTTACGACTACGCTTTGCGGCACTCCAAGCTATGTGGCGCCGGAGATTCTTCAAGACAACAACTATCGACGATACACACGTGCAGTTGATATATGGTCATTGGGAGTTGTTTTATACATATGCCTCTGTGGATTTCCACCCTTCTCTGATGAATTATATACTCGGGACAATCCTTATGATCTCAAAGCACAGATCAAGATGGGTAGATTTGACTATCCTTCTCCGTACTGGGACAATATTGGCGACCCAGCACTAGATCTTATTGATCATATGTTAACGGTTGATCCGGAGAAGCGTTATACCGTTGATGAGTGCTTGGCGCATCCATGGATGACACAAAAGACTACCAATTTCCACGATAGTACCGATGGTCTAGTTGGCGGGCTTGCAAATCTCGACTTTAGCAGGCGCAAGATAGTGAGAGAGAGAACACTGCTAAGCGACATAAACGAAGTCAAGGTTTCCAAAATTATCCACATTAATTCTGACAAAGAACCTGTCAAAGTATACGTCAAGAATCCAAACGCCAAACACTGTATCAACCAACCCGCCAGTCAGAAAGAACCAATGCAAAACGGGCCCAATAATGAAGAGGCACCGGCAGCTAAACGAGATCCAAACGAGTTCATTGAGATGGGCGGTAAGGGTGACCAAACTCTGTTTGACAATGATGGGGAGAGCATCTATCCAGAGGATGTAGTGGCGAAGCCTAAGTCCCCCGAGCTGGAGGCGCCAGCATCCAAAACTCCCGTGTCCAAAACCCCACAGACCAAAACAACAAAACTAAACACTCCGAAATCTAAAACGCCGAAGAAGACGGGCAAATGAATGAACTAATTATGCTAAGCGACTTCGGCGATGACGGGATTAATCTTTTCTGCACAGTTATGCACTTGTATTTTGGCTTGTTTTTTTCGCGCTCTTGGTCTCATGTTTTTTCGTTCCTATTCTGCCTCTACCTTTACATGTGTTTGACGTGCTAGGGTAGGAGGGATGGAAAATACAGCGCAAGCAGGTAGAAAAGGCCATTGGGATGCTTTAGAACCTGTTTACAATATATGATTATGGGGTGGAGTAGGGTAACATGTGAGTGGAGATCTCCACCCGCATTGGGGGAGGGGAGGAGTGACTGAGTGACTGAGTGACTGGGGACTGGGCTTGCTATGTATCAGATTCCTATGCCAATTCTTGATAATCATGCATAGATAGCCTAAATATTGTTAATAATAAATTTTCTTTTTTGAGTTAGTTATTCTTTTCGTGATTTCGTTTTTCTGATGCTGAGGTGGTAGTAGAGAGTGAATTGTAAGATTATGATCGTATATTCGATCTGTATGCTATACGTATACTCGTACAGGTATGGTAGTACTTCACTATCTACCTACCTACCTACCTATCTATATTGATAATGAAACAATAAAATAATCATCATCACTGCCAACATACGTAGATAAGCTGAGACAGAAAGATAGACTACAGTAGGAATACGTGGAGGAGAAAAAGTAAGAGATGGCTTGTCATATCATATCATTCATTGACTTTCCCGAGCAAATTGCAATCAAATCATCCTTCATTTGCTAAAAAAAAGTGATATCTATATCTAAAAAGATATCCATCGCGCGCATCCATCGCATCCATCGCAATAGCAGCTGGCTACATACAATAGCACATACCATACCATCCCTCCATCAAAGATTCCCAAACCCGTTAATTTTTAGGTACCCACAATTCGCTAAGTCTCATTATCTACGCAAAAAAAAAAAAAAAAGCACAACACTTGAAACGTGTATTAGACTTCTTACCCATCCTTCCCTGCCCTTTCCTTTGCTCTCCGTTTAATGCATCTGAAGTCTAACAGAACACCAAAGCGATAGAGCTTAGAAACCTTTATAGTCATGCCACGCCAAATGAACATTTACTCGACAGTGACTGACTTGGCCAAGTTTCTTGGGAAGTCGACATTGAGACCACCGGCAACAGCCAAGTGGTAGGAAATGAGTTGGAGTGGCAGAACGTTGAGAAGACCTTGCAAGCAGTCAATGGTAGCTGGAATCTCAATCTTCTCGGCTTGGCTGGTCTGGAATTCCTCATCTCCAGGGTTGCAGATAACGATTGGCTTTCCAGAACGAGCAATAACTGTGGTATGTTAGTATTTGATTGGGTAAAACAAGAAATTGGGAGTTTAAACATACCTTGTTGATAAGCGTTGAGAGACTTAGCAAAGATCTCATCACGGGTGAGGATCATAATGATTGGCAAGTTCTCATCGACCAATGCTAAGACACCGTGCTTAAGTTCACCAGACATAACAGCCTCGCAATGGAGATAAGAAATCTCCTTGATCTTAAGAGCACCCTCCAAAGCAGTGGAGTACTGGCTACCTCTACCCAAAAGCAACAAACTCTTTTGATCCTTGAATGTTCGGGCGCAAAGCTCCTTGATTGGCTGATCAAGCTTTAAGACCTCCTTAATTTGTTCTGAGATCTTTCCGAGTCCATCCATGATATCCTCACGTCTCTTCTGTTTCGAGGAACGATCTTCACTCAAAGAAAGAGCAAACATGATCATGGCAATGAATTGAGAAGTGTAGGCCTTGGTAGAAGCAACACCGATTTCGGGACCAGCATTGACGTGAACACCACAGTGAGTGAGGAGGGAGATGGAGGAACCGACGACGTTGACAATACCAACGGTCAACGCACCGCGCTCTAAGCAGTATCGCAAAGCCATCAAAGAATCGGCAGTCTCACCAGATTGAGAAACGAAGACACAAGTATCATCACGGAAAACTGGTGCTTGTCTATCAAGGAAATCTGATGCCAACTCAACCGAAATAGGGATTTCGGTCAACTCTTCAAAGGCACCACGAACGGCCATACATGAGTGATAACTGGTTCCGCAAGCGATGAAGATGATTCTTCTGCAACGACGGATAGTGGCAATGTATGATCTCAAACCACCAAGTGTGACTGTCTTGTTTTCGACATCCAAACGTCCTCTCATGGTGTTGATGACGGATTCTGGTTGTTCGAAAATCTCCTTTTGCATGAAATGGTCAAATTTGCCCTTCATAATTTCTTGGAGTTCCAACTCAAGAGTTTGAATTGTGCGGACGTTGGATGAACCATCGACCTTTGTGAGTCTGTGGATGTTCAAGGATCCTTCGTGAATGTGTGCAATATCATCATCCTCAAGGTACATGACCTTCTTAGTGTGCTCGACGATAGCAGAAGGATCTGAAGAAAGGAAAAACTCTGTTGGCATTGGGGCTCCATCATCAGTCATGAATGCACGAGATTGGGATCTGTGCAACAAGGACTTGTCTGCTGGGGCGAGAGCATTGCTGGCGGAGAGGAAGTTTCCGACGCTGGACTTCTTCAATGCAGCGTTTTGTGAAGCCTTCTCGGCAGGTAATGGTCCATCCTCAGCATACTCGACATCGACGAAATCGACCTTCATGCGCTTCTCTGTTCGTACACCAATAACCAAAGGAGAACCCTTACGTGCAGCAATAACCTCGTGTGGGTAGTGTACTGATTTCATCAAAAGACCAAAAGCACCTTGCAACTCCTTGATAACTGCCTTTGCCAAATCTGTGAAACCAATTGTTGGGTGTTGATCGTAAAGGTATTTTGCAAGTTTGGCAATGCACTCTGTGTCGGTCTCGGTCTCAAATTTGAAGCCCTTTGATGTCAACAGAGTCTTCAACTCCTTGTAATTGGTGATGATACCATTGTGTACGACTGAAAATTGCCAGGAGGGGTCAGATCTGCGAGTCTCACATCAGCGGTGTTTAGAATCCTACAAGACTTATACGTACCTGTGAGGATGGCAGTTAAGACGAGATGGAGGACCGTGGGTGGCCCATCTGGTGTGTGCAATACCGGCGTGAGAGTCGAAGACCTTGGTGAGATCTGGCTTCTCCTGCTCAATGAGAGCCTTTAATTTTGCGACTTTGCCGACCTCCTTGAATGCAAAGACTTCATTCTTCTTGTCTCCATCGATGGCGAGACCAGCAGAATCATAACCACGGTATTCAAGACGCGAGAGACCTGTAGATTGTGAAGAATTAGTTGGCAGATCCCAATGAGATGATGGAAGTTGTGAAGGGACCAAAAGAGATGTGTTGGATGAAACGGCGGTATAAATAACACCTCAATCCAGAAGGAGGGGCAATGGGAAGAAGAGCTTACCATTAACAAGTGTATCAAGAATATACTTTCTATCCTTCTCCACCAAGTAATTAATGTATCCGAAAATTCCACTGTGAAAGAAAGTTAGATTGTAGATTCTTTAATTGTCTTCGAGGATCTGTATGCATGTCCAGATGCATATACATATACATACCACATTGTTGCAATAAAAAGGGATGTGTTGTTTTCTGTTTGAGTTTAGATGTTGATGGGCTGTGCAAAAAAAGGGTATTGAAAGCAAGAACGATTGTAGATGAAAAGAAAACGAATGAAAAAGAGACGTATGATTTCCTTTCCTTTCGTTTGAGGGAGATGTAAATGGCTTTAAGGGAAAAGAGAGAGAGAGAGGGAGAGAGAGAGAGGGAGGGAGAGGGAAACAAGAATGGTGGGCTTGATATTCTTTGAACGTAAACGTGCACGTTGTCACCCAGGTCACCCCCACCGCTTTTGGCTCTTAACGAAAAGAAAAATACGATACATGTGTGTTTACGAATCTCTTAGCTTCAATTGCCCCTATGATACGAGGCCAATTGATCGTTGCTGCGGATCTCAAACATTCATTCTACCTACACCCTTGGTTACTGGATTGGGGATGGGGGATTGGGGGACCTTTGAGGCTGTAACTCTCGTACATTTCGGAAAATCTTTAGCACACCAACCTAATTCTGAATAGTCTCGCTCTTGGGGAATTTAATAAAACGCCTCTTCTTGATCATTTGGATCTCGTGTGTCCATTCCATTCACTTCATTCCCTCCTTCTCTCTCACCTGGTTTTCCTCGTTCAAATACTCCCGTATCAATTACTGAGAGATGGCTTAACAGGGAGGGAGTCTTCAATGGATACTTAAGGCTAAAGCTGGCTGTATGAGCCACACACTTGACCCACCCATTAATCTAAATAAAGCAACATTTCAAGTTCTCCAGGCACAGGGTAACTAATACATACCTAGTAGGATCGTCGGGGCGTCGTAGCTCTATCAAGGTGAATTCCCTTCATTGAAGCTTGATCATGACGTACGGAGTATAATCTTGGGTATTGTACTTTTTCGGCTGGTAAGTGTATGAGCAGACCCAGCAGAGGTTATCGGTATTGTATCATGGGCATCATACTACAATATTAATAGTATTTTTATAGAAGAAATTAGACCAAAAGTCTAAGCTTGATATTGACTCAACAGCTAAACTCACCAACTGACGATAAGTACCTACTAGCTATGTACTATCTACCAACAAAGAAACGGAAAACCCCTTGTTTTAGGTTACCAGTCCATTCCATCAAACCACACCGTATCACCGCCAGCTAAGCCAACAACCTGCACCCATCCTTTCCTGCGGGACTTTTGGCTTCAAATTGGCGTGCTGTGTGCTGTGTGCTGTGTGCTGTGATATTCCTGCTGGCCAAGCAAACTTTTTATGCAAAATTTGCACCTCTTGATCGTCCATCAGGATTGGGGTGTGCCCAAAAGAATTTTCCTTTCTGCCGGTCCGATAAATAGAGATTCGTCAGGTTACCATATTTTATGCCTGGGTGGGTTTTGGCTGCTAGTTTATTGTCTTCTGCCGAATCAATATGTTGATTTCCACTTTGTCCCTCAAATAGTCGAGCTCCCCACCAATCAACCCCACAGGGTCCAACATCGAGGATATACCGGTACCCTAAGAACCTAACGGGGAAGTCCCCCTTTTCTAGCGAGCATGGAATATGGTTTGAAGGGCAATAGATGGATGATCTCAAGGCATGATCGATTGAAATTACTAAATAGGTTTTTATTTATGGCAAGCTTTCGCGCTGGTACAACTTCATGGAATTCCGAGGAAGCTCTCTTTCATGTAATATTCTTACAGAGTCAAGCTATATGCCCAACCAACCTCAATTATGCGATACGCCATGCTAAAACACAATCTATGTAGCAATCATAGTTTTTGGTATTCCAGCTTGCCCTCCAATTTCTTTGATTCTGCCACTTTGCGAACTGCTTTATTAAAATCGTCCTGGTTAACAGCATCTCTGTAATCCTTGATAGCAAATAAACCACTGGGAAAGTTAGCAAAGCTATTGTGTATGGTGTGGAGGGAGTACATACGCTTCTGTGACGACATTTCGTAAATCAGCACCGTTCAAACCATCACTCATCTTTACCACACTCTCAAAGTCAACCTCGCCATCAATGACTACACTGGAAGCGTGAATCTTCATAATTTCCAATCGTCCGACCTCATTTGGTAAAGGAATTTCAATCTTCCTGTCAAGACGCCCAGCTCTGAGAAGTGCGGGATCCAGCGTATCTGGACGGTTGGTTGCCATGATAATTTTTGTCTTTCCCAAATAATCAAAACCATCGAGTTGATTCAATAATTCCATCAATGTTCTCTGAATTTCACGATCTGCCGAAGTTCCCTCCGAAAATCTACGTCCACCAATGGCATCAATTTCGTCCATGAAGATAATACATGGCTCATGTTCCTTGGCATAACCAAACATTTCTCTGATCAGACGCGCAGATTCTCCAATATACTTATCGACGATAGCAGATGAAACAACTGCAGCATATTAGTATGACTGTGAAAACAACGTGTATAGAAGAAAGTCCCTACCCTTCAAGAAGTTTGTCTCCAGACTGCTAGCAACAGCTCTTGCTAACAGAGTCTTCCCGGTTCCTGGAGGCCCATATAACAAAACACCCTTTGGAGGCTTGATACCGACTCGCAAGAATAACTCCGGATTCTTAAGTGGCAGCTCGATGACTTCTCGTAGTTCCCTAATTTGTTCGTTCAAACCACCAATTCCACCAAAGCTTACTTGTCCAGGATCTTCCAAAGACATATTATAAACGAGGGGATCGACTTCTCGAGGTAACATTCGCATAATTGTGAGAGTTGTCATATCGAGCGCGACACGGGTTCCTTGCTTCAACTTCAATTTGTCGACTTTCGATCTGCAGCCGACAACATATCTGGGGCCTGATGATGCTTTAACAATAACTGAAATGCCAATATTAGCAATGTTGGATGAAGCTTCCCGCTGGGCTACTCACATCTCTCATCATCAAGTTGTTTCAAAACCTCGCCGATGATTTGTCCAACACTTTGTAAAGCTTTGATATTGTCCTCAGTATGGTCGAAGTCCTTCTGCAACCCTTTAATTTCTAACCGCAGAGCCTTGAGCTTTGCCTCCCATTCTCTAGACTCCAATAGCTTTTCCTTGAATGTTGACAGCGCATGCTCGCGATCCATAACGCCGCTGCTAGACATCTTAAAAGTCGCAAGGAATTAAATGATACCTGTGCAAATTCGATTAGGTGAAGGCGATTGAAATATCAGATTTATAATGCGGGCTTTATTTTCAGATTTGCGTGGAAGGTGTGTTTGATGGAAGTACGAGTAGAGGTATCAAGATTCCTCAATTGCTTAACTAAGTTGCATGCGAAGCTCTTGTTGCCTGTGTGGAGCGATCTATCACGTGATCAACCCTTTAGGATTAGATGTTGAAAGTTCGACACTTTGGATCAACCTCAGAATTTACAACTCAGCCCTGGATCAAAGATAATCTTGCGTCTGTCATTGTACTGTTTTCGATTACATTCACTTGGTACTAGATAATCTACTTTGAAGTATGATAACTCTCTGGCGCTCATTTCCTGCACAGTTTATCGCGCCAAGTGCCCAAGGTACCTCAGGATTAATGGAAGAAACCTTTTCAACATCATCTACAAGTACCAAGTGTTACAACTAGACATTCGAGAGCATCGAGGTTCGTATGAGCATGAACAATACCTTTCGGAGCGATTCATTTTCAAAAATTGGACAAGGCCAATATTTATTTGTATCTTGCACTTCTCCCAGTGCCGAGCTTTGGACTCTCACGACAGCGATGAAAGTATGGTGTGATCATTCAGCGCGATTTAAGTTGATAGACAATGTTACTCTACTATCTATCTTCTATTCAATACAAAGACTATGAATAGTAAGTCAATCACCTTGGCAGCTAGCTGTTTATCTTTTAGACCCACGACCCACGACCCAAGACGCAAGACCCAAGAGCATCTTTGAAACTTTCTTCAGTCGGGTCCGGCCACCGGAGACGCAATTAGTACGACCAAAGAAAAGCTACGAGAGTATATTCTAGACAGGAAAGTAGCTAGGTAGATATGTCTAGTATAATAAGTTTGGCAATAGTAACGATCCGGCCCTTCGTCCGTCAATGGTGGTTGAGGTCTAAGGCTGCGGGACGAGCCTCAACTAAATATCGTCGAGTTGTTAGTTAGAACTATGTGTTGGCCGGTTGGTTTGTTGATAGCTTGGGTGTTTCAATATAAAGTTTCCAAGACTTAATAGTTCACACGTTTTCCCACGTTTTTATACATTTTATACATTTCTATGTGCAAAATGCATAAAAAAGGTGACATCCACCTGTTTATTGATATCCATCCATCCAGTCAAAAGTTCGGCGTAACTCATTTATTAAGAGTAACTCCGGTAAACAGGGATTACAGGCTGGGGCGGGAAGGGACGATGCATTGGCACGTTGGTGGGGCGAGGGGTTGAAAAAGATCTCGTTCTGCTCTGTGACTCCAACTTCTTGATCTTTACTTTCTCACAACAACTTCTTTTTGTAAGCTACATACAACTCAAGGTAAGACAACATCACCCCTCCTGCCTCCAGTTATCCTTTGTACCCACGATTGAAAGCTTCATTCCCTCTCTTGATCAATGTGAATCAACAGAGAAATAAGCTATAAACGGAAGCTCAGATTTGGTGACTTTCACCCCACCATAATCATCTCTGGCCATAATTTCTTCGTTCATCTTCCCACCAATAACAAACGCTGCATGAATACTAATCTAGAGTGTATAGAAAATTACCAGATAATCAAGAAAGATAAGGTACGATTCGAGCTCTTTTCATCATCTACATAAATCGACTCTACAAGCTTAGATAGATACTAATGATAGCTCCTCAACAGAAAGTCAATATGGCTATCACTAAGATTCACGCTCGTTCCGTCTACGATTCCCGTGGAAACCCAACCGTCGAGGTTGATGTTGTCACTGAGACTGGTCTCCACCGTGCCATTGTCCCATCTGGTGCTTCCACTGGTACGTACATCGTCCCGCATACTATAAAATCATAAGGTTAATCGGAATGTCACTTCAGGTCAACACGAGGCTGTTGAGCTTCGTGATGGAGACAAGGACAAGTGGGCTGGAAAGGGTGTTACCAAGGCTGTTGCAAACGTCAACGATATCATTGGCCCAGCTCTTATCAAGGAGAACATTGATGTTAAGGATCAATCCAAGATTGATGAGTTCTTGAACAGCCTTGATGGCACACCAAACAAAGGAAAGTTGGGTGCCAACGCCATCCTTGGTGTCTCTTTGGCTGTCGCCAAGGCCGGAGCTGCTGAGAAGGTCAGTGACGATTCATTTTCATCATCATTTGCATACCTAATAATTCATAGGGTATCCCACTCTACGCTCACGTTTCCGATCTTGCCGGAACCAAGAAGCCTTACGTTCTCCCAGTCCCATTCATGAACGTTCTTAACGGAGGGTGAGCATTCGGTCGTGTCTGAGATCATTGATTGCCAGCTAACAACGCACAGTTCCCACGCTGGTGGACGTTTGGCCTTCCAAGAGTTCATGATCGTACCTTCGTAAGTTATCATCTATAAAATCCACATTCAATTCAGAAGCTAATATATGACTCGTAGCGCTGCCCCATCTTTCACTGAGGCTCTTAGACACGGTGCTGAGGTTTACCAAAAGCTCAAGTCTCTTGCCAAGAAGAAGTACGGTCAATCCGCCGGTAACGTCGGTGACGAAGGTGGTGTTGCACCAGATATTCAAACCGCTGAGGAGGCTCTCGAGCTCATCACTGAGGCTATCGAGGCTGCTGGTTACACCGGAAAGATGAACATCGCTATGGATGTTGCTTCCAGCGAGTTCTACAAGGAGGATGCCAAGAAGTACGATTTGGACTTCAAGAACCCAGAGAGTGACCCAACCAAGTGGATCACATACGCCGAGCTCGCCGATCAGTACAAGACCCTTGCCAAGAAATACCCAATTGTCAGCATTGAGGATCCATTCGCTGAGGATGACTGGGAGGCATGGAGCTACTTCTACAAGTCTTCCGACTTCCAAATCGTCGGTGATGACTTGACTGTCACCAACCCAATTAGAATCAAGAAGGCCATTGAGCTCAAGTCTTGCAATGCTCTCTTGTTGAAGGTCAACCAAATCGGTACTCTTACTGAGTCTATCCAAGCTGCCAAGGACTCCTTCGCCGCTGGATGGGGTGTCATGGTTTCTCACCGTTCTGGAGAGACTGAGGATGTCACCATTGCCGATATCGTTGTTGGTCTCCGTGCTGGTCAAATCAAGACTGGTGCCCCAGCTAGATCTGAGCGTTTGGCCAAGTTGAACCAAATCTTAAGAATCGAGGAGGAGCTCGGTGACAAGGCTGTTTATGCTGGAGAGAACTTCAGAACTGCTGTCAATTTGTAAACGATTTTAAGATACTGCGCCAAAAGTTAAGCTGGGTAGGTAACTGTGTTATGCGGGATGAGTGATGCCATAGCATGATGTTAATGATGAATGATATCACAAAATGAAGAACAATTTGATCAAAATACCAGTCCGTTATGCTGTGGTTACAATGAGGTTACTATTACCTCGTGAATGGACCTTGTTGATTTGATGAAAATAAAGAAAACAATGCAATGTCTTTACTATTGTATATATATGTTTTATGCCCAAAGATGTGAAAGATCGAAATTGAATTGTTTGATAAACTGACTCAACCATAAAGTCAAGTCATGCACCAATCAAAAGTATTAGTCAAGGCCCGCTTCCGATCAGTCTCACCACTAATTTCCCTGTTAATACATGCGGGCGCAAACCTAAAGTCAAACAATCTACCTTTTCCAAACATATTCCTTTGAACAACAAACACATAGCGAAAAACTATTCTTGCAAAGTTATTGAGGCTCAAGACTCAATACTTGATACAATCGAAGCAAAAGCAATAAAAAGGGCTATTCGCTGGGCATTTAGTTTTGAAAATGCCTGACAAGTGGGGTAAGTGGCAGAATATTTTATTTTTTTCCCTAGGCATATTCTGCGGTGTTGTCTCATTCTGAAAATGTTATTATCATTATCTGTGAGGGGCTTTCGAAGGCTTGGTCGGAAGATTTACCGCCATGCAAACGCAGAGGGATACACTGAACTGACCGCGACTCTACCGAGCAGATGAGGAATCCTCCTCCGAGGAGTCATCCGATCCAACGCCCGCACAAGCTGCCGCTTCGACCCGAAGAAAGTTTGACGATGAAGAGGATGACGATGAAGTCTTAGATTCCTGGAGTGCTGCCGAGGACTCTGAAGTTGAACGCGAGAAGGCAAAGGTCGAAGCCGAGAGAAAAGCAAAGGCTGATGCATTGGCTGCCGCGAACAAGAAGTCGAAAAAGGAACGTGTCGCTGAAAAGCAGGCCGAGAGAGCACGTCAACTCGCAGAAAATAGCGACGAGAGCAGTGAAGATGAGGCTACAAGAAGAGAACGCCTTAGACGAACTGAACAAGAATCCGACTTGAAGCACGCTGAGGACCTTTTTGGCAACATCGGTATCAACTCTCGCAAGTCTACAAGTGCTGCAAACGCGGTGCAAGTTGATGAGAAGAACCCCGCAGCCACTGTTGATTTGACAACTCTCCCACTTTTCGATCCAAGAACCAAGCCCCAATTTGAGAAGCTCCGAGAAACTCTTGTCCCTCTCATTACCAATAACGTCAAGAAGGCACAATATATCATTTTCTTGCAAGAATTCACCAAACAGATCTCTAAAGATCTTCCCAGTGATCAAATTAAGAAGATCGCTAGTACGTTGACGGCCTTGAGTAACGAGAAAATGAAGGAGGAGAAGGCAGCTGAAAAGGGAGGAAAGAAGTCCAAAGCACAAAAAACCAAGACTACCTTGAATGCAAGCAGAGATGCCATCTCCCATAAAGATACCCAGGCTTATGACGATGATTTTGGAGAGTAAGTTTATGTAATCCCCTGCTTTACACAGAAAGTACTGACGAAATGCAGTGATGATTTTATGTGAAAGGGCTTTAGCTATAGTTATCATATCTCAATCTATCTAGCATCCTCTAGAAATGAGAATACATCCCCAGTCGATTTTCATGCAGCTGTAGTCAGGTGCAAACGAGTTACTAGTATGCGGCCAAACCCCACAACCTGAATATGCACGACCTGCCAAAGGCGAAAGTGGCCCCTTCACGAATGCAGGCATACTTTAGGAACTTGAGTGGATAGATTGCAGCGAATCGTGCTGGGATCGGATTCATACAAAATCAGGTTGGCGACGGGAAGGAGATAATGGAATTGCTGGTCTGATGGTTCTAAGTTGCACTTTGGGTCACTTTGGTTCTTCCTCGATTTGCGAGGTTTTACTATACGCGTTGGTCGTATTTAATCACGAGAATGGATAGACGTAGCGAAGTACGATTGAGCTTAATTTTGGGATTCTACTACATACCTACATATCTTGTTTATGCTAGCTTGACTGACTGACTGACTGACTGGTTGGTGTGGTTACAGCAAGTGGTGTGATCTTGTTTTTTTTTTGGTTTTGATATCCTTTGTTGGGTTTGGTGATTCTATATGCACATTTATATTGATTCGTCTCAATCTTCAATCTATATCCTATTCCAGAAATTTCGATTTCACAAGTCCCATAATCTGTCACTCCCACATCTGACATCTCACATCTTACATCTAAATCCTCACCTCATCTCAAATCTTACTCGAGCCCCTCGCAGCTATATTCCTCTCCACCCCCACAGCCAATGCAACATGATTACTAATCGCGACCAATTCGCGCTTCTCATCCCAAACCGTCAATTCGATATCCATACGTCCGTTCTTGATCTGTTTGCGCTCGACGCGGATGAAGAGCCATTCGATACCTTCCTTCGGAAGCGACTTTTTGAAATCGATGTTGAGGACGAGGGTGGGGAACCAGTATTTTGCGATGGGGGCTGGGGTGGAGGGGGATGGGTAGGGGGAAGGGGATGTGGATTTGAGGGTGGGAGTGGAAGTGGGAGTGGAAGTGGAAGTGTTGGGTGAGGGGGGGAATTCGGTCGGGATTGAGTACATGTCGCAGGCGAAGGCGAGGCTTTCGTTGGTCCACTGTTTGGGTGGTTGTGGTGGGTTAGTTGGTATAGTTAAGATTTGGTGGTGGAGTGGGTTTGTGGGTTTGTAAGTGGTGGGTAGAGAAGAGGTTCTAGGGGATATTAAAAGAGACTGGGGAGAGGGGAAGTCTGCATCTGATATGAGAAATTGGTGCTTACGTATTCGCCAGTGGATAATCGAATCCATTCGTCTGAGATGCTGGGTGATGGTTCAGTGTGAGGGAGGTACATATGGCCCTTTTTGGTAGCTTTACGGAAGCTGGAGAATTCTAATTCTCGGAGGTGATAGTTGGGGTCGGTGTTGGTTTTTAGAACTAGCGGTTTGGGGTTAGTAGGTGTTGATCAGGAGACGGAAGGAAATTGGTATGTGTGATTGTGAGAGGAGATGGAGTTGGTGAGTGAAAATTGATGATAGCTCTTTTGTGGAAGGGAGTAGCGACGACAAAATCGGCTATACTTACGGGGAAGAGAGACTGGAAGGGGGGCAGGATTAAGAACATGAGTATGAGGTGAAGAAACGCCGTCCTCAGTGGTGGCATTGGAGTGAGTAATATAACCGACTACTTCAACTCGGTCATCTTGTGATAGCGTTATGTGAAGAATAGATGTTTGTCTCCCGAGTTTGGTATCTTGGACTAGAATGAAAGTTAGTACATTAGAAACCAGGCTTGAACATAAACAGATACAACTTGCAACATAGAAGTCACGGGATACGCTTACCGGTGAAGATGGCGGGACCAGTTTGAGTTCGACGCAGGAACTCGAGATGGAGAATTATGGGGTGAGGTTGATTTTGGGCGGAGAGAGTGCTTCGGAAATGGAGGGTAGAGACTTGGAGGAAGACTCCGGTTATGAAACCTCCATGGGGAACTACATGGTTCGATTAGACAATGGATGGATAGTTTGGTAGGAGGTAAGGTGGATTGTTTATTTACCTGAGCCTACACACCAGTCCTGTGTTGATGTTAGTATGATTATTCTGGTAAATGGACATTTTGTATATCGGAGGTAGCATTTTTTCAGCCGTAATCATGTATTCAAGAATCTTACATCGGGAAAGTTCGCAGAGTAAGTGTGGGAAGTCAATTGTTGCACCTTAGTAGCATCGGCAAAGGTGGTGTCCGCAGTTGATGAAGCGGGGGTTGTCATCTCGTAGGTATGTATATACAAATGGATTTATGTAAGACAAAATAATAAATTTGAAAGTTTATTCTATAGATAAAATGGAAGTTGAATCTTGAATCTAAATACAAATGTGAGAAATCTGGGGAAGTGTAATCTTGTGGAGAAGGGGTTAAGATGTCTTGGGGAAGGAGAGCTTGACAGCCGTGGTAGGAGGGAATGTGCCGAGGTTGTGTGGGAATTGCTTATCGATTAGCAGGGCGTATTTGACGAAAATCTTGTACTCTGTAGAAGGTGTTTCTGCACGTGCTGCGTGGTAATTAATAATCAATTATCGATTTTGGCTCACATCCATATGGATCTCTTTTACCATTTTGCCCTTCGCTAGGTACTCGAGTAGATTTTGAAGTATTCACCAATTCTCGCCTCCAGACACATCTAGCTACCTACCTACTTGGTAGATATTGAGGCGCATGCATGAGACTTCGTATCAAACCTTGAAACTGGAACATACCTAGTACTTCAAGACTCTTCACAACTGGCCTTATGAGAGATCCCCCTGACTACCTTCACTACCGAATGCCAGTTGAAGCCTGTGGGCCCCCCGTTTGATGGCTAGACTCTACCTGCTCCCCACAATCATTCCTTAAATAAATTTGATAGCCCTGTCATTGTTGGTCAGTTTCATTCACAATGCCCTTGGTGGCCCAACAATGCGTCAGCACGCAAGATCGTATATCCAGTGTATGTAAGCAGCATTAAGAGGCTGTGAACAATATTGAAGAGATTTGGGATACTCGAATGTTGAAAAATAGAATAGTAGCACGAAGGGAGAGTAACACGAGGAAATCGAAAAAGAAAGATGCCACAGGATTGCATCACATATATAACCTTTTGGTGATATCCTTGCTTTGCTCATAAGCTTCATCTTATTCCATTTGCGCATCTACTTAGTTACTCTCACTTGCTCTTCAATTACTCGGTTACTCATATACTATCTATATCTACTTGAATAATCCTTCTGAGCCTCATATTTAATCTTCCCCAAAGACAATCCAATAATCCCAAAGTGATCACCTGAATGAGACAAATATTTAAAACGGACTCAAATATCAAATACAAAAGTATCCTTAAACAGACGAACTAAACTAACCGCTGCTATTTTCTATCACCGTGCCTACTTGAGTAGCGAGAACCTTACTCTTTCTTTACTTCTAATCTAACAACTCCCAGGCTTTTGCACCGCACCGCAGAACAGACATACCAAATCCATATCAACCTTTATACACAAGATTAATAATTCTTTTTTTTTCTCCACTACCCGAAATCCTCCTCCTTTCCATCATTTGTTCTTAATATCCCCATATACAGATTAGATGCCAAAAACATTATCCTCTTTACAGTCTTCGACAATATTGTCAAGAGCAAGGGCCATATCTCTTGCAACAACTTCCAACGAGATAACTTTAGTGGGGTAAACCCTTAAGGGAAGAACGTACATAACAGAACAGAACAGAAAATGGGTAATGTTAGTAGCAGACCAGATGATGGCGCGCCATTATACTTGAGGGATCAGAATCGCTGTTAGTACTTCTATTGATATCCAGCAGCTTTAGAGAGCAGGAGGGAACTGATTTGGATATACTGCTATAGTAACTATATCGTCATTGTCGATCACCAATCAGCGGAGGAGAACCCTCTTAAACATTGTTCCAAATGGATTCCCAGCAACAAGAGTCTCTGCGATTCGCGACCTTGGAGATAATTCTGTGGTTGAATATGTTCAGGTAACGACTATACATACATATACATTGCATTTGTCCTACCAACAATGCTGATCAGAATCCTGCAGGACCCTGATACACTTCCTGGAGCCGCTCCGAATCTCCTCCTCAAGGTCAATAATGACGAAGAGCTTACTTTCCACTTCACATTTATTATACGACAATCGCAAGGTTTTCTGTCTGCGACAAACGGCGCAAAAGATGTAGTCGGCTTGATGGATACCGTTATAAATGGACTTACATATGTATCAGCTTCGACCGCGCGAGAAGTAGAGAATCTAGTCACTCGAGAATTTCATGCCGATCCGAATCTACACAAGAATGCCAATGTACAACTAGTTGGAGATTATTCTACGGGAGGCAGTCAATCAGTATCGTTCGAATGGTCTTGGAAATGGAGACCTCCGAAGCCAACGGAGGACCGCGGGGGTGGTTGGAGAAATAATTGCAGTGTATGTTGGACTCGATCGCATGCGTTTCTCATTCTGACCATCTCTAGTTTCTCGAATATGATCAGCGAGCGCATCGATTAAATACTCTTGCTAGCTTCTCATTCTGGGTTTCAAGTAAAGCTACAATCGCTCTGTCCCAATCTTCCGCTAACAAAGTCTTAGATCCGCAACCATTAAGTATGCCAGGCTCTCCATCGCCACCTTTTCATCTCGTCCCACCTCCTAAATTGCGACTTCCCTCTTCTCAATCCCTCGATTCTCGTGTGAGCGGGCAAGAGCTATCGTACTCTTTTGAAGATGCACCGCCATCGCCAAATCCTCTTAGCCTCGATTTCATTGTCCCTCAAAGCCATTTCACAGATGCACCTAAGGTCGATGTCTCTTGTCAACGCCCAGGCGAAGATATGAGTGCTACAGAAGATGGACCTTTATTTAGGGCCACTATGAAAGCTTTGGAACAAAAAACTGGAAACATGCGCACACGGATGAAAAAGGTTCTCAGAAAGGCTGAGGCGGCACAGATCGCCCAGATGCAATGCAACGATGCAATTGGGGGTTTTATGGAAGCGCTTCGAGAAGCGTCCAACTCAAACGCAAACGCAGTCCAACCAGCCCTGGACCATTACTTTGATAAAATTGCGCGAGAGATTTTACAGTATGAAAAGCAAAACGCTATTAATCTAGAGAAAGTCATTATAGAGCCCCTCGCAAAACTATACACACTTGATATCAAACAAGCTGAATCGAAGAAGCGCGATTTTGAGGAAGAAAGCAAAGACTATTATGCATATGTCTCTAGATATTTGGGGCAGCGTCAAGACTCATTGAAGCAAAAAAAGCGGGTGGAGAGCGATACCAAATACCAAACGAAACGTCGCAATTTCGAGCTGAAACGATTCGATTATTCTTCATTTATGCAAGATTTACACGGGGGTCGAAAAGAACAAGAAGTGTTGTCACATTTAACCAAGTATGCAGATGCTCAGACAAGGAGCTATCTCGCAGCGGCGAAGAAAGTAGAACAAATGCTTCCACAGTTGGAAGCCTTGAGCGCAGAAGTGCAGGATGCGGACAAAGAATTTCAATACCAGAGGACTGAACGTGAAGAAAAACGACGTAATCTCGAAAAGAGTACTGTTACATATGTGGAACCTGAGACAGTCCCGGTCGAAACAGTCGCACCTGGCACGTCGAGCTCAGGCAATGGTGCATACACTTCAGATACTGAGCTCAACAGAGCAGACAGTACAGGGCATCAATTAAGAATAGTACCAACAAACAGTACGATTGCTACAGTCACTAATGGAGGTGCGACAGAGTTTAGCAGAACTCCAGGGAGCCTCTCGTCCGTACATGGTGGACCAGTAGGAAGCCCGGCCGCAAATCCTCGGTTTCGTGGCATTAGGGACCTTGAAGAAAAAGACCATAGCCAAATCACGGCGAGTGAAAAGTTGGGCACGCAACGTAAGGAGGGTCTTCTCTGGGCTTTAAGTAGGCCTGGTAGTCATGTTGATCCAAGAGGATTGAACAAGCAAGCTTGGCACAAGTAAGTCAGACGCGTCAAGATGGAATTGACACTACTAACTTATATAGATTTTGGATCGTATTGGATGCTGGTAAACTCTCCGAGTACAGTAATTGGAAACAGCGTCTAGATCTACACATGGAACCCATAGATCTACGTATGGCATCTGTTCGTGAGGCTCGTGATGCGGAGCGTCGTTTCTGTTTTGAGGTCATTACCCCTCAGTACAAGAGAGTATATCAAGCAACCTCAGAGGATGATATGAAGAATTGGATTTCTGCTATCAACAATGCACTTCAGAGTGCAGTTGAGGGTAGAGGCATGAAGGATTATCCTGCTCTGACACCACAACCCGAAGCTCACTCGATGAGAAGAGATATTGGTTCGATATTGACAGGAAAGAGTTCTTCGTTGAATCAGGGGCATTCGTCGAACCATAACAACACTTCTAATACGAACAATGTGTTTAGAAGAACGACCGTTGGTGCTAGGCCTGCGTATGGCCGATCGAATAGTAGTAGCTTTGATGAAAGCCCAGATAAACTACTTCAGCTTCTACGAGAAACGGATCAAGGAAACTGCTGGTGTGCAGATTGTGGATCTGGAATTAAAACAGAGTGGGTGTCGATCAACTTGGCCATCATACTTTGTATCGAATGTAGTGGTATTCATCGTTCACTTGGAACACATATCAGCAAAGTACGCTCCTTGACTCTCGATATTAATTCCTTTACCACCGACATTGTCGAATTACTTTTGTTGGTTGGCAATCGCGTTTCCAATATGATCTGGGAGGCTAGGCTCGACCTGGCTACAAAACCTACGCCACAAGCTACAAGGGAGCAAAGGTTGAAGTTTATCACGGCTAAATATGTTGATCGGGCCTTTGTGGAACCAATCTCATCCACCCTCTCACGATATGGCACGGCGGACGAGACCCTTCTTGCAGCAATTAAAAAGAACGATGTTCAGCAAGTGATTTATGCTTTAGCGCTTAAGGCAAACCCTAATGTCACGGACAGGTCTCGTGGAACGCATTCAGTGTTTTTAGCTCTCGCTGCTGCTGATCCAGCATCTCCAGCACAAGTTGCATCGCCCACTCGAGTTGAACATGCTGCAAAAATTGTTCCATTCCCGATTGCTGAAATGCTCGTACAACACGGGGCTGAGATCCCGACCGTTTTACCCGCATTTCCTTTGAGTCGAAGCGCAACGCTGTATATCGAACAAAAGACTCACCGTGGAGGAAGTACTAATGATACACTAGCAGCTTTGCCAACCACAATGACCCAACAAGACAAGCTTAAGGAACGAGAGGCGAGATTGCAAAAACGTGTTAGTGCTGGTGGTCGATTAGCTAAAGCACCTATTCAAGAACGTTCGTGAAGAATTCTCGGAATAGTATTATATGACATGGTGTGCTGATGAATGACGGATGATCTGGAGATACCATGGGATTAGCACTATTGGCGTTTTTCGTGTTCTTGGTCTGAAATATTTTATTTTTGTATTAGGCTAGGCTAGGTTGCTTATAACTGATAGGGATGGTTGACTGATTGGTGATTGGCTTGCTTAGGGGTGGGACATGGGATTGCTTATGTAAAGTGAATAAGCGATAATTCGCTACAAATTATCGCCTGAGGAATTAAGAAAAGGAGGCGAGTAAGCAGGAACGAAAGCAAGAAAGAAAGAAAGCCAATTCAGCACAATCGTGCAGACTTGGATTTTGGATATGGATAGTATAGGTTAGGGGAAAGGGTGGAATAATTACTAATGGAGTATGAGTATGAATATGAAGTATGAAATATGAATTATTTGGGAGGAAAAGGAATGGGGTGGGATGGGATGGGAGTTGGTATTAGGATTAAGTGGGTGGATTAGATGGATGGTAGATGGATGGATGGATGGTAAATGGATGGCGGTGCATCAATGCTTGTGTTATACGTATGTACATGTATAGATAGTCAATACAGATACATTTATTATTTTTTTTTTTTCTTAATTGTGTTTTGTTTTGTTTGGATATGTGTATGTATACTGGGTTGTGAGTGTAGTTGTTGATAATTATGAGTTATATTAATTATAACTTTATTTTATTCAGTCAAATCTATATTGTTATAATTAATATTATAATTTTCATTTATTTATTGATTAATTCTATAACACACTATCTCTCAAAGACTAATAAATATAAATATAAATAGATATTTAATAAAAACATAAAAAAATAAAAAAATATTAAAGTAGATAAATAGGTAGATAGATCCTAGGAAAGGGTATCAAAGCAGAAATTTACAGAAGGAAAATAATAAAAAGAAAGGGTAACTCGCGGAAAATAGAATAGGACAGAACAAAAGAAAAGTTGTTATTTCGTTAATTAATTATGCTATAGGCTTATGGTGGGTGGGTTGATCAGTGAAGAAAGGAAGCAAGGAAGGAAGCAAGGTGTTTTATGAACCTCTCAATTCATCCATCCACCCACCATACATGCATAATGTATACCTAGCTTCCTATCCATCGATATCCATATCCATATCCATATCCATTAACCTCGCCCCTGCACGGTAGAAAGCATCACATCCTTAATTAATAAAAATGCTCCATCGTGAATTACTCATGTAAGTAAGTAAAGGAGTCTCGAACATTAGTAAAGAGAAATGATCAAACCCCTCCTTTCCACCATAAGCATAAGCATAACCATGACCATGACCATAAATTATCAAGATCAAGATCAAGCCACCTCAGGTATATCTTCATTTTCCTCTCTCTGGACTCTTTCCCTTCCAGGAATAAATTCCTTCTTCATATCCTTTAACGCTTGACTGGGATCTTCAAGACCAGCCACAATTCTCTCTCTCTTACTCTTCCCTTTCCGTCCCGTATTCGTCAAATCATTCAAATCATCTTCATCACTACTACTAATATCATCATCTGAATTCTGCACCATATTGATTTCTTTTCCTTCCTTCTTCTTTCTTTCTCGTTGTCCTTGTTTCATTTTTTGGAGATGTTCATCAGTGCATTCTTTTGTGACGATGTGGAGACCGGGGAAATTCTCATTTAGGAATTTTTTGAGGAGAGGAAGGAGATCTCCATTTGGTCGGTAGGTGCCACTGTCGTTGTCAATTACGAGCTCGTAGTGGCTGGGATCTTTAGGAGGAGCTTCAAATGGTGGTCCTCCAGGAAATTCTTCAATAGGGTGACTAGATTGGCTAGGATCATCAGTTGATCGATGTGGATGCTTTAATCGACGAACGAAGAATTCTCCGGAACATGCAATGTAAATGTTTACATCACTATGCATGGTATGTTTCGATAACAGATCAACACCAAACTCCTTACCCGTTTCGGTAAATCGAAGAAGTCCATCGAGTGAGAGAACATAGGTGAATATTCTTCCTCCTTCGTCAAAGTGCACCATTTTGAGGAATTGCAGAGAGGCTTCTTCGGATTTGGCCGGGAACACTCCATATTCTGTACTGTTGCTGAAATTATATACACGGGCATGTTGGTGATGAAGGGCTTTGTTCAAGACTCGTCCTCGAAGACCTGCTCCGGAAAACATTCCTTTTACGAAAGGTTTAAATTCGACAAAGCGATGGTATAATTCCGCAGGTACGGGACCTTGAAGTTGGATTTGATTTGCTTGAAAACTTAGTTGTTAGCATTCGTATCATTGTAGTTAGATAAAATACTTACTCATATTTCTCAGTTGGGGGCTTTCCATCCATCGAACTTCCAGGAGCTTTAGTGCCAGCCAATCTTCCAATCATAGGTGAATAATGCTTGAAGAAATATGTTTCCCCAATTGTATACATTCTGCCATATGGTTTCTCAGATGGTCCTAAGCATTCCGCGCTTAAGTAGAGCGTACCATCCATATGTATGCTACTGTCAAACATAGCAGCGCAAGCTCTTACCCCATATGCTCTCTTGCTACCCATCCTCTTCTTAACATCAAATGCTTTCTCCTTGAAACCCTGCCAATTTGGACCCAGCGATTCCACATAAATTGTAACATTTCCCAATCTATCATCATGATCTGCGGGGTCTTCATCATATAAACGACATTTTAAACGGAAACCACTCCCAGGAATCCCAGCCACTGTCCAAGTCTTATTCCATACCGGATTTGTATTTTCGTGTATAGTTTGTGTTCGCAGAACGAGATCTGGATCGTCCTTATGTCGTTTCAATAGAGAAGATGTCAGACTGGCTATAATGAAAGGATCGGAAGATCGAGTGTTGAGATCCGACGCAGGAAGATTTTCGGCTCTGTGAAAGGTAAATCGCACGGTATAACCATCTCGCGCAGTTGGAATGGGCGTCGCATCAAATCCACCCGGTGGATTGTTCTTATCCCTTAACTTTTGTTGTTTCGAGGTAAGTTTTTCCTTGGCTGCTTTCAATTGACCTGGGTGTTGTTTCTCTGCGTCGCCATTTTGCTGGGTATCATTTTGTTGTGTGTTGTTTTGCTGTGTATCATTTTGCGCTGAACCTTCTTGCGCTACACCATTTTGATGTGTACCAATTTGCGCTGAATCTTCTTGGACTGGGTAAGCTGCGTCGTTTTGCTGTGTACCAGTTTGCGCTGAGCCTTCCTGGGCTGGATGAGCTGCATCGTTTGACATATCTCCGAGTGCTTGATGTTCGACCTTTTCCGACATCTTTATATATTCCGCCAGAAGAATATAAGTCCCTCCTTTCAATCGAATGCGCAGTTCGCGTGAAGAAGATCAATGTTGTATGTACCGGTAGATGGGGAAGATGAGCTGGCAGCCAAGATTATGTTGTGATAACCAAATGCGGGAGGAGGGGAATAAAACGACCTCGGGATGTAAGAGGGAGATATTATTTTCTCAACCTGACCAATTGAATGGAGAGGAAAGGACAAGTTGAATTGGTAGGTAGGCAGATATGTAGTCGACGTCTTATCATGAGGCGCAAGAAATGATTTTCGAACTAGACCGTCTAATTGGGTTAATTTCGTGAATTCATACAACCTAAGGGTATCGATGCGTGAACTAGGTACAATGGGATGGGCGCAGTGGTGCACGGAGTATTGCGATGGATGGATGGATGGTTGGTTGGAGGGATATAAGATTCTATTTTATAAAGTCTATCAATGCTCCAGCAGATAGTGTAGAGTAACTTGCAGCTTTCAGCTTGTATGAATAAAATGCTCCCGCAGAGAGATTATTCGATGATTCAAGCTTTGCCAAGGTGAAATAGCATGAGTATTAATAGAGTAGTGAGTACTTGGCAAGGTGAAAAGTAAACGAAGATAAATTTGAAAAAGGGCTGAAATTTGAAAAGATTAAATAAACAAAGGGTTTGTATTGCTTTTTGTATTAAAGTTTGTGTGTAACATGGTTGTACGTATATAAAAGTGGAAGAGAAATCAAGGGATCTTGAATTCATATCATACACTTACTTCACTATCTCCAAATGACCTGTCTAGCCTTGTTTCTTTTTCTGCTCCACCAACAAATATTCAACGGAGCAGATAGATAAGTAGGAAATCCCTTCGACCGTGAAAAATTGTGAATGATAATTTAAGCTTACCTTCATTAAGTCTTCGACATATCCCGATGTGGAAATCTCAGTGAGTGGAAAAACCAAGATTCCAAGATTCCAAGAATTTTTAAACTAAGGTGCCTGCCTTGAGCCGGTGGAGCCGTCTTGGTTGTTTGTACTCCCATAGATAGTGCGTGTGAAGTTTTTTGAACCCGCGTTTATTATATTCTTGGATATGTATACAGAATATTAATACATGCTAGGTACATATACATACATACCTCGCAGGATCAAACTAACATCTAAAATCATGAACAAGGCAGTTTCCGATCATGGCGTGCAGATTCATGTATTTAGGGCAGCATAGGGTAGGAATGAAATGTAACAGGGTCCATCTACTACGTCATATCATGAGAAAAAGAAGGATTTGATAATGTCAGGGCTTGGGACCCAGATAGATACTCCAATTAGATGAAGCGGTAAGAAAACTTTTGACATGTGGATTTTTTCACTTGCTTTTGTTTCGCTGCTGCTTGATCTGAGTGAGAAGCGGGGAATATTACGGTATAGTGGAACTTGGTTACACTGGACTTGATGTACCGGAAACCTGGTTATATGGTAAAATTTCCCCGATTTGTTGAATTTCTATATAGAAGTACCGGGCTTTTAATATATACCGGATTATCATACATTTTTTAGTCAAACCTGGTATAAATTCTTGTAAAGATAAGTCTCTGATCCCGCAATATGAAACTATTATAGTTATTTTAAGGAAATCAAAGATTCGGAGATAAAATTGAAGTGGTTTTGGTTAGGTGATGCTACTGCATGGACCTCGTCGAGAACATTAGGTCTTAACTAATCAGCTCTAGAGTCTTATAAATATTATAATAATTCTCTTAAAACTAAACTTGTATTTAAAAATTCTATATAGTAGTAAATTTATAAAAATGGGAATATGAAAACAGCAAGGAGATGAGAATGTAGATAGAGGCTTGTTACGTCGGACAGTAACATAGGTCACGTTCTTGATCATATGATCAAGAAACCGACAAATCGAGATCGGTTTTGCGGTGATCAAATTGTCGGGTTTGTAGCCATCGGTTTTTAACGAGGCACGAAGGTCTATATAATCAAGATGGATTTCCTTTGTATAGAGCTTCGTGCTCAAGATCAATCATTTAGTACACTCTACCACTAGTTACGAATTGCATATCATCATTGTCATTACTTTAAGTCCCTGCTTGACGCCTAGTTATAAACCACCTCGAGAGCCTAGAGCACTTCCACGTGATCTAGACGGCAAACCTCGTAACAAGATATTGGTAGTTAGCTAATTCAATCGTAAATTATTAGGGCACAACCTGAAGTCACAAATGCGTGGAGCTTTGACAACTTCCGCAATTAGTAGGGTATTCTCCCCTTTACACTCTATCCTATTACCAAGAAAACAATCCAATGGAGCTATTCTAATTGGCACGAAGTCGTGTCGAAAAAGTTTATCAACGACTGTTGATAATAAGTGCGGGGTTTGTGGGGTTTAGTACGTTGCTATGATCGTTATTTAGAAGTCTAACCAGACATCTGGGCCTGAATTTATACTACTAGGCACGAATTAATATCATTCATCGAGATCAGCAGATACTTCTCAGTATTTTGATATTTGAGTGGTTGGCAGATCCTGTATATGGTTATCTTTCTCGAGCTATATGTGCCGCGATACCAGAATGAGGCTCAAGTGTCCTTTTGGGTTTTGGTTTTAGTAGAATGTTTTTCAGTCTACTTGGTAACTGCCAACTATCAGTATTGTCCAAAGTTAAGTGTTCTTTTAGTTTGGAATAAAACGATTTTCATTCGGATTATAAGTAACTACCATGAAGACGTGCATTCATGTCTCTCTTCTATAACATATCCCATAGTCCACAATCCCGAGCGCATTCCTTGTCATACCGAATCATTTATCCAATCTCTCGTCGCCTCTTTGCACGATTAATAATACATCTCCAAAACAAACATTGGGATACTTCAATCCAGTATAACATACCACAACCTCAACCTCAATATGCCAATCCCATCACTTTTCCCAAAACTACGATGGCGCACCTCATCCTTAACCTCAAATCCAGATAACATAGTCCGCCAACCAAGCAAAGAAGACGCAAACTACCACACGGAATCCAACCCCACCTATCTAAAACTCCTCCAAACCGCATCAGGCCGCCGACGCCGCCCCATCAAACCCAGCAGTATCCCTCTCCACAGCTGGAACTACAAAGACCAAGAATTATGGATCTTCAGAATCCTAGTCGAGATCTGCAATCGTCCGGATTATAATGCATATGATATTGTGAAGAATTGGAGTATTGAACATGAGTTGGATGATTTGTATGATTTGGATGAGGAGGAGTGGTCGAAGGTTCTAGGGAGTTGGAGGGATGCTGAGATTGTTTATAGGATTTTGAGGGAAGCGGAGGAGAAGATGAAGATGAAGAAGGAGAAGGAGATGAAGATATGTAGTTTGGGGTTTTGGAGGAGGAGGAGGGGGAATTATTCGTGGGTTTCTGCGGAGGAGAAGTTGCGGGATTCAGGTACTGGTGATGGGGCTTCGCTTAGGAGGGTGGGGGAAATGTATCGGTATTATGATACATGAGGGCGCGCATAGATCGTCGGTGTGGTTGACTTGGAAATTTCGGTATCTTTGGCATCGGGTCAGAAAAGATGGAAGGATCATTTTAATCATTCGAATTCGTTTTCGAGTTGGAAGAATACATAGGGATGCATCTCTAAGATTGTATATTGTTGGATCAAACACTATACATCCATACTAATATTTAAAGATATGTATGAATCAAAGGAAACCCTAATAATGCGGACATCACATAACAAATTCAGGAAATTTGTTAGAATACAAATAAGATTACAATAATTGGGTTGGATTTAGTAATAATATTTTTTGTATATAATAATCAATAATCAATATCTTCCTTTCATACACTTTATAGGTTGTCAGTCAACCTTAATTTAAAAATCTACATCGAAATCTGAAATATCTTTTATCGAAAACGCTTCGAAGGTATTCAATGTTTAATATAGATCATTGGGATATTAATAGAAGAATAGAAGAATAGAAGAATAGAAGAATAGAAGAATAGAAGAATAGAAGAATAGAAGAATAGAAGAATAGAAGAATAGAAGAATAGAAGAATAGAAGAATAGAAGAATAGAAGAATAGAAGAATAAGTTCTCCTAGTGTGAAGTTTCATATATGAGTAAATATTAATACTCTAATTATTAAAGCTAAATCTTCCTTTTTAAATTTTCTTAATTCTTTCAGTCTTTATAATTACTAACCTCATAACTATCAAAACTAGAATTTTGAAATTTTTATCATTGAGTTCATTTAAGCTGATAGTATAGATATTGTTACGAGGTTTGCCGTCTAGATCACGTGGAAGTGCTCTAAGCTCTCGAGGTGGTTTAAAACTAGGCGTCAAGCAGGGACTTAAAGTAATGACAATAATGCAATTCGTAACTAATAGTAGAGTATACTAAATGATTGATCTTGAGCACGAAGCTCTATACAAAGGAAATCCATCTTGGTTATATAGACCTTCATGCTAATCGTCCCCTTGGTCCCCTCGGTCCCTTCGATCAACAGACCGAGGGGATCGAAGGGACCATGTGATTACATAATTGGTCACATGATACGAGATCCGAAGCCGTCGTAACATTCATTTTCAATTTATATGATTTCAAAATTTTATTAAATAACATATTATAATCACTGAATAATATAGATTTGAAAATATTGAGTTTTGATATTTTAGTGAATTATGCTTACGGAATTTCTGCACCCATTGTTGGAGCAAAAAGTACGAAGGCGATATGATCTTACAATAGGTATGTCATGCAGCTTGAGCGCTTCGTAAAATTCTATAGTGTACCCCGTAAGGTTGCCCATAAGGTTACACCATAGGGTTACCCCGCATTAGCAGGGATTCCCACCATTTCAACCGCAGCTTCCTTCCCTTCACCAACATCGAATACAACTATCTTTTCTAGGGCGAATCACTGTCTTCTAATAATCTATTTAATTTTCTGTAATGGTACCCTAACTACTGCAATGGCATGCTGATATCGATTCTCGAGAAAGGATCGGGGTATTCCTTATCAAGCCAGAGGAGTTGTCTCTCTTTATGTGACATTTCGCGGGCGATGAATTCCGATTCAGTACTCGTTGCGAGTGTGAAGCGATAAGCCATGACATCTTCATGTTGTCTATGCACCATTTCAGGTTTCGAAGGTGCTTTCGGAATTCAGAGTGCCTTGCCGCATATGATGTAGGCAGGCCTCTCTCTGTCACTGCAACCGTTGGGGGGGAGCTCATTGCAACGTAATCTTACAGAGAATGTCAAGATGACAGTTCTAAAAAAAAGTTCCCACCCTCCTTACACTTTGAAGGCAAGCATGATCATGGGAGCGATGCCATAGTTCATAAACTCCCTATGACCGACCACTACGGGTATCAACCATTCTCAGTACATTGCATTCCAAGATGCTGAAACTTCCCTCTTCGATAGGCCCAGCAGGGGTCTATATTGCCTGTATTTTCTTACCAGTAATCGCAACTATGTGCGTGGCAATGCGTTTTTGGGTTCGGAAAACAAGAAAGGTCAAACTTGGAGGTGACGATTGGACAATTCTTTTAGGATTGGTAGGTGCCATTCAGCATGAAAGCTCTTTTCGGATCCACATCTAATGAATCTTCCAATGCAGTTACTGATGTGGGCAGTAAATGGAACAATTCTAAATGGTCAGTTCCCATGATTTTTTCGTGACCGGAAAGACTGGATGCTAACAACTGCAAGGAGTGTCACAAAAGATTTTTGGATACCATACGAAGCAGGACCCCGGGACTGGAGAGATCATTATTACTTGGAAAGAACCTCTCCAAGTGGAAGTAAGCCAACCAGACTAATTGATCTATGTACTTTTCATGTCGATCATTCATTGACTATATTCCAGTTTACCACCATTATATTGCTCGTACATACCGTCACCCTGGGCCTCATAAAATTCAGCGTAGTTCTTTTGTACCGGCGGATTTTTGCAGCCAATAGGGCATTTAATATCTGGTCTACGATATTGTGTGTGGTAATAGTCTTATGGACCATTGCTTTCTTCTTCGCCGCTCTCTTTCAATGTGGTACACATTTTTCGGCTTTCTGGTCCAGCGACGCAGCTATAGCTCAATATTGCGACATGGAACCATGGGCAACAACGACTTTCTGTATCACAGATGTTTTGACCGACTTCTTGATTCTTGCAACTCCGGTGCCCATCGTCTGGAATTTACAAATGTCGCTCAGTGCAAGACTTGCATTATGTTTAGTCTTCGCCCTTGGTATCTTGTAAGTACAAACTTTCCTTATCGGATGGTTATAAACAACAAGCTGATCAATGCAGGTCTACAATTTCTGGGACAATTCGAGCTGTTCTTACAGGCATATTTGAACTTGGTACCGAAGAAGGTTTCCGAGATCTCCTTGGTAAGTGTCCTGGAGCTACCACTTGAAAGACTGGTCTGATACGTGAGACAGCGGCAAACACTATCATTGTAGTCTGGTGCATTGTAGAATCAAGTTCTGCAATCATCGGAGCATGCCTTCCTACAGCTCGTCCATTATTTCAAGGCAAAAGCGCCGAAAGTATTCTGCGTTCTGTCCAATCTATCTTTTCATTGCGGTCAAACTCCCAAAACTCTTCGACGAATAGATCGGTAAGGAACCAGGGACATAATCTGGACGATGAAATCGCGCTCAGAGCTACAAGTAAAACCTCACAAAACTCTGTGGCAATCTCAGCCGTTTAACCGTGCTGAAAGAGGAGTAAATCTGTTGGCCTAGGAATTTACAACTGTTTTACGCATGGAAAACCCCGCTTTGTCTTTGGAGAAATTACCCTGTATCCAATAACTGTACCAACTTAACGAAGTTCCATGAACTCCCTCAAAAAATCTTTAGTCTCTAATTATAACTTGAATTTCTGGTAGTATAAAAATGGAATCAATAATGTAACATTATATGATGAATAAATTAATACTTTTTCATCCATTGTATATTTGCCGATTTGCCGATTTATCATATCCATCTCGGCCTCATCCAACAGATTTATGGCGCAGTGCAGCTTGAGTGAATATTTTTAACCCTACCAGGCTTTGAGCTATCACCAACTGTTAGAAAATTTACAGAACGAGACATAGCGCGATATCCTGCATATAACCTTGCGATGAGGACCATTTGAGACATAAAAAGGGTGCTTTTCTCCTATTTAATTGCCAGAGCTGAAGTTGTTGCATTGCGTACCTTTGTTCTGTTCTACTGCTGGATTTTCACTCGTCGCTTGCTTAGACTTTCTTTTAGAGAAAATGGCTACCACGTTATCCCCCCCAACTGTTGCTGATAGTAAGGAGAAGATATCGGATCCTATGGATACTGTCATTCCTAGCAAAGAGTACAAATGGTGGTTGAATAACATCGATCACCTGACCACTCCGGAGGTAAGAAATCCCTGGATCAATAATCGAAGACTTTGAAACTAGGTAGCTAATATGATTCCTTAGCGCCGTAAAGTCCTTGAGAATTATAGTAATATTCCTCCTGAGGATGTCCGTCAACATATTTATGACATTGTGAGTTTTTACTTGTCGACCTCTAAGCATGTTGTTTTGCTTCGTTATTGTCCTCTTTTGCTTGATCCAAAACTAACTATTTCACAGCGTAAGAAAGCATGGGCAGTTCGCCAATATCCATGCACAGGAATGGCTCGCTTCCTCGATAATCTTCTCGCTCAGTCCCCAGTCTATAGCGATATTGTCGCCCGACTTAAAAAAGGGGACTCGTTCATAGACATTGGATGTTTCCTCGGTCAAGAATTGCGTCAATTAGTCTGGGATCTCGACGGTGCACCAACGACAAATATTCATGCTATAGATATAGTTAATCACTGGGACCTGGGATACGAATTCTTCAAGGATAAAGATAGGTTTCAGGTTGATTTCTTCCAAGATGACATGTTGCAGCCAGGGGAAAAGTTGAGGGCGTTACAAGGAACCATGGATGTTATTCTTGTCAACCAGATTTTTCATCAGTGGGGAATCGAGAATCAAATTGAGGGTGCTATACAATTGGTTAAATTGTCTCGAGCTCGTCCAGGTAGTTTGATCTTGGGTAACCAAGCCGGTGTGCCGGAGCAACGGGAGTTGCTCGGTCCCAAAGGCTCGAAATACAGATCCCTCGTGCACTCCCCGCAAAGCTGGAAGGATATGTGGGATGAAGTCGGGAAGAGAACAGGAACGCAATGGAAGACGGAATCAAAGTTGTTGACTTGGGAGCAACTCGGACATGATCCCGAGGAAACGGCATACATGGGAAGAGATATTTTGATGTTGGAATTTGTCATTACGAGGCAGTGAGTAGGTCAAGTTTCTGATGAAATAGGGTTTTCGTCCTGAAATACCGTCGCTTGATTCTTCACATCACGAGTTAGGACAGCAGAAGAGAACCACATATGCTGATGACCACGGATGGCTTCAAACCCCACTACAACTATGCTTTTTTCCAACCCATTATCTTGGTGATGATTTTCTTACTAGCTCACATTCCCTGCATACATTAACTCCCTCAACTCATCGGTAGAAAACTGCACAGAGTATGGCAATTTCGTGATAATAGGATACATACCGCCCATACTTGCCTCCGGCCTTACGTAATGAGAACCGATATGAACGAGAGCACCTAGAGCAAGAGCTAGTTGCTTGGCGTCGAGAAACCCGCAATCAGTATCAGTGACTGCTTAAAGAGCGTCGCATGTGGTTTCTTGACGTCCTCTGTATGCTGGGTGCGATACGATGATATTGGAGTTATGTCATGGGTGAGGAACCAAATATTGTAGACACTGTTTGTTAATGCTGATAAGAACGATGGGACTGAAAAGGCTTTGGAACGTTTTGGACGATATAACATTTGAGGAAAGCTGCTGAATTTATTCCCGTGATTTCACACAATCCACACAACGCCTTACGTACGTGTAGATATATAACATATCAAGATCTTAGAGGACAAGCATCTACTAATGCTTAGTTCCGAATGTGGAGCAGAGCATTCATTTATCTAACCTTATCTCCGAAATATCAAGTCAACCCCACCACGCATATGAAAAATCTTTGCAAAAAATGTGCACGAAAATCAATTATCAAAAGAATCTACACATTAATGATCAGGAATAGTAAAAGACATGTTATAGAAGCAAGAGGAAAGCTCCGCCGGGGTTCTGGACCCTAATATCTTGCTTCGATTTCTGAACGCCGAAGATTTTGAGGAGACTTTTCCAACCTTCAACCTTCAACACTTTCCTTGCATCAATGCAACTTGCAAAAAATTGGAGCGGCAGGGAGTCGAACCCTGGACTTCATCGATGGGAATCAAGGAATCCTTTCGGAATCTTGAAGATGCAAACGAGGCACTCTACCACTGAGTTACAGCCCCTGAAAGTTGTTGTTGTTGGTGAAGGAAAGTTTTTTAATTTATTTATATTATAATAATCCATCTACTCAAGTGAAGTGGAGTCCATACAGTGGGACAAATTACGACTAGATGTCTTGTCAAGTGCAGGACCCGCACGAGGACCTCTTCTCATTGTTCTTCTGTGATCACCCTGGCGAGTTTTCATTATTCATCATATTGAAAACCCTTTTTTCATAAGGCCTCTTCTCCTACGTTACACTGTACTCCATCTTGGTTTCTCGTAGTCATCAGAATTCCCTTCGCCGTCGCCGACGATATGCACCACACAGTTCCTCATTTCCGCCTCGGAGCTTTCCCTAATAGGTTCAACTGCAGTTCTTCTTTGTGCACTCATCGTTATACTTCCCCTCCGCATCTACATACCTACAGCCCGTAATTCTACACCAAATGTGTCGTGTCATGGTGTTTCCTGAAGCAGACTACTCTGTTTGTCCTAAAAGACTCAGAAGCAAACATCCACTATATGGCTAAAATCTACCACCGCCTGATAGTTCAGATGATATTGTTCTGGGACTCAAAACGTTTAACCTCTGTGGCATATCTCAACTGCCAGCTCATCAGCCATCGACAACATGGTAGCCCGAGTAAACTCTCGATGTTTGGTACGGATCATTTCTCTATACCAAAAAAGGGTCAAATAACCTTGATAACTTTCCGGAAAGGCTGATGAAGATGAGGAGGGTACTACATTGATGAACAATGATAGTTCGAACACATCGTCCATATGAGGTTGAAATAAATGGACCTCGTGCCTCAACCAAACACGGCTACTAAGACATAAGTCTCAGGTAACAGATCATCTAATCTTCTGGCCATGGACAATCTCCAGGTTGGTATGAAGCGAAAAGTAAGGGGATCAATGCATGAGGTTAGCAGAGAGACTACCGCGAAGGCGGGGGTTTTCCAAATTCATGCGTATATGAAGCAAACTGTATCACAAGTTGTCATCAAACACAAGGTCACGAAACCTGCTATCTGAGCTTCAAACAGATGAGCACTCAAGCTTTCGAGAGCGAGAGGCTGGGCATAAGTTTCTAGACCAAAACGCGACTTGGTGAAAGCGGTCTCAACATGTTAATTCGTTAGATTGAAAAGAATGAATTACTCACGATCTCGAAAACGGTTAGTATTCGAGAGAAATAACCAAGTGGTTCCTGCTGGGAAGGTCTAAACATAGCAAAGTTTCACAGCAATAGAAAATACATACATTGAAGAAAATTCTTGGTGCTAATTGGTGCTCTGATTTTTAATCTTTATACAGCATCAAATATTCAAGCATAGTGAGTTAGCCTGTCACCTTTCAGCAAATACGTCCTTTTTAAAATTGTCCTTATAATACCCTGAAACTTAGTTTTTTCACCGTCCTGCAGCTGCAGATCTGCTTCTCCTAAAATTGGCTCACTCATCAAAGAGTTGACATTTCATAATCTTTGATCTGTCCAATCTTTATACCATACTCAACATCAGGGTATTTTCGTCTGATTTTACAACATTCCACGAATAGTCATCAATGATTAAGCTCCAAATATCTGAATTAGATGTCTTGAGATAAAGGATACATACAAAATGTTTTCTTTTTTGACATAGAAAAAGGTCATTGTTCTCTTGATCAAAAATTTATTGTCCTGAATATTTTTTTTATCAATCCTGACTATTAATACGCCACTGCCTTGTTTGCTTACTACAAAATAGTAATCTGGTATTCAAGAAAAAGTTACTGTATTAACTGACATGGAACATTAAAATGTAGCCATTCTAGCCAAAATGGAGAAGCAAGTTCTATGAATTATTCAAGTAAGGATCTTGGCTGACTCGTATTCGTTTTTCTAAACCTTTTCCTACACTCAGAGAACTGAAATCACAGGCAACACACGATACCTCACCCTTAATTCTTATCTAATTCTTATCCTCTTCTTAGTCACCACTTTCTTCCTCATCCTCGTCATTACTTTCTTCGCTGTCCTCATCATCACTTTGATCCTCGTCCTCCTCCTCCTCCTCCTCCTCCTTCCTATCATCCCCTTCATCATTATCCCCACTCTCTTCCTGATACTCTTCCTCAGCTACAGCCTGATCAGTAGCACGCTGGTTCTTAATCACAAGATCCTTAAGGTTCCTCTTGCTTCGACTCCAACGACTCAAAAAGGAGCGAGGCGTATTAATCTCTCCATACCAATCATCCCAAGCACGATCCGCTTTCGCAACACTTAACATCATCTTCCAGTAACCAGGAACACGACGACTAAGTACCGTGATATCGTAAGCTGTTGCTGTGGTTGGTGCAACGGTTTCATGAACACGCATTGTTTCTGCTTGGACTGTGGAATTGACTAATTAGCTTTTTATCTTAGATATGTTATATGTTGAGATGAAAGTTTTACTTACATCGTAGACTTTGAAGATACAATATTTGGCCCCCCTGTCCTAAGAAGGTCGGATCATCGAGATTGGGATAGGCTCCGGGGCCATATTGTTGGTCTTTGAACCATTGGTCGTAGTTGACAACTGGGGCAGACATTTTGGGACGAGAAGAGAGTTGGTGCAGGTGATGGTATGATGGTAATATGAAAAAGGGACTGGGGCGTCAGTACACCCAAAGCTTAGCTTTCGAGTTAAGGTGGTAGATTATGGTGGTGAAAAACTACGACAACGTGTACAATGCGTGGGTGGTGGGATCAGCCTGAAGCTCGCTGTGATGATGAGCTACCGGTATGTCGGGGTCTGGTTCTAGGAGAGTAGTACTGTTGTTAGTTTGCGCGCTATTGATCTTGGTATGGATTCAAATGTGACGATAATATGTAATGTCTTCATGTAGTGAGCGTGGGAACCGTTGGTAGCTGATACCTAGCTGGGCTAACTTTTTTAAAAGGGAATTCCAATACAAAGAGAGGGTGAATTATGAGGTAGTTTCAATCTATTTAGTTGCACTTTAATAGAACTTTATGTACTGCTCTCCGTGATGCTTCTTAAAGTAAGTGATCGAGGGTGCCGTACCCGAGAGTATATACAACGTTGAGATGACAACATTAACTGTGTGAACGAAGTGAATGACTTCAATTCAATTACTACTGTAATAAAGAACTAAGCGAACGCGAAAGAGACTAGCTCTTTTAGTAAGTCTATATAAGACTTACTACTTTCAATATGTAGCTAGCTCTTTAGACAGAATACAATTAGACATACAGGACCTACGTAATCCGTGGGTGCTACGTCTTCCGTATCCTTCTCGTACCAACATTAACCTTTCATATTCGCTTATACCACATGTTTAGATGATTGTATACGTGTTGACCTCCTGGGATCTTAGCAGCATATGCATATATATTACATGATGCATATAAGGAGCAAACAAAACTCAACTTTTAATTCATTCTTTCCTTTTTGGTATACTGTTTGTTTGCTTTCAATATTTTGATTTCAAAGCACTTTAATTCCGAAGGCCGAATACCTAACCCTATTCCTTCATTTTTTGAATATATACTCGCAGCTTAACTGCTTAGCTAGAGAATCAATCAATTCAATCTGATGCTCTTTCTGGTCTCAAGAAACCCAATAATACGGCTTGGGTTAAGTGGTTTGGTTGCTGTCAACATAAGTCTCTATGGACTCTGGAGTCCTAGCTTTGATGTTTTACATTATAATTACTTACCCACAATATACTTATTTCTCCATAGAAGAGCAGAAGAAACAACAGAAAATCTCTAATTAAGAAAGAATACAATCTTCTGAGCTAATAAGGTCAAGACGGATGCTTAAGTATCGTAAGTGATCCAAGGGTGTATTCGTATTCATGGTTGTTCAAATAGAGAATGAAGATCAACATAACTGTTTAGAAGGTTATTCTAATTCACTATTAAAAGTAATTATCAGAGGAGTTTTTGCAGAGGCAGATGGAAGGACAAAGACATGTACAAAATATGAGGAATCAATTAATGTAGAGTCTTACTGCTCAGATAGCAGCATCAGCAAACTCTAGTCTCTGACACTTACAAATCACCCAAAGGTTCAACAACCAAATATGACAGTTCATCTCATTCAACAATTAACCCGGGAGTGTTTGCAGCTCGGAAGTTTGATTTAGAGGAAGATAAGATGCTTCAGACTTCCATCGACTATGCAAACAACAAGGAAACAATTGTACATGACACCTAGCCTGCATATACTTAGATTTCCCCATAATATTTGACCAATAAAATAAACAACAGTACAAACAAAGTCAATAATATGAAGCATGGAGAATACTTACTTAAAGGATACTTGGAAGAAATAAATTGTCAGAACATAAATTTGACGTACAAGCAGGTTGAATGATCTAAATCGCTGCTTCTTCTCCCAACTCGCTGGGAGTAAGTAATACTAAAAATATAGATATTTGAGCAAGAGTATAACCATTCAACCCACAGCCATCTTTATTTTCTTTGCACAATAGCTTCCTCAACGAATTACTACGAATTTACCCCTGGAACCGAATCTGGACTTCATCACTACCAAGTACGACGTCGTGAGCCTTCCAAATAGCTGTAGAGCCTCGAGAGCAGTGCTTACTTATATTACTCCACCCGGGATTCTAGACGCCGCAGACAAGTTTCCCTCTCTGATATTGTCAATTCATCGCAGTTTATATCTAGATGATGCCTCAAATTTTATATCTTTAATGCCTATTCGTAGTTTGTAAAACACATACTAACTACACTTTTCGATCCGATACTTAGAGATCTCATTCGAGAATATAAATATCACTCAATAAACTCTTTAATAAGTATCTAGAGTCAAGAGAGAATATCCTATCTAATATAACTCTTTTATTATTTATTATTATATCATTTTTTATATAAAATAAATTCTTATAATTTCTCTTAATTACATCTTTTAAAAATTAAATTTATTATTATAATCAAATTTTTTTAGAATTTATCAATAAATAAATAAATTTCCATCTCTAACAATAAATATAACAAACAATTCCTCAATCACCCACTCACTCATTCATCATCCATTCAGCTCACTGTTACGAGGTTTGCCGTCTAGATCACGTGGAAGTGCTCTAGGCTCTCGAGGTGGTTTATAACTAGGCGTCAAGCAGGGACTTAAGTAATGACAATAATGATATGCAATTCGTAACTAATAGTAGAGTATACTAAATGATTGATCTTGATCTTGAGCACGAAGCTCTATACGAAGGGAATCCATCTTGATTATATAGACCTTCGTATTCCAACATTGAAGCGATGGAGCTGGGGAGCGAGATTCGAATCTCGCTCCTTCGCTCCCTCGCTCCCTCACAAGACTATCCATGTGATCCTATAACACGTGATAATAGTTTATAATGTTACAACGTAACACTCACTCACTAACTCACTTCACCAAAATCCACCAATCAACCCCCCCACTCCTTCCCTACCCCACCAAAAACCAACCCCACCCACCACATCCAAACCAAACCACCTTCAAAAAAATCAACGAAAACAAAATACTCAAATAGGTGGAATCAAACCACCGTGATTTTCAATCCAAGAATACAATTCATTGGCGGTGCTGGGAATCGAACCCAGATTGAAACGGATCCATTCGTGATATATCCCGTTAGAGATGAGCCACAACGTCACGTGCTACCATTACACCACACCACCTGGTTCGAGGTTGTTATTTTGATGAAGGCGGGAGGAGTTTAGAAAGTTATGTTTGTGGGGTTAAATTTGGGTTTGGGAGGGTGAGGATTGTAATGTTAGTATGATTATTGAAGTAAAGGAATGAGTGAGGAAGTGAAAGAGGGAAGGAAGGAATAAATAAAAAAGAAAAAAGATTTTTTTTTTAATTTATTAAGATGAGTTCTGTTTGTTTACTTACTCATTTATTATTTATTTATATATGAATTCAAAAGAATAATAATTAACGTGGTTTATCAGCGAGTCGCCACTATCAGCGAGTCGCCACTTTTTCAATATCTTTTATCATTCAATTTCAAGACGCGATATTTCAACGAATTATTATGGAAATACAATCAAAAGAGGCCAGAATAATCTTAGCTATTGAAGCTATTCAAAAATCGAAAAATCTTACAGTTGGAAAGGCTGCGAAAATCTACAAAGTCCCTCGAACTACATTACGAGATAGAATGGGCGGTCGAATTCACAGAATGGAAACTCGAGCAAATAATCTTAATTTGACTGAAAAAGAAGAAGAGGTGCTTATTCAGTATATTATCGATATGGATGAAAGAGGATTTGCATCTAAATTAAGTGGTGTAGAAGATATGGCGAATTATATTCTTGAATCAAGAGGTGCGAAGAGAGTTGGAAAGCTCTGGGCTCATCGATTCGTAAAGCGTTGTACAAAATTAAAGATGCGTTTTAGTTGTGTTTATGACTTTCAAAGAGCTCTTTGCGAAGATCCCAAGCTTATTGAAGAGTGGTTTCGATTGGTATCGAATATGCAGGCGAAATATGGTATTCAAGATTGCGATTTCTACAACTTCGACGAAACCGGCTTTATGATGGGTATAATATGCCCTGGAATGGTTGTAACTAGTTCTGAAAGAAATGGCAGAAACAAGGCAATACAATCAGGCAATCGAGAATGGGCTACGGCAATTATATGTGGTAATGGAGAAGGTGAAACTATACCTCCATTTCTGATAGTTCAAGAACAAGTTCATCTTTCCAATTGATATACCGAAACCGATTTTCCTGCGGATTGGGCTATTAAACCTACTTCTAATGGATGGACGAATAATGAGACAGGTTTAGAATGGTTAAAGCACTTCGATAAATATACTAGTCAACGAAGAAAGAGCAAATATCGAATGTTAGTATTGGATGGGTATGAAAGTCATGAATCGATACCTTTCCAATCATATTGCAAGTCAAATGACATTATATGTGTAAAGTTACCATCGCATTCAAGTCATTTAACTCAACCACTTGATGTTGGATGTTTTAGCGTACTCAAACGTTCATATAGTTGTCAAGTTGATGAGTTTATCAAGGCATATATCAATCATATTTCTAAGGTTGAATTCTTTATAGCTTTCAAAGTTGTATATCAACAATCGATTACAATTCAGAATATGAAAGCTGGCTTTCGAGGAGCAGGACTAATACCATTTGATCCTCAAGCTGTGTTTTCGAAATTAGATATTCGAATTCGCACACCTACCCCTCCATCGATCCTTTTGGAATCTGCCAACTCTTGGGTCTCTCAAACACCTCACAATCCAATTGAAGCTCTTTTACAATCAATTTTAGTGAAATCTCGAATTGCTCGACATCAATCAAGCTCTCCTACACCTATATTCGAAACTATAGTTGCATTAGCTAAGGGTACAGAACGACTAGCTTATGAGAATATACTCTTAAGTATAGAGATTTGTATGCTTCGGAAGGCAAATGAGGCATTAAGCAAACGTCGACACATTAAAAAAACTCAATTACATCAAGGAAGAGTACTTATTGGTCAGGAAGCTATAGATATAATATCACAACAAGAGGTGGATATTCAGATTCGACGCGACGAGCGTCAAAATAAGGGAAATTCCAATGGGGAATCATCTACTAATCGATGCTGTAGTAAATGTGGAAAGACTGGTCACAATTCAAGAACTTGTTCTAATAATATAATAGACCCTAGATTATTAGATTCTTAATAGTTTAAATCAATTGATTCAATAATTGTTGATTAAAATAAGTTTAAAGTGGTTGAATAAGTGAAAAAGTGGCGACTCGCTGATAGTGGCGACTCGCTGATAAACCACGTTAAATGAAATCTTCAAGGGTGTTTTGTATTGACGTTTAATGTTTAATATTTACAAGAACACAAATATATATAAAAATAAAAATATAGATATCCTTCTATCTACCTAGATATCTACCATCTCAAAAATTTCTTCAACCTTCCTTCCAATCTTTCAATCTTTCATCTAGGTCAGTACAATATAATCACAATCAATATCCTAATCAAAATCCATCCATCCATAAATACCATTTCATCATTTCATGAAATTCGACCCAACAATCTAACCTAACCTAATCTAAACCGCAATAAAGTAAAGAAATAAACCACTCTTTGCACCGCAAGCCATGGATAATTTCCATCATTCTTCATGAGATTTGATTGATTGATTCCTCCTCTTGTGTATCAACACGTGAATGATGTATGATATATCGTATCTAAGATTCATCACACTCATCAGATTCCTCTGATTCGGGAGTAGGTTCTTCAGCGACGGAAGGAGAAGGAGATGAAGCGGGGGTAGCGACAACATCTGGAGTAGATACTGCAGCGACTGGAGAAGCAGAAGGAGTAGCGACAGCATCCGCAGCAACAACAGGCTCAACAGTATCCACTTCAGAAGAAGTAGAAGAAACCGTAGCCGGAACCACAGTCTTAGCAGACCCGGTACTTCCAGATTTCAAATTTCCCGAAGCAGTAACGACGAGTCCGGGAGTAACAGCCACATTCTTAATGATAACGGTACTACCACTCAAACCGGTAACCCTGACATCCACCGAGGTAGTTCCGAAACCAGAGCTGTTTTCGAAAAAGTTGTAGGTGGTGCGGGTGGTGGATTTCCAGGTCTTACTTCCGTCGGTCGAGACTTCGAGTTTGGAGACTCCTTCGGCCGCGTTGACGACTTGCATGCTGAACCAGTAGGCTGAGACTCCTTCTTTGAGGTGCACTTGGAGGGGGGTGGTGATGGGGCAGGGGACGTAATCCCAGGTTATGTCGATGATGCCTACGCTGAGGGCGGCGAGTTTGGTGAAGGCATTTTGGTAGAGATCTAGATGGTTGGTTCCGCAGCCGGGACATTCGTCGGTGATCTGGGGGTTTGTTAGTTTTTGAGTTTGTTTTGATGGTCATGTTATGATGGATTGATTGATGGGATAAATGATATATTGAATACATACCATAGCAGTAATGTTGTTACCAGATGGACCAGTAACAGAAACACAACGACCACAGTTTGCCGCAGTAGCCCAGTTGGAATCAGAGAGCGCGGTACCAAGGATATTAGATGGGAGAGTGTAGGTAGAGAATGAACAAGCTCCTCCATTGGTATTACCACCATAAGAAGTAGCTTGACCGGAGAGAGCACGTTTTCCCATAACAGCTCCTTGAGCAACGGAGAGGAAAGCAGAGGCAATAGCCACGTTCTTAATTGAGAAAACCATTTTGATTGAGTTTAAAGTTTGAGGTTGGGACCGGTGGTAAGATTTTGCTTGAAAGGAATGAGAAGATATGTTGATTGACAGTGTAGATAATGAATGACGGCTATCTTTTCAAAAGAGAGTATGTTAAAAACTGAAGACCAAAGCTTCAAAGATTGATTTATCCAAATGATATCGAATCGAAATGTGATAATGAGTAGAAAAAAAGAAAGAGAATATGGGCAAAGGAAACCAAACACCTTTTAAAGAGTAAAAATTGAAGTACAATAAAAATTAATATATTTGAAATGATACTCTCAGGGGTCTCTAGAGTAAGCAATCAATCAGCGGGGCAAGAACACCAGAATGAAGCTTGGATGATATGTTTGTTCATCCTTTGCAATTTTAGAGATGCCAGATTATTTAGTAAGATGTTACCTAGGTATCGTATGATGAAATTATTTAAAGATTGGTTCACTAGAAACTCAATCAAAGATATTGATGGATTGTCAAATGGATAACGTAGTTCAGACCCAAATTCTAGACTTTTGGAGACCTCCATCCATTCATTCATACCGGTACTAGTCCCTGGAGAACAATATCGATAAATGAAAAAGACGGCATTTCCCCGTTGGTTTCAGTTACAACGGCCGGATAGCTAAGCTTTTTTCCCCTTAATATATACTACCCTATTTTGTCCAGACTTATTCAAGTGTAGAATATATAGGTGGTCCAAATAAGAGTCTCGACCTTTTCGCCATCCATTCAAAAGCCTCTTCCAAACCTAAATTGTGAAGGAAAAGAGAGAAACATACTTTCCTCATGAAAAAGGTAAGAGCATCATTATATCAAAGTTCGAATATTCGATAGTTTGAGAATTCGGATTCCACAATAAAATAACCTTATATTAAATAAATCCGTTTGTGTTTATTTATTGTTTCGAGTTTGTACTCACTCTGCCCGTTGAAAGGGTTTTACTTGTGGATGGAAAAGGAAGGGGGTTGATTTATCCTTACTCGACTATCGTATGAGTGAAACTATATATATCCCCACTAGAGCCGCACCGGCCATATGTTGCCCTAACACGATGGAGTTTATCTGGATACACCTCCGTACTGGTGGACCTAACTGGCAAGGTTCTCACCAGTCATCCATCCATCACATAAGTGACATAGAACTCACAATTCGCAAATAACAAACTTCAATAATGAATCAACAATTAATAAAAATAAGCGTTAACTTTCCACTACAAACTTCCTAATCCAGACTCCCTCCCAACTCCCGACTCCCGACCTCCGCTTTCCTAGACGAAAAGACTCAAAATCCCGCAAACCCTAAAATTACACTTCCTCTAAACGACGGATTCATTTGTTTCTTGGCAGGGAAGATGCACGTATGGGGTGAAGTCGCTGACATCGTTTGAAATGGTTGAAGTGATTGAAGTGGATATACCTACTAGGTACGATGTCTGTGCGCGATCACTTCTCCCACTTCTCCGTAGAACTCTATTCTGATTTGCTAGGAAGTGGGATGATTGTTAGGAATGGATGGGCGCTTCTAATTGATTGTCCATTTTGAGAAAACCGAAGAGATGTCCTGATCTGAGTCCTGAAGTATTTGCTTCCCAATTTATTCATCAACAGCAATATAAGCTTGCCATTTTATATTGTGTATATATTAGGTATCCAAAAATTGTAAAAGACGGATCTGGCATTCAGCTCTTCCGGTGGATACCCGGAGATGGAAAATTTCGGTTGTCGGAGATGAGATCGTTAGATCTTTAAACAGTGCCTTTTTCTCGGCTTGACTTTCCAAGGCATTGAGCTGCAAAATTAACAGGACATGATGCAGACAAATTGGGTATGATGCGTTTGTATACAAAATTGGAAGTACTGAATTAAGTATACATACTCCGTACAATCCGAGAGAACGCGAAAGAGGTTTCTCTAAGTACTTCTCGACCGTAGATGACCGACCACCAGACAAAACGCCCGATCATAAATATTTCAGAAAACACAAACTCATATCGATACTGGGAGGAGAAATCGAGTCGCTGAAATGAGGTGGTGAATTTTGAACAGCAAGAGATATCTGACTAGTGAAGCCGAAATCCCTATGCGCAAACTCCAAAGGGCGAGGTTCCTTCAGGCTCTCAAGAGCTTCGATAAGACTGTCCTGTCCCAGAAATTAATCAATGCGTCAGAACAAGATCGAAAGACAAAATGCATACAGATTCCCGAAGTGCACCATTCCTTGATCCTCACCGTTTCGCACGATAAACATCTCCAGTCCTTCGAATTTCATCCTCCACATCTTTTCCCCTTCCTTCCCTCTCCAGCTTTCGAACTAATGGTAAAACTTTCTCCCCAAAGTTTTGAATATCATCCTCATAATGCAAAAAAGCAATCAAAACAATATCAATCCCTAAGCTCTTCAACAACAAAATTCTATCGGCAACTTGTTCAGCTGTTCCGATTAATTTTGTTTTAAACCCATCGTTGTATTGCACCAAATCGTCAAATTTGCTATCGGCCCACATGCCCTTTTTATTTTCTGTCGAAGAGCCAGCTTGTTTTGTTGCATTCGCAAATGCATTCACAGCTTCCTTGTCAGCCTTGCCTTGAATTTCAGATAAGAGTCGTATTGCCTCTTCCTCCGTTTCTTTAACAATAGCAAAGCCATTGACTGCGAAATGTATCTGATCCTCTCGACCAAGCTTCCGCGCCCGCTCTTTAACGTCAGCAATTTGCTCTTGGAATCCCTCTAGAGTATTGCCATTCATGAAATAATAATCAGATACGTGAGCTCCATTTTCTCGAGCGTCAATTGAATTACCTCCTTGAAAAATCAATGGATGTGGTCGACCTGGTAAATCAAGAGGTTTCGGCGATAAAGGATAATCGTGGAATTGGTAAAAGTCTCCTTTGTAGGAGAATTTGGGGGAAGTCCAAATTCCTTTCAAGCACTCGATAAACTCCCTGCTCCTTCTGTACCGCTCAGCGTGTTCAAGCCACCACTGCCCAATGCTTGTAAACTCTTGTTTAAACCACCCGGAAACAATATTCACAGATATCCTTCCATTCGAATAGTGATCGATACTTGCGATTTGCTTAGCTGCGACAGCTGGATTCCATGGGCCAGGTAATAATGCAGCGATGACATTCAACTTCTTAGTGTTATGGAGTAGTGCTTGGGAGAAAGAGACGGATTCGTGTTGATGATCCTACGACAGATCAATATAATTCTCTGCGAACAACTTCTGATAAAACTCACAGCTCCATACCCTGCCATGAATCTAATTTGAGTGAGAGCATATTCGAATCCTACTTCCTCTGCAGTTTGCGCATATCTCACATTTGATTCGTAATCCCAACTATGAAATATTAGTGATTGAATCTTATGAGAAAACATCAAGACTACCTTGTTTTTTGGGGAATCTTTGATATCACTAAACCACCGGAAACATTGGGTACCCAATAAGCAAACTTGATACGATCTGGCGCATCATTGAGTCCTGCTTCCGCAGAAAAATGCGCATTGTTTCCATTCGTCGTAACACTATTGGCGTATTCAATGAGCCCGGTATGACTATCACCATTGACATATCCATTGGTGATTGCGCCTGAATGACCATTGGCTGGTCCATCATGCCGAATAATAATTGGACTATTGCTGCTGATTGTGATGGTGGTAGACATTTTTACCTTAAGAGTGGTAAGGTATAAGATGCGATAATTTTGATTAAAGAGAGTAAAGAGAGAAGCGTAAGGCTGAAGAACAGAGGTAGCGAACAGAATGGAAAGATACAGCTACTCTGTCAAGATAGCTATCCCGTACCTACTGACGTTCTACAGGGACACGATACTTACTCACACCATTGTAGAACTGCCAAAAAAAACTTCCGACCGTAGTTCAACCAAAGTTTTGATTGCTTCAGATGGGACTTCTCATGGTAAGTATGCATTGATATCCTGGGCGACGGATGGTGCAATATGCACCCCTCCTTGTGCAAGAGCTTTGCTGCACCTCAACCCTGGGTTTAATTGATCGACAAGAAATCATAAAAGTAATCATGGCGTATCAATAATCCGGTGTGGAATCCATGGATCAATTTGTAGCACTAGACAAAGGTTGCAAAATCATATGTCATAAACATTGATAACATTGTGGCAGGATGAATAGAGGGAACTTCGAAAACTACTTCATGTAGTTGTGGTATTTACGCTAAGCTCTAGACAGAATAAAAAATCTAATCTTTGAGCCGGCCTTCCATCGCCAAAGATCACGTGCACACGCAACGAATATTTTTGTTATGCACGTTACCTTCATGATATTTCATCAGTTGTCTATTATTTCATGCTCTCAATGCTAATGGTACGACTATTCTTGGACCATTTACAGAACCATCCCTAAGCCTATCAAGTGCTGCATTTATACCTTGCAATCCTCCATGTGCAACCTCAATTTCAGGTGTCGCTATCCTGTTGTGCTTGAATAATCTTTCTAACCAGATCATCAATTCTTCACCAATATTTGGTGCCTCATGGAATGTCTTGATTGGTACGGAATGATATAAAACTCCTGGCGTTGGCTCTTTAGGTAACCCTGTCAAACCAACAAGATGCGCCCTCTTCCCCTCTATACCGTTTTCTGATTGCATGGCTTGTGCAAGTAAAGCAGTACTTTCCTTTCCTCTTGTATCAAGTCCAAAGCGTAGCTTTCCTTTGGTAATACCTTTGACAATTGATACCGCTCTGTCAGTATCAAATCGGTCCACCAAAAGATCTGCACCATGTTTCAACATTCGTTCACCACTTCGAGCAACGTCTATGATAGCAATTACTTTCAGCCCAGCTAATTTCGCAAGTTGAACTGCGCAGCACCCTGTAGCAGATGAACCTGTGGCCGTCAGCACTTATCAAGAGTTTTGGAAGAATCACCTTACCTCCCCAAATGGCTATCCAATCCCCAGGTTCAGGTCTCTCATCTTCTCGGATACTTTCAAAGCATTCTGCCCTCACATCCTGTGAGATTGAATCTCTAGATAGGGAGTGGATTGCTCGGAAAAGATCCGGGCCTTGAGTCTCTTCATGATCGGCAAAATTTACTCCCAGACAAATACCCAGCCCAAGGGCTGCCGCAACGAAGGCAACACCAAGTGGTGCGGCATCTGTTGGGCTTATGGTATTTGGAAGTCTGCAAGCATTAAAGTCTGACACGACTGCGTATTGTTGGTACGCTGCTTTCCGTGAATCCCGATAATCCGTGGAAATTCCCATGACCTGGAATTGTCAATCATTGCTTTAAGGAACTGTTGATTCATGGATTCTTACAGTATCTCCAGATTTGAATCTGGAGTTTACTTGGGGTGGTTTCACCACTTTTCCTGCAAAGTCTCGGCCACTTATACAGGGAAGAGAAGGTAACCCAAAGCCAAAGTCCCTATTATGAATTTTCAATTCAGATATCATTGATGGCCAAAACACGAATAATACTTACGGAGCTTTCCAGTCGATTGGATTCAAACCGACGATTTCCACTTCAACAAGCATTTCGCGGCCATCCTTTAACGAAGGTATTGGTTGTTCCGTCGCATGGATATATCTCTGCCTTGGACCATGCAAGAGCAGGACTTCTTGATGTGATACATTCAGTTTCGAATTGGAAATTGGATCAATTTCCTGTTCTCGACTTTTTGTCTCGCGGCGCAAATAGATACCCTCAGGTTCAGTTTCTGGCTCAGGCCAATTGTGAAAGACTTTTTGATACCCGTGAGGTTCCGGAGTCTTTGGTGGCGTTATTGCCTGGTCGACAGATTGCGAGACATATGTTTGTGTTGAAGACATTTTGTTAAAAGAATGAAAGTTATGGTAAATACCTCCGCCCAATCTAATTGCTCGAAGTTTGACAAACTCAAGTATATCTACAATTTCGATCTGATTTGAACCATCATCTGATTTCGTTCTAGTTTTTTATGAATTCGGAATTATGGATATATTGTCACGCAATTATTGAGTTCTTGGATTGCCAATCGCGATGGAAACCGAGGCTTAAGATTGTTCCTCACGATAACTCCAGCCAATCTTTGTTTTGGGTATGTACATGATCATCCTTATCATGGTGTTGTATGAATATGCGGAGGTTATGGCGTGACAGCCACTAAGAAGTTCTAATTTGTGGGTCGCCCCGTGATGTCGGCAGTTAGAAGTAGACAAGACATCTATCTCATTCAACTCAACATCGCCACGATCTTCTTTAAATGGTTTTATCGGAAAGTATTTGTCAATTCTGTTGATAGGTTATCTGGCTAGGATATACCTTCGACGGAGAGGAAAATATCGCTGCGAAAACTGTCGACATAAAGGCTTATCAAGGATGAGAACCTTACAACAAACAACGATAGGTACCAATTACAGCTGGTATATTCATTGATAATGGATCTACACGGGTAACTCGTCAACTTACCATCACATTGTCTCTTGCCGTTTCACTTCAGAGTTTGAGGAAGTTTACTCAAAATTCATAATTGTCACAGAAGTTGTCAAACCAACAATCGATAGATCAGCAGTCGCAGCAAGATCTTCTACTACTTTCCCTAGCAAGAAACAGAAATTTCCTTGTGATGCGAAAATTCGATAAGCCTGGGTACCAAGAACACAAGCGTTTATTTTTGATTCTACAAATGAGCCACGCTATGCCATCATGGAACTGTGATACAGTAGATCCAGCACAGGCGCATTCGAAGAATTATCTTCTTGAAACAAGACATACTCGATCTGATTTTATTAAAATTAAAAAAAAAATGGTTGACACGAATTGAGGATAGATACCTGTCCCAAAAAAGCTGTCCCATTTTCTACTATTATTTTGGTCCAATATCACAACATTTTGTACGAAAATCCCAAGCCCACTCATGCTTCCTTCATCCTCTCTCCTTCCGATTATTGTTCACTCTTGTGGTATAAAATATGACCGGCTTTACAACGAAATCTATACGTACAAGTGTAAATGCGACTAGGCAATTGATTGTTTCCATTCAACACTACTTTGCCCCCTTCAAATCCTAATACCTCAAGCTTTTGGTAGTTAAAGGGCATTGTTCGAGTATTATAGTCGGGGTTATGCCTAAAAATGAAGGCTGCTCAACTTATTTAGCACCTAAATCCTGTAATATCTCTTCGAAGTTCGAAATTCGAAGCAGTAAACAGTTTTGTCCTTACAAGCGTACCTGACTAAATACATAGGCAGTAGTTGCATAATGACAAATGTCATCTTTCAAAATATTGAGCTAGCCTTTACTGCGAACTCCATTACGGAGAGACCAATACCGCTGAAGTATATTTCGAGTCTGGAAGATTGAATGGAAAGTTGTTGTAAAATATTTGGTCCTCAGCGGAGATTTATTAATTTTCTCAATTTTCCAAGCAATGGATTGTCGATAATTGTATTGGAAACCCGACACAAGAAAAAGTAAACTCGAAGGTGAGCTCTTGAGTGCCAGAGATACTGGCAGCGAATATTCCTAGATTGAATTTAACTACGGGTCAAAAAGCTAGCATTCAAGTAAAAGACAACATCTACCACCAACCTCTTGAAGAATTTCTCGAAAATTATCTAAATAGGAGTTTTATTAACATATTTCTAGTCTGTGGAGACCAAGATGGCTCAATATTATTTGCTTATGGAGTCTTACATCTAAGTGAAGTGGGTGGGTCAGGATTTCGGGAGAAAATCTAGCTGATAAATGGATGCATCATTTACAAATATCAGTATATCGTGCATTATGCAAAATAAGCCAGTCTTGGTGTAGTACTCAGTTACTTTTGTTTTTGCCCCTTCGAACCTATAATCGTGTGGGAAGCTGCTATAAAATGGAAAATTCATTGTGCTAGGACTGTTACCAAACAACAATATATTGATAAGTATAAAAGTTAGTTTGGGAGCTAAGAATCTGGGGTTTGGAGCTAGTTTGGGGGTTAGTTGAGGAAGTATTTATAATTATAGTTGCTTTGTGAGTGAGCGAAGAAGTTTGACTGGAAAGATTGTTAAGGTTGGTGGTTCTTGTATGTTGCGGATTACAAATGGTTTATGTAGTTATGAGGTTTTGAGGCTGGAAGAGGGAGAGAGCGGCAGTGGGGTGTGGGAGATTTCTTTTCTTTTCTTTCCTTATATATTATTTGCTGTATAGTGTAGAGACCTAAGGGCCGATTAATAAAATATTCTATTCAATAAAGAGGAAAGGAAAGGAAAGGAAAAGGATCCTATAGATTATTTTCCTCTCCTACTAATTAAAGAGGGTCTATGTATAAAATCTATGTCTCGCTCCTGACATTATTGGTAAGGACGATTTATTTTATATCGAGTATTATTTTTAATTCTAGTTTTTTGTATAAATAATTAATATATTATATAAATCGGAGTAGTAGTACAAAGTATATTTAGATTGATTAAATGTTACGTTATAACATTATAAACTATTATCACGTGTTATAGGATCACATGGATAGTCTTGTGAGGGAGCGAGATTCGAATCTCGCTCCCCAGCTTCATCGCTCCAATGATTGGAATACGAAGGTCTATATAATCAAGATGGATTTCCTTTGTATAGAGCTTCGTGCTCAAGATCAATCATTTAGTATACTCTACTATTAGTTACGAATTGCATTATTGTCATTACCTTAAGTCCCTACTTGACGCCTAGCTATAAACCTACCTCGAGAGCCTAGAGCACTTCCACGTGATCTAGATGGCAAACCTCGTAACACAATGGTTATCGGTAAAGTAAGATCATTGGAGGGATAAATATGACTTCTTTTGGCCTAGCCATTGCGGCTAGGCCATTCATTTGTGTGTATATAGAGTAGCTATCCCCATCTACAGGTACTCTTCACCTGTAGATTCTAAGTTAAATGCAATTGCTGGTCTACAAACACCCTTTTGGTCACACTTATATTAAAAATGACTTAAAAAAAGAATATTAGATTTATATATTAAATAAATAAAATCTATTAATATTTAAATTATAACCTTATAATCAAAATTTGAAAAGATTATATTAATAAATCAAAAGATTATTAATAAATAAAAATTGTTATTTTTGATATAAAAAGGTGGTCCGAATCAGGGGTGGTCAGAATTAAGAATGCTTGAGGTCCACGGGTGGCTTTAGTGAGCCGATCCATGAATGCTCGTGAGCACGGATCCGAAATGTCGTCGGGGCCGCGAGGACTAACCGGGGCCCCTGAGGGATTGGTTCGGTATTTAAGGCACAGTTAAAAGATTGTAAGACTACCTACCTGCCTACATAAAGATTTATTTTACAGCCTCTAACTCTTGCTCCCTCCTTTTCAAGGCGATAGTTATGGACTGAATTGAGCCGTGTCAGTCAAATTTGACACTTCAGTATGACTTATATATATGCTTCTTCTTGTTCTTGGCTCTTTGGCTGCCACATATGTCTTTTTTCTTGCCCTTCTTCGTTTCACACAAGCCTCGAAGGAGCCGCCTGCGATCGAAACCACGATACCCTTTATAACTCCACTGCTTGGTTCAATACCGGGCATGCAAAAGTATGCAGTGAAACTAAGGTTAGTCACTGAAAGAAAAAAGCTCAGTGAAAGGAGCAAACCAACAGTAGTCTACTTTCTATCATGATATCATGAGTCTGACAAATGATTTCTGGTTATAAGAGACAAATATGGCCTCCCGATCTACACATTATGCATGCCAGGCCAGCGCATCTACGTCACCAACTTCCTATCACTCATCCCACCACTTCAACGCGAGATAAAGAACATTGCTTTGCATCCTATCGAAGCTCGGGCAGCAGCCACTGTTATGAGTTTTGGCCCTGCTGGTAACGCCATTATAGGCTCAGACAAGATGTTCGAGCACGATTCTTACCTGTCTACATTTGTACCGTCTACTTCACCAGCTTTATCACCTGGTCTAGGACTTGACGCTATAAATGGTGTAGCAATCCAATATATGTCGCGTTCTTTGGAGAAACTAGCGAAAATGGCTCCACTGGTGTCGAGCTGTTTTCCTGGGTCCGTCGACAATTATTCATGGCCACAACCGAGTCTATATTTGGACCCAAAAATCCTTTTCGTGATCCTACACTTAAACAAGCATGATAGTAAGTCCGTACTCGTTCTTAAATTCCCCCATATACTACCTAGTTTGATGGTCTACTAATTTGTTCTCAAAAGTGATTTCGAGCCAACGATCCAGATCCACATGCTCAAAGCATGGCCAAGCGTATTGGCACCCAAAGGTCTGCATGCACGAGAAAAACTCCTCATCCCGGCCTTCGAAAGATGCTTTGCGGAAAATAGCCATCATCAAGATTCTCTCCTTGTTCAGTGTCTCTATAAGCATGACACAGATCATGGTTTGCGAGGCAGAGATGTAGCGGCTACAGAAATAGGCCAGATGATCGTATCCTTGACCAACAGCACAGCAGCAGCATTTTGGATGATCTATCATGTATTTTCTGACCTTGTTCTAGAAGATTGTCGGAATGAAGTAGAACAACTCATACATACTGATGGCAGTGGAATCTGTACCGTCGATCTAGCAAAAATCAAATCCGTATGTCCCATCCTCCTTTCCACATGGCAGGAGACTTTGCGCTACGTGCACATCGGCATATCCGCTCGGATGGTGATGAAAGATATCATGTTCGACAACGAATATCTCCTCAAGAAGGGAGCCACCGTTATGACTACCGCTTCAGTTCAACATGCAGAAGTGTCAGTGTGGGGACCAACTGTAAATACATTTGACCATGGACGATTTTTACGGAAGCCTGGCGAGAAGCGTACAAATCCTGTTGCGGTTCGCTCTTTCAGTGGTGGCGCAGCACTCTGTCCTGGTCGTCACTTTTTCAGTACTGAGGTGATGACATTTACGGCTTTGCTGTTGCTTCGCTTTGATCTGAAGCCTATAGCCACGGATGATAACTGGTTAAAGCCTCGGAAATTCGTCCCAGTGACATCATCTACGCCGACAAATAAGGATAAATTGGAGGTAAAAATTATTTCTAGAGACGAACAAAAATGGCAGATAAACTACTCGACGTCTGCGAAAGGTGTGGATATGGTTGCAGAGGAGTTTGCTCAAAGCCAGCAATGAATATTAACTAGAAAAATAATCACAACACTCTATTTGGCAGAGGACTATTTCTTCTGCTTTGAAGCCCATTTCTTCAGTTTAGCGCCATTGAGTGTTGTGACGTTGATCTTGAAAGACAGATTATTTACATTTTCAATAAAATCTGTGACCTACATGAGATCATTGGGGTCAGTAAAATGATGATCACACAAACAATCAATGTGTCTAACTAAATCATTTAGGTTTTTAATATCACTCGCCAATGGCATTTCTAATGATAAAAATATTTGTAAAACCTTCCTCCACTTGACGCACCAGAACATATTTTGCAGAGCTAATCGCAACTATCATTATTTTGAATTGAGACCGGAGGAATTCCAAACGGATTCAAGGGGGCCAAATGATTCAAGAATATGCGGCGCAGACCGTAATGGATGCAACCCAACTGTGCAATCCGGTTTCCGTCTTACTTCTATGATCAACGTGTACGGCGCAGCTTGTCAAACCAAAATATTGAACGGTACGCGGCTAAGCGAATGCCATGTCGACTAGCTTGATGGCTGCATGCCGTTGCTAATTTAGTGTAAAATCGCTTGTGGTTTAAGTGGGGTTTTCTTTAGCATGCAAGTCATTTGATACACCTAATACCTCCATACCTACAAGCTCTTGCATGCAAGTGTGGCATCATCATCTCTATTTTTTCATATGCAAGACCAGTTTCTCTTCGTAATCATTGGCTCGCTAATGGATCTTGAACCGATTTTTCCGAGATTTGCAATTATTGTTTGATCCCAGCGTTGTTTTCTAGAACACGAGGCGCAATGCAATGCTAAACTTGTGCAGCTAATCTCACCATTGTTCTTTGAAGCTGACGGATGACATTGACTGCCGTGATTGAACATGTAATTGAATGATTCGATAGCTCTTATCATTTTTCGTATACCTCCACCTAGCGTACAGCTAGACCGAAATAATGAATCCGTAAAATGCAACGGCGACTAAAAAGAGAGGGGTGGTATCGTAGCTCCCCTTTTCCCGGATGCCAAGGTTGGTAAGACGGCTCAAGTCCACAGTTTATACCTGCGAGTAAACACTTGCAGGTAGATAGTCTACAATTGAATATCCAAATATAGATAGATGCGGAGCTAAGATGTCTACAAGAATTTCAAGGTTCTCGCCTCCATCTTCCACCCCCTTCCCCACTTCCAATGACACCGTAAGATTTCTACATTCTCAACTGCACTCATCAAACTCTACCTCTTTGACCTACACCAACAAATCACCTTTCTTGAAGTAAAAGATGACAGATAGATTCCTTACGGCAGTAGCTATAGTATAGTTGTGGTGTGGGTGTAGCGTTGGTAATGGAGGGAGAGTCGACGATGATTGAGATGGGGGCTGATTTTGAGCTAAAATTACCATCTAATCCGTGTTTGTGTGCTATTTTACCTGTTTTATGAATGACTAACTAGAGTGGAAGAAGACAGAAAGGGGTGCGAAGTAATGAACAAACGAGTAATCGAAGCGATGCAAGCGACTTGATTCTGTTCAACACATGATTGACCCTTGGCCCTCATTCGATTTTCAGCTTCCTCTCAGCCAATTGAAAGATCACTTTGCTATAGCCTTTTGATGTTAATTATGATACTTGTTTTTAGATCCATATTTGAAATGCGCTCTAGTAGTTTCTCTTCTCTATAATTTTTGTTTCCACCTTTCAATAAACTCATATTGAGTTTAAGAAATCCATTAAGATAGTCCTATATAAGCCAACCTGCGTCTCCAGGCCATCAAATCGATACTTGAGGACGTTTTTCACGCGTCTAAAATTTCGTTTTCAGCATGGATCATATTCCTCTTGGTTTAGATCTGTGTATCTTACCGGCGGGATTACCACCAAATGGCACCACCAGCAATTTCAGGAATCCGAAATCACTCGTCCCGGCACTTATCTCGGTATGCGTCATCATGACCATTGCTGCTATAGTTTTTGTAGCTTGTAGATTGTTTGCCAACAGAAAAGAAATGTGGTGGAGCGATCGTAAGAAAGCTAACTACCCTGTCAGGTTGTATAGATAGACTAACAAACATAGACTTCATTCTCGTTGCATTCATTCTGTCACTCGTTGAAACTGGACTTATGCTTGCTCAGACTAAATTTGCGCGCCATCAGTGGGACGTAAGGGCGTGCTGGTACAATGGTACATACAACAAGGTTAGTCTCAAATACCGCCACAGCTAAAGTCCATGTTCAGAGACTAACAGCAACCAAAGATCGTCTTCTCACAACTAATCATTCTCAGTTTTGTGTTTTTCTTTTCTAAAGCTTCCATCTTCCTGCTGTTTCACCAGATTTTTGAAGTTAAACAAGGAATGCGAATCGCTATCCAAGTTGGGATTGGCTTCATCGCGCTACTGTATTTTACTAATATTCCCTTGTCGGCATCACTGGCAGTCCTCGGGTGGGCGAAACGTGGCCAGTGTGTTATTCACTGATCGTCCACAGAAGGAATTAATTTGGGGGGTCGTACAAGCGGCACTTGGCATCGTGCTAGACTTGTTCATTTTCATCTTGCCTATTCCGGTAATTCTGAGGCTCAAATTATCAAGAAGAAAGCAGATACAGATCTTGATAGTCTTTAGCACTGCCTCAATGTAAGTCGTGCTACACATACCTGCCATTAGCATTCTGCTAAAGCTAACGAAATAGGGGAGTCATCGCCGGTGTTTTGTCTTTGGTCTACAGATTGGAAGCACTAAATACCAACGATGTAACTTGGAAATATACCTTGGTTCTTATTTTCTGCTTATTAGAAAATCAAATAACTATCATCGTCAGCTGTACCGTCGGCTTCGTGAATTTCGTCACGGTATATATCTCAGAGCTCGCAATTATCAGGTCACTTCGCTCGAGTCTCGGCAGCGGAAACAGATCATCAACCCACTTCAAATTGGACCCAAATCAACCGAGACCAGGAAGAGGACCCAGAAGGAATGAAAATCATGAGTTGGATATGGTCAGTGATAGTTTGACATCATTGACTGAAATGGGCGAAGACCAATCCCTACCATCAGTTTGTGATTCTTCTGCAGCGGGAGTGTCACAAGAGACACACTATCCGGAATTCAAGCACGTCACAGACTTCAAAGAATTTAAACTCCCAGAATATCCACCTAGAGTCATCAACTACGGAACTAGCTGGGCCCATCCTGCCAATTACATTTGGTCTCATGGTGGCCCCTCATCAAGAAAGCATGGAGTCAGGCCCGGGAATATGTCTGACCATGGTCATACTACATATCTGTCTGTAAATATCTCTACTCACACCTCTGCTGAACGCTTGGTTTAAAAGTGTCCTGAAGAACCATAGAAAATCGTGCACGATATTATATAGTCAGTCACGGGCATAACGGGAAATTTACCTATAAGTTTGAATCCCCTTTCTACTCAATCAGTTATTAGTACTTGTCCCCAACATCCTCATAACCAATCAATGGTTCTTTTCATACAATTTATGGCAAATACAACGGGTCGACGGGTAATATCGTTGCCGAGGAATCCTTTATCTACGGAAAATTCTCCTTCCCGAGGGGCTGTTGATTTGAACCCGTTGCAGGAGATCAAAATAAATAATCAATCAATTTTCATTAAGACTCTCATCATGAGCATGGCAATAATTCATAAAGACAATAGAAATTTACTGCTCCTACATATAAATCATGTGATATGATTTCTAAATTCCAAAGACTATGAAGGGGGTAAGAACTTACAGCTTATCCTCTCGGGATAGATTATAGCTTGAAAACCTCAGCACTAACTGATTTCACGTCTCAAGAACTCAAAGTAACCAAAAAGCCTTTCATAAAGTTTTCTTCTTTTGCATCGTCCAACCTTTCATGCCTGATAAATAAATAAACAGCCTGAGGTGAGAGCACCTGTCTTCTGTATGAATGTCAACAGTACTTCAGCACTGTCTTCGTCCACTTTAGTTTGCTCACCTTTATCCACATCATCTACATGGGAAAATGACAGCATATCACCCTGTAAGGCCCTATAGTCGCAGAAATCGTAACGTTCGGAACAAAAAAGTTGCTATACGGAGGACGCCTCGAAAACTAATGCAGCTATAGGTCCTTACAGGGTATTAGCACTATACTACGCTGTTATTCGACCTTTCAATTCGAGACCTGAAAATTAGTAACTAATTAGGCTCTAAAACAATCATTCTAGCTCTGTAATGTTGTTCAATTAGGATTAGAATTAAAAAAAAATCATCATAAATTAAATACTATATGTTCGCTAAATATTAGATAATGCTAATTAGGTGGTCTGGGTGTAAAATTACAGGCATTTTGTAGTACCAATACCCTGTAATGCCTTATAGTCGCATTAGTTTTCGAGGCGTCCTCCGTACCGTGATAGCTACCAAGAATTGTTAAGCGACGTATCGAAGTTACCATATTGAAACTTGAGCGAAATCAAACAAGGTGGACTGTCAATAATGATTTGGCAGTGCATCTATCATTTTCGCCATGCATATTGGTACAACCATTATAAATAAACAAGGCCGGTAACAATCTTAAGTGGTGAGGAATAAGATTACACACACTATTAGCCTAACCTCGCCGCTGCTAACCTGACACTACAACCAAGTTTTTGTTTGCAATTGGTAGTAGAAGTCGATTTTTTTACGGTTACAGTCACACAGGGTCTTTCATCGGCTTGTAGTAAAATTCTTATATTGACCCGAAACAAAAGTTTTTTACCTGCGAGTGTTTCTTGAGCTAGACGCTAGGCCGCCTTTTGTGAAGTTCGAAATTCCTCAGTCCAAACAAACCAATCATTGAGTCCACATCCAGCTTTGAGAGTCATTAAGTGGCGGCTTCTATGGATGATACTAATCGAGATACAGTCCTTCAGCAGTGGCTGCAACGATAGCAGAATTTAAAGCGGCTGCAACTAGGAATTTCCTTTGAGGATCTTGAATGCTATGGCTTCACGTCCTCAGCGACATTTCAACACACTGTAACTTCATACGCATTAGCGCTTCCACGACTTATTGCGAGAATCTTCTCCTTACACCAGCCAGAAAGAGTACAAATATTGCGCAAGCTTGATGGCCTAGTTTTGCCTGGGGAGATGCTTCTAGTCCTTGGCCGACCCGGCAGCGGTTGCTCGTCATTTCTAAGGTTTTGTCTGGCGACACACACGGCATCCATGTGGGAGAGAAGCTGCAGGTTAATTACGCTGGTATTTCGTACAACCAAATGCATCGGGACTCTAAAGGCGAGAGCATCTACCTTGCCGAGCCGGATAAGCATTTTCCTGAGCTCAGCGTCGGCCAGACCCTCAGCTTTGCGGCATCTACAAGAGAGACTGACAAAAATAGTACCGCTGTATCGCAAGCAACGGGACGAGAAGTTTCAGTTTTGTTCGAATTTCCGAACGCTTTCGACACTAAAATGGGAAATGACTTAATCCGTGGCGTCAGTGAGGGAGAAACTAGAAGGACAAGCATTGCAGAAGCACTTCTCAGCCGTGCTCAATTCCAATGCTGGGAATATAGTGCTCGTGGTCTAGATAGTTTTACTGCCCAGAAATTCATCACACTGCTAAAGAAATCAACGAAAGCTTTGCGGTCAACTGTGGTCATGAGGATCTACCAAAGGTCGAACGCAATGTATCATGTGAGTAATTCTGTGATAATAAAGACATGAGGTTGAGAAAAGGTTCCACGAGTGCTAATGTTGCGAACCAGAGCTTTGACAAGGTTACAGTACTGTACGAAGGCCGTCAGATTTACTTTGGCCCTGTCGACTCAGCTACCGACTATTTTCATAAGCTTGGATTTGCAAAAGATAACAGAGCGACAACTCCTGATTTCCTTACCTCTCTCACGAGCCCGGCTGAACGTATTGTCCGACAAGGCTTCGAAGGTCAAACACCGAGGTCACTGGAGGAGTTCGTGGCTGCGTGGAGCGAAGTGCTGAGAGGAAGCGACTCATAGAAGATATTAAGGTTTTTAATTCTTCTCGTTCACTAAAAATATCGATTGGGGCAGGAACCTATTCAATTACGAGTTCAGATTTGATGAAGGATATGCTAGAGTAAGTTTAGGGCCGTTGTGTCGGGAGATTTTTGATCGCGCTAATTTCAGAATCTAGCAATCGCTCGGCCACTTACCCGATTCCAATCAGCCAGCAGATTCTGATCTGTCTTCCGAGAGGTCTACTACTTCTACGCAACAACTACATTCCTGCAGTTTCAACCGTCTTCGCGAACGCGATTCTTGCTATCGTTGTCGATAGCGTGTTTCACGATCTTCCAGATACAAGAGTTAGCATGGACCAGAGGGCCGTTGTCATATTTTTTTCTTATTGATATGCGATTTTTCACCTGTTTTTGAGGTAAGCAGTTTGAGGCTATCAAATTTCTCTCACTTGTTGTGGTGTTGGCTGAGTCGTTGCCAATTTCTTTAGGTCCTAACCATGTGGGCACAAAGGCCTATCGTGGAAAAGCAAAATCGATACGCTTTTTATTACCCTTTCACAGAAGCTGTGGCTGCAATTATTTGCGATTTTCCGGTCAAAGTCGGCACCACTTTCATGTTTCATGTCACGCTCTATTTTATGACGAATCTCCGGCGAACCGCTTCCACTTTCTTTACCTACGTCCTCTTCACGTTCTTTATAGTTCTAACTATGAGCATGGTTCTCAGAACCTTGGGCTCCCTATCAAGAACATTAGAATAGACTATGACACCCACATCCGTCATAGTTGTACTTTGTATTATATACACTAGTTTTGTGATACGAGTACCGTATATGAAGCCTTGGCTTTCTTGGTTTAGGCGATTTAATCCCATTTGGTATGCTTATGAGAGCCTGATGATCAATGAGGTAGGTACATGTGGTCTTTAGAATTTTGCATAGGAGTAGACAGTGATAATTTGCATGAACTAGCTCAAGGATCGAGAATTAGCTGTTCATCCACAACCCCTACCGGGCCGGGATACTCTAAACAGGCTGGTATGGGTGGCAAGATCTGTCCAGTCGTGGGAGCAAAGTCTGGAGAGTCTAATATACAAGGGTCATCATATCTGCTTCTAAAATATGGATACGAGCCGAGCCATCTTTGGATGAATTTCGGCATCATTACTGCTTTGATGATAATATTCTGCGCAATCCATCTACTAGCTACAGAGTACATTCTAGCACAGAGATGGAGGGGGGAGCTGCTGCTCTTTCACCGTGGTCATGGCAAGAAGCAGTCGCAACGCGTACTTGACGCCGAGAATCGCGATGTCTCGCCAATATTTGCTCAGGACATCGAGAACCAAGTAGCTTCCGAAGGATTTGATAAGCACTCGGAGGCTATCCTACGACCGTCATCAGTGCTTCATTGGAACAATCTGAGTTACGAAGAACAGACCAAGAAAGAACGGAAAAAAATCTTGGGTAAAATCGTTGGATGAGTCAAGCCAGGAACATTGACGGCTCTAATGGTAATAGTACTTTCAATTTAGATCAAAATAGATCAAGAATTCTTTGCTGACAGAAGTTTGACAGGGCATCACTGGAGCCGGAAAAACAACATTGCTCGACGTATTAGCAAACCCAGCAAGTTTCGGAACAGCCAGTGGCGAAATTTGAATTGATGGCACGACTCGAGATGCAATTTTTCAGCGAAAGATAGGCTACGTTCAGCAGGAATATATCACTCTTCCCACTGCAACCGTTCGCGAAGCTTTGGAGTTCAGTGCTTCGCTTCGAAGATCAGGGTCCACGTCGAGGAAAGAGAAGTTAGACTACGTCGAAAATGTAATCAAAGTCTTAGAAATGGGGTCATATTCTGAAGCTGTGGATGGATATGCCAGTCGTGGTGAGTCGAGAGATGAAGTGTCTGCTGGAATGCCATTGCTGATTGTGACAGGGCTGAATATCGAACAGCGGAAGAGACTCAGCATAGGTGTAGAGCTTGTTGCAAACCCGGAGTTAGTGCTATTTCTAGGTTTTTATTTCATAGCGACTCAATTGGAATGTTATAAGCTGACCCTATTTTGTGAAGACGAGCCGACTTCTGGACTCGATAGCCAGACAGCCTGGTCGACATGCTCACTTCTCCGCAAAATAGCAGATCATGGACAAGGGGTTCTTTGTACTAGGTTACTTTGAAACTTTAGGAGCACCTTTGTGCCGACCAGAAGATAGCTTTGCTGAGTGGGTTCTGAGCGTCCTTAGTCACAATAATCATTCTTCCATGAGCACAATGAGGTCAGAAAAACCACTAGCGGAGACGGAATCTCGCGAGTGGGACTCAAACTGGGCACAGAAGTGGCGTGAAAGTACCCAGCACCAAGCTACACAGCAGTATCTTCAACAACTTACCATGACATCCGGCTCCTTGCCTGAAGGCAAAGCGTTGAAAACACTAGTCCGAAGCGAATATGCTACTTCGTTCTTCCCACAACTAGTCATCGTGACAAAACGAATCTTCCAAGAATACTGGAGAGATCCTAAATATTTATATTAGAAGTTGGCTGTCTGTTTTTGGCGTGGTAAGTGTCCTACCTTGGTCCTTTTTCGGAGAAACATTTCCTAACATCATTATAGTGCTTCTTCAATGGTATCTCTTTCTATAAGACGACACTTGATATGCAAGGCTTCACCAACTTTCTTTTCCCCATCTTTCTTATCTCTCAGCTCTTCAGTACCCTCGATCAACAAATCATCCCACGCCTTGCTAACAACCTCGTTATATTTGAAGCTCGCGAGAGAAAGTCTAAATCATACTCCTGAATCACGTTCCTCACTACTAATATTATTGTTGAACCATTCTGGCAGACTGTCTGCTCTGTAATTATTTTCGTATCCTGGTATTATCTGACGGGTCTCTGGCACAATAGTGATCCAGGCTTTGGAACAGTGGAAAGTGGAGGTCTGGTATTTGTCCTCATTTGGCTATTTTGTCTATGGATCTCGACCTTCTCACAGGCTGTAGGCACAGGCATCGAGTATGCTGAGACGGCGGTATAATTGCCACGCTGTGCTTCTAGCTTTCTCTCGTCTTTTGTGGCTAAGTGCTATCAAACTATATAAAAGCCAATTCAGGACTAATCAAACTTTTAGCGTCCTAGTTTCCCCAAAAAACCTTCCTCGTTTTTGAATCTTCGTTTATCGAGCGTCCCCATTGACATATTTCACTGATGGTATGGTTCTAGCAGGATTGGCCAACACACGTATCGAATGCTCTGACATTGATCCTCCTTTCTCCAATTTTACATGTATCAATTATCTAGAAACGTTCATGCGGTATGCAGGCGGAGTCCTCAGAAATCCCACAGCTAGCACGGATTGTTTGTACTGTCCAGTTGATCAGACAAACAATTACTCCAGCAACTGGGATTGGAAACAGAACATGCGTGGCGGAATGTAGCCTAAATGGTCGTCTATGTCGTTTTTAACACGCTTGCTATATTTTTCATCTACTGGGTTGCAAGAATGCCGAAAGCCAACAAGAAATGAATCCCGCGAGACTATCGAATTTCACGTTCCGTTCCACAGTAGGGTCTTATTTCCTGTTCACGTCAAATGATTTTACGGTATTTTCATGACGCTCCTCTCACATCATAAAAGTTCTTTTAATAGTAATCGTCTTTGGATCTAGTTGGATTACCAATGATGGATCTTGATAGATTCTTTAAGCAGCTATAACAGGCATACTGAACATCTACAGAAGAAGAATAACGAGTAAAGGTATTTATCTCTAGCATGCCCTATCAATCCCAAAAGAAGCGTGATGATCTCTGTTAACGAGGCAAGAAAATCATAAAGGGAATGTCTCCACAGAAGAAAGAAATCGATATGGAATATAATAATAGCTGGTATATTTGGTGATGTTCACTTAGACTCAGTCTTGTTTTTGAGATTCCAGTATTAATATATCCTTCATGTAATCAATCATAATATATAGCTCGAATATTCCGAATCTTCATTCTTATTTCTTCCCTCTCTTTCAGCTGACTACTTCAGGTATTAAGATATTATTTACGCAATAGCATTATGAAACCAAACAAGAGCTCATGAACAATAGAATAATAAAACATAGGTAGTTTTGGAAAAGGATATAGAGCCTCGACTATCGTTGGAAGATTGACAAATTCGTAACCAATAGTATGATAAGTTCTTAATTTTGTTTTTTAGAGCCCTGAGGATCAAACGAAAGTTCTGTGTATGCTGCTTACGGATGTTTTTGTTTGGTAGGCTGTAGGGTATTCCGTGCCATGTTACATTGGATATCCCGCTTTGAGGTGGCTCCAATGAACACCCTGCAATGACACCTCTGCCGTGTGACCAGTCAGTTTTGAATTCACTTTATATTATGAATAATTGAGATTGAGGCATAAGCTCACTATGAAAAGGCTGCGTTCGTACCTTGACTTTTTGAAGAAGTATCACCTACCAGTCCATAATATTTGATGATCGTGACTTTGTCATGGCTGAATTTACTCAGATACATACATTCCCGCAGCCTATGTGCGCCAACAATGACCAGGCTGGAGATGACAATGGAATAACTCTGTGTACTAAAGCTGGATCAAAGGCATGCAGTAAGTGCCTCTTAGTCCAGTATTGCAGCAAAGATTGTCAAGCCGCACATTGGAAGTCTCATAAAAAGGATTGTCACTCTCCACTTCTGAAGAAATCCTGGAAACCTCAATGGGCTGCGGAGAAACGAGTGCCGGCTTTTATAACCCCGGGTGGTGATCTTAATGCGCCAGTTCATGAATGGGTTACTATGGTTCAGCATGGAAGTAAGAAATATCTATGGGGAAATGTTCCTGCGATAGATGTGATACAACGTGGCAAGAATGAGGGAGAAATCTTTCCAGAGGAATTCAATATGCTGTTCGCAGGTAAGATGATTTTGAAGACGTGGGAAACTTTAATTTGACAATTGAATAGCATCTGGAGATATCAGAAACGTTGTCAAGTCTATAATCGGACTTCCGGTCGCGTATACAGGGAAGTGTGAGATTGTGATCAACGATAGGGACTTCGATATTGTGGCGAGAAATGCAATCTTGCTCCTCACAGCTCTCTTATTTGACCCCATGGAAGCAGCGGATATTATGCTACATACGTGGTATTCTGCATTTGTACCCGAATCAGTGTTGCAAAAAGTCCAAGAACGAATCCTTCCTCTGATTGAAGATGTTTGCATGAAAGTTCGGGATCGTCCTGAGAGCTCTCTACAGTCCAAGACTTGGACATTCGGCACTCGAAAGCTGAGCTTGACCTTACCAAAGGCTTCATGGGATCTTCTTCCATCGTTTCTCAAAGTTCCCAGTGGTTTGACAGCAAGTCAAGCCCGGAAAGTGATGGTAGAGACTACATTAGCACCATCAAGAAAAGATTATATTGATCGAGCATTCTATATTAAACCACCTGCTTGGCGTGTTTGTGCTGTCAAGTTTCGTACTGATGGTATACTACTGCCATTTGGAAATTCTCGTAAAGAGTTCAATACACCAAACCCGTAGGTACATCCCATCCATTTTAGAGATACGATAGCTAATGGAATGGTAGAACGATGTTTCAAAGCACTGACTTTTGGCCAATGATGGACTCTGCAGATCCAAAGGAAGGATGGGCTATCAATGAATTCATGTCGAAACCCCCACCCTCTCGGAACGATGTCTATGGCAGCCTCTACTTTTATGTTCTGAAGCAACTGGAAGAATTCTGTCAACGAATGAGTAATTTGAAAATTCGGTTCCAACTGTGTGGGCTTGATGCCATGGATCTGCCAGGGATTCTAGACGAGCGTGGCACTGGGGGGAATTTCTTTGATAGAATTGAGGTAGAGCATCCTCTCGTTCCCGAGGTGAAAAATTTCAACCGCTGACTGTTCTCAGGTATCAAATATTGGAGATCGTGGCTACCTTGGACCCCCGAAACTCCTCGCGACTTTCGCTCCATACCTGAAGCAAAAATCACAAAACCCGCACGCTACACTCATAGCCTTATTCCTAAACGCTGTGCATGAGTACTATGATGCACATGACCACATTGGTAGCATAAAAGCAGAAATAGCTCAACTGAATAACTACATGACTCTTGATGCAGCTACTATCTCGCGTATTGATCAAGAAACATACAATCCAGAAGTCATCAAATATCTTAATGCGAGATCTGCATTTAGGGACTTTGATAGACCATTTGATAAATTTCAGAAGCATTGTCGTCTGAATGAAATTGGCCCAATTGTAGGATTGAAAATCAAGAGTAAGAATACAGTGGTTGAGAAATGGCCTTTGAGGTTGAAACCTGGGTCGGCGCAAGAGGATTTTGAAATTTTGTTGGCATCGGGACACACGGGTTCCGAAAGATATGTAGAATGGGAAAGTTTGACATAAGACTGATTTGGGAACTTTGGGGAGGAGAAGATGATTGAAAAGATAAACTGTCTCGAAAATTTGGAAGTTCCATCCTATGAGATGCTCCACCACTCCTTCCTCATTGATCAAAGGTTGCTGGCTTGTCCTAGCTGAACTTCTTGCAAATAAGATCTTACATCCTCAAAAATAATTCATCCATCATCTTTCTTTCATCTCTCAACATCAACCAAGAAATTCACCACTTTCCGGCACAACTTCGGAATTTTACACTCATTAAAAGATCATTGATTTCACACCTCATCAATTCAGCAAAGGCTCACCACTCAAACTCACTTTGCCTTCGATTCTTTGATCTTCAACCTCATCCAACGACGGCGCGTGGAACCGCATGATTTTGCCATTTGAAACATTGATCTTCTTTAATTGTGGCAAAGATAAAGTGGTAAAGGATATACTTTTTGTCCTGCTGTGGCACTATCTTGTTATTGAAAGTTCCAAAGGGGCATTTAGATAATAAATCGATTGTTTGGACAGAGGTCTAGGGGAAATCATCCGATGGCCTTTTTTTCTGCTTTTTCGCTTCAATAATCTTCACCAAATTTGTAATCACTTCCATCACGTCCTCGAACTATCAGCTTACCTAGTCTGGGATTGCAACGCCAGTTAAGGCTTATTAGGTGGAAACATCCATTCAATCAAACTTTCACTCTTCCCATCCAAAGTAACCAAGACACCAACAACTCTCAAACTCCAACCATCCGACGAGAAGATCAAATCTCCATGATGTTACCCTGCAAGTATTTTGTAACTCCTGCTGGATGCGGTCGTGGCACCTCTTGTCAATACAGCCATGATGTGAGCATGGAAACAAACGCGCTTCAGCCTACCTATTCGTTAAATATAAAAAATGGGAAGCCGCTTACTATACGGCCCTTACGCCCTGAAGCACAAAAGCTGATTACTTGTAAGTTCTTTGCTAAGGGGCTTTGTCAAAAAGGCGATGATTGTCCTTTCAGTCATGTATTCATAACAGCAGCTTCCCCAGGAAGTCCGCTTCTCAAGAGAGTTTGCAGCTTCTTTACCAAAGGGAAATGTACCAAGAGAAACAGATGTTACTTTGAACATACCTTAACAGAGCCTGGTAACGATTTAATCGACCAAACAAACGCACAAGTCGGGAACCTCAGCTAATTTCCTCCACCACAGTCAAAACACCTTCAAATTCAGCTCCCTTGATAATAGTCCCTGCAGTCACAAAGAATTATGTATGGCTTGTGTTTCCAGTCGGCTATCAATCGACGTTTATTCTAATATTTCACAGGATAAAATACCGGATGGTATGATCGCACGTGCGATTTCTGGAAGTTTGGCAGTGTTTGAAGATGGAGGGCAAGTCTACAAAGTTTTAGTACCATCTGATTTCACCACTATCCGAATCACTGGCTTGCCACAAAATGCCACCATTGGGTATATTGAGACTATGCTGGATAGAGTGGGCACTGATCAATCTGAAATTTGCATTCGAGTTGCTAGCAATGGCACCCCACGCTTACTTTGTGCATACCTTCGACTCGGATGCTCCACGGTAGGCTCAGTTCTAAGCGAAGAGCTGGAGTCACCTTGGAGCAGATTGGGATTTTACTCCAAATTGAAGGCAAGCCCAGTCCCTACCCGCTTGTCCTCCGTCTCTGGAACTTCACGCGGAGTCGACTTCCACAAAAGTGATTTTCTTTTGGTATCGATCTACAAAGACAGCAACCTTGAAGTACGCGGACGAGGATACCGCCAGTATAACGTGCAGTAACTTCAATGAAGGCTACTACAGGGTTATGGGCGAGCAGTTGAAGTGTTCACCTGTTCTTTCTGATCTCCAAACCGACCAAAACCACAGGTTTCTGTGCATATTGAGAAACGTACCAGCCTCTGCGGATGAAGAAGACATCTTGACTACCATGGATGAGAAACACACGCCGGAGAAACTGGACTTTAGCGTAGCGAGTTATGGAGCATCTGACGAAATGACTAGTAATTTTGTCAAGGAATTGTGCTCGGCGATCGGCCCTCTGGAGTCTTGGGAGCCTGTTCAGGATCTACGCCCACTGACCAAGAGAGTCAAAGTAAGAGCTTGATTCCAGGATGAATCAGATGCTCGAGAAGCGGTTTCACAATTAAACAACAGAAACATAAATATTTTAGGGACGGGAAAGCTGATGGTTAAACAAATCGCTATAGCTCGATTCGAGGTCATGACAAAGATATATTTGGCTGTACAATTGCAAATCGAGGCAGACGAGAATTTATTGATTGAGCAGTATATCAAAATCAGAGCATATCCAAGCACTGATGTTTCCCAGAAGTTTACTTCTTTGAAGATTGAGGGAGAGCCTGGAGAGAGCTTTTTGAAGGCCAAGGATAAGCTGGAGGAGATTTTGACCGGTGCAGTTGCCATGGCTGACGGTAGAACAGTTTGGAACGATTATTTTATGCAACCCAAATGTCTGAATAAGCTCAAACTAGTTGAGGACGAGTGCGGTGTAGTAATTTATCGTGATACAAGGAAACAGCTTCGCATTTGTGGTTCACCCGTAGATATCGAATGCGCCCAACTTTCACTTCAAAGTATGGTTGCGTCAGGACTGGAAGCTTATGCCATCGTGCTCAATCGAAGCAATTTTCGTTGGTTATCGAACGGTGGATTTAAGCAGATGGTGTCAGCTCTTGGAAAAGATGTTGCTTCTATTGATACTTTATCAAGTCCAAAGAAGCTATTAATTTCCGGTGGACCTGAGAACTATCACAAGGCGATGGAAATCCTAAATCTCAAGAGTGCTGTTACTAGCAACTTTGTCAAGGCGGATGATTGCATCATTTGTTGGTGTCCTGCTGATACTCCAGTCCGTACGCATTGTGGTCATTTGTATTGTCTTCAATGCTTTGAGAATCTGTGCTCCTCTACTGCATCTGGTAACAAAGAGGTCTCTATCAATTGTGCAGCTGATAAACGTGAGGTCACACTCTCATTAGAGGAGATCCAACAATACCTGACCTCCAATACTTTCGAGGATCTTCTTGAAGCGTCATTTCATTCATATATCCGTCGACATCCAGAGGACTTTCATTACTGTCCATCTCCAGACTGCGGACAAATCTACCGAGTTACTCACCTTGTCAAGTCCCGCGCTTGCGCCGAACATCTCACGGAGACTTGTATCTCATGTCACGAGTCTCACAATGGGCAAACTTGTGGTGAGTACAAATATCAGGAGTCTAATGGAAAAGAAGCATTCGAGAAATTTAAGTCTGAAAATGGCTGCAAGGATTGCCCCAGATGTAAAACACCTTGGAGAAGACTGAAGGATGCAACCACATTATTTGTTCTGGATGCGGTATTCATATCTGCTGGATTTGTCTTGATACGTTTGAGAAAGACGAACATTGTTATGATCACATATCCATGGAACATAGAAATATTGGTGGTCCCTTTGCAGATGAAAATGAGGACTGGGAGATGGACGCTGACTTCCATGACGACCGTAATCGTGAGGCTGCCCCTATTTTGGGGGAATTGGATGATTTTTTTGACGAAATTCCTGCTGATAATCCTGACCCTGCTACGCTGAATCCGTTTATGCGTGCTCAACTGCAACGACTACAAGAACGACTTGAGGGAGAGCCCTTTCATAGATGGTAAATACTGATTCTTTGGAGAAGTTGATGCTTTTACTAGTCTGGGCGGCATTCTAGGATTTGTGACTCTATGGCTTTTAGTCGGTTATCTTCAATGATTGAGGGTAGAAATATCTTAATACGATGGTATCATAATAGTGTACTATGAGATGAAGTAATTAATACATTATTATATGAGTATTGTCTTTGCTGGAGAACTGTCTTTACAAGAGTAATTGAATTGTGTGTATGTGAAACCTATGACTTGAATGGCTTGAATGATTCGCTTTAATGACACGGATAAATAGCTTAACGAATCTGAAAAGGGGGATAGATCGATAACAAAACTATAACTTCACATCACTGAATCATGTTGAAATTACTAAATTAGAGTAACGAAAACTCATAAATCTAAAATTGTATCTCGGTATTTAAATTTGTGCACTGAAGGAGGAAATACATCAATAATCACGCCTGAAGTGTTCGATAGTATAGTTGATGAAATCAAGGTACATGAATCTATCTTACCATGGTGACATATGCTAATCATCAGTATGACAGACTGCTTTTAATTTCACTTTACCAGGAATGCACGCCGTGTTTTATTATACCTTAGCAATATACCGGGTTCGTCAACCCTTCACGTCAAAATGGGCAGGTGTCCTTTTGTGGGTTAACTTCTTGGACATCAATTACTTTGATGTGCCTGTAGACTTCAGGAGCTGTGTCCCGCCAGAGCTCTAGAATTTGGTTCAATGCAGGATCATATATTTGGGTGTGCAGAGTTGGATGAGGAAAAGCGTGGAAGTGGAGTGGAGTCGGAGTGGACTGAAATATGGGATTCGATGAGAAGTGACAACATGACGTGAGAAGTGCAGGAAGGGAATCCATCTAAGGATTCATGAGTTTGCAGCACTCGGTGGATAAACATCCTCCAAATTTTGTGGTAAGATATCTGCTGGTTTGTAATTAACATGAAAGCTGATAATTTCAAGTCGGTCAGACTACATTCAGAAGAGAAAATTGGTTTTAGTGGATGGTTGTTTGGTAGAGGATAAATTCATTTTCTTTTTCTACAACTTGTGTACCTTGTCCAAAAAGTAATTGTGATAACAGCATGTTTTGAGCGTCAAATATATCGTCCATAACGAACCTCCGCTCACCCAATCAATGGGAATCATATAACACATGCATGACTGACCATGCATTCTTGAAGTTGCCAGTCACATCTGTTTGAAGCCAGTATGCTAGAATTTAGCAAGAGATATCAGCAAAACTTCCGTCGACTTTCTTGAGTGGACTGATAATTCTGAAACGACAGAGCTGAAGGGGATCACGCCATCGACGAAAATGTGTTGATATCTTACTCAATATTAGTCAAGGAAGGGAGTTTGATGTAGAAGTGGACTTTCTAGATATAGCTCTTATCCATGCATGTTTGAAAGTATCTTTGGCAATGTTTAATTTTCCCTGTCGCTAATCGGATGAACTTGTATCATCTAGATTATTTGACATCCATGGGTGGGGATAACTGCAACCGAGAGAGGAAAAAAGAAATCTAGAACGACTACTAAACATTCGACAAGTTCATCAGGACTACCAGGAATGGTAGAGATAGAACAGGAAGTCCAGGCAAGATCATCAGATTCCGATTAAGTTTTTTGACTACCAGATACGGAAATTCCGGTGGGAAAGTGGCAATGTTCAGTTCAGGACTTCCTGCACATTCTGGCAATTGTTGCAAAAGCTCTAGGCCAAATGCAACTATCACTCCATACTAAGTTTAAACAGAAGACATTGATCTCAGACTCAGGATACAAATGCTGCTCATCAAAGTTAAACGTCTGGATATGGTGTTACGGAACCAAGTAGTCCTCCAATCTCCGAAACTCCATCTTCACCGGAACAACAAAAGTTCCGATAAATAACCTAATATGCCTGAGGCCACCAGACTTGATTACATCAGAAATTTTTCTTCACCGGTAGTTCAGCGTTACAATAACAAGCGCCCCTCCCCCGCCTCCTCAATAACACAAATGGTAGGTAAAGCAATCTATTTTGCACGAATTACGTTTCGCCTACCGGCAAAATCCGTGCGATCTTCTATTTCAAACTCGAAGTATCAAAGCGTCATGCTTTTCTTGGCTAAGCTTGTTTGTTAACACCGTTGTGACAGATTTTAGCTTCGGCTGTATAAATCCCATTTGAGCGCTTCTGCGGGGAAGGGTTATCTCATGACGGGAAAATCTCGTGGTGGAATATACACCTCCTCGACTCCGTTTGGCAGTTAAAGTGTCGGGGAAAACATGGTGTCGGCATACTCCTATTGTAGAATGGATGGCTTTCTTCAGCTACTCCGTACTCCGTAAATCTTCCGAGTGGAATCATGTTTTGTTTTGTTTTGTTTTGTGGGGGAGTATTCGGTATATATATTCTACATAAATAACATACGACGATATCCTCGTGTTCTTCTTGCTCTATCATTCTCATCGATTTCCTGTTGAGTTTACACCTAAGTCGCAATATTCTGCTTCATTGTCATACTCTTACTTTTATAACACATCCCAATTTCGAAACCTGGTAATTCTAGAAAGACATCATGAAGACCACATCTGAACTCCTCTTGGCCGTTTTGGCCTCTGCTGCACATGCTGTTCCATTCAGTCATGTAACACCAACAGCCGTTGATTCAAACCTACCTAGAGCCGAAGTACATGCCGCAGCAGCTGCTTCACCCACCGTTTACATGTGTGGAGATTCCACCATGGCTCTCGGAGGCGGCGGAACTGGAACTCAAGGTACGTACAAATCACAAAACATCACCTGTGAATATCTGTAGCTAATATATACAGGCTGGGGTGTATACCTCCCATACTCCCTCAACATCCCCGTGGTCAACGATGCCAAAGCCGGCCGCTCAGCCCGTTCCTACACCAATGAAAACCGCTTCGGTGAAGTCATTGCCACCATCAAATCTGGCGACATCGTCATCATTGAATTCGGACACAACGACGGAGGATCCCTCACTCCAACCGACAACGGACGTTCCGATTGCCTAGGAGCCGGTAACGAAACCTGCACGACAGCCGCTGGTGTAATCGTGCAAACCTACCCCACCTATCTCACCAACGCAACCGAGCTCATGGTCGCCAAAGGTGCCCACGTCATCATTTCCTCTCCTACCCCTGATAACACATGCGAAACTGGTACATGTTCATATACATCACCTCGCTTCACGGGGTACGGCGAGGAGGTTGTGAAGAATGTCGGAAGCATGTCTAGCTTCATTGATCACGGTACTTATCTCGCCAATCAATATGCTGTCCTTGGTGCTAGTATTGTTAATACTTATTACCCCAATGATCACACGCATACTTCTCCGATTGCGGCGAATCTTGTTGCCGGAGTCTTTGTTAAGGGGGTTTTGTGTGCGGGGGCTTCTAATCCTTTGTATTCTTATATTAAGAATAGCACGGCTAATGTTGTTGGTACCTGTATATAATTCAGAGTATTTGAACATCGAAACTGGTTTTGAGGTATGGGTATTGGGAGAGGATGGAATACTTTTTTGTATATATTTAGCTGAATGAATGAATGAATGGGAGTACTGTCAATAATTTACAATGCCATTAACAAAACAAACTAAGATACATCCCTATTGATATCGTAAAAGAGTAGCTTGACATACATGCATCCTGACAACAAGCTAGCTATATCCAAAAGGATTAATATCTTCTTCTTCATCAGGAGGAGAGTGTGCTTATACTTATACTTATACTTATGTTCATCATCACAATCACCAAATCTCATCATATCTCACCATACCTCAAACTTCACCATAAAAATAATGTTCTAACGTTCCTAGGATGAAAATAGGAATAGAGAATCACAAAAAAAGAGCGTAGTCACTAAGCAAGAAGAAGCATATTTGACTTTCCAAGTCCTAGCATTAAATCAGAGACAACGATAATATGTACTAAATTGTGTCTGTCCATTTAATCTAATTTTTAGTAGGTCCTTCACGGAAATGGCCCGCGATCAAGAAAGCCATTTCTAGTGCTTGTTTTTCGTTCAATCTTGGATCACAGAAACTCGTGTAGTTTAGTGATAAATCTTCCTCGGCAAGTCCCTCACTACCGCCTGTACATTCCGTTACAGCATCACCGGTCAATTCGAGATGAACTCCTCCAAGGTAGCTTCTTTCTTCTTGATGAACTGCTAAAGTTTCTTGAAGTTCGGAAAAGATATCTGTGAATTGTCTCGTCTTGATGCCGGTTGATGTAGATCTTGTGTTTCCGTGCATTGGATCACATTGCCAAACCACACTTCGAGCATATTCGCTATCTTCAACTGTTCGGATGTGTTTGGGAAGAAGTGTGCGGACTTTCGAAGCTCCATAGCGAGTTATGAGTGTTATCTTGCCGACTTCTAATGTTGGGTTGAGCTTTCGTAGGAGCTCCAAAAGATCTGAGCAAGAAGTCGTAGGGCCCACTTTAACGCCGATTGGATTAGCTATACCACGGAAGTACTCAATATGTGCTCCATCCACTTGTCTTGTTCGGTCACCAATCCAGAGAAAGTGTGCCGATGTATTGAAGTATGCCTTTCCGTCCTCAGTAGGATCAATATTCTTACTGCTGTTTGCATCGGCTTGTGGGCTTTGAGATGGATCTTTAAGTCTTCGAGTAAGACTCTGTTCATATTCAAGTAAAAGGCCTTCGTGACTGGTGTAGAGGTCAACTCCTCGAAGTTGATCAGCAGTATCTGCACCGATAGTACGCATGAAACGTAAGCTCTCGCTGATGGAATCAACAATCTTCGAGTATCTCTCTTGTAACTCAGGATCCCGAACGTGACCAAGACCCCAATTCATTGGACTATGAAGATCGGCAATACCAGATGATAGAGATGCGCGAATGAAGTTGAGAGTGGCTGCAGAGTGAAAGTATGCACTGCTGCGGGTTAGTCAAGTACCGTGATAGCTCTCAGATATATGCTTACCTAACAAGTCTCTGTGGGTCTAAATTTCTCTCCTCGACATCGTAACCATTCAAAATATCACCTCTGAAAGATGGTGTCTCCTTGCCATCTACCATCTCTGTTGGGCTTGATCTCGGCTTTGCATATTGACCCGCCATTCTTGCAATTCTGACTACTTTCTTGTTGGCACCCCAAACGAGAACCAAACTCATCTGAAGTAAGAGCTTAATCTTTGATTCAATTGCATTCTCCTCACAGTAGTCGAATAATTCAGCACAGTCACCACCTTGAAGGAGAAAAGCCTTGCCAAGAGCAACATCTCGTAGACTTTCCTTGAGCCGAGTAATTTCTGTAGGGGTGACAATGGGAGGAAGATGTTGAAGTTTTGATAAAGACTTTTCTACAATCTTGCGGTCCTCATATATCGCATCTTGTTTGATTGGTTTTGTAGTCCAAGAGCTTGGTGACCATTGCTCAACCTGGCGGGGTAATGACTCAACGGGGCGGTCCATAGGTGCTCCATCGTAGTTGATTCCCAATTCTGCTCCAGGACCAAAGGTTGGCATTTTGAAATGAGTCGTAATGTAATTCCTAAATTGGAAAAATTGAAGCTATACAAAGTTGTAACGAGATGACGAATTGACTTAAATAGTAAAGAAAGCTGTAAAAATAACGTGATTGTTGTGCGGGGTGAAATAAAAATAAAATTTAAGTATGTGCCTTGATCACTTGGCTCGAGCTTGTGATTTGGTGGTAAGGAAGGTTATTACTGTTAACTTTTATCAGGCTACTTATCCGGGCTACGTTTGCCGATACAGGCCTGTCAGCCCTACAGATGTGGAACTTGCAGCCCAAACCAAACCAAAACTTATTGTCTTAATCAATCAACAACTTGTGCTTCGATCCTTTTACGCATCACTCTAACAATTCTCCTTGTGCAAACAATTGTCCATCAAGCCCTAATCTTTTATTATCAAAATGTCCGAAGCTCAACCTCCTACAGTAGTCGAAGGTGCAACCACAGGCGATGTAGATGATGAAATCCCTCAAGTAGCCAAGTCGGCAGAAGATCGGAAAGCAGCTGCTGCTCTTTCCTCCCTCGATGCTCCGCGTGAAGATGATTCTACTGCAACAAAACAGATAGATCAAGAGGCTGTGCGGAAAGCTATGGATAGGTTGGCAGGCGCTACAAATGGAACCGTTGCAAAGAAGGGAGATGAGAAAAAGGTTGTGAAGAAGATAGTGAAAGTTGAAGCAGCCGATGTTACTTTATTGGTATGTTGATTCTAGTATACGGGGTTTTTGACATTGAGCATTGGTTTGAGTTCAATCCTTTTGTTTGAAATAAAGTCTTTGTTCTTAGCCATTATCACATCCACTCAAGACAAACTTTTCTTTGTCGATCACGCTGTGCCTTTCCTATCCCAATTTATCGCTTTCTGGCTATGCTTCATTGCTTGAATTTCGTGTTCGAGGCTAATTGGATTGCTATCGCAGGTTGAGGGACTCGAATTGACAAAGATCAAGGCCACAGAGTTATTGAAGGCTCATGATGGTGATGCTGTGAAAGCATTAAAAGCATATATTACTCCTGTGGCATGATATAAGTGGATGATTATGAATAATGGGCAATCACGGACTGAGCATAGCGTTGGAGTTATAAATTGAGCTAGTAGACGGCTGTCAGTGCCCTTCAAAAGACTTCATTCCATGGTCGTTGAATTTAGTCATGGATCCGAACGCAAACTATGGCATGGCAAACATTTCTTACTGTCCTTAATGCTTCCTTTTACCTAGTTATGCAGATTTGACAATTGTAGGAGCATTCCCGTATGCCATTCTCGGATCATCGGTATCCCGTACTTTGGTCGGCGATCCAGAATAGCACTACTGTATCGTAGTCATGTAGTGCGAGTGAGTACAAACTTTACCAGCTCCCCAGATTCTGATCGTTGTCAGACTCTCCTTTCCGTGCAATTCGATCGTTTTGTGTTCCGTGGATTGTGGGAACGCGGATCAAGATTCAAGAGGCTCAATTTGTGATATTATAGTTCATGTAAAGGTATGTGGCTTTGGCGCATCTCTACCTAGTATGTTATGCCCCTGCTTGCCTTGCAGAATCGTTCTTGCTAGAAGATGACAACAATGTTTTTGGTGTGTCAGCAACAACTCTCGCTACAATGACCAAAGAACTCACTTGTTACGGCTAACTGCATATTCTCCTTACACAACTACTGCACCTTTGCAGAATTGGTCTTGATTTGTTTCACGGTTGTGCCAAGCTCTAACGTATGATACATGGGTAGCGACCTTGCTCGAACATGCAATTTCCCGTTGAATGATCAAGAATTGGTTTCTGTGAAGTCGAAGAGGCTGTGATTTGCATCTCAACTAGTGGCGCCAATCCTAGAAAAAGATCGTTGAACCCGTCAGCAATGATATGGTAACTTTCCGAAGAGCATTAGGAACCGGAGGGGTGGCATCAACTGGAGAGTAGGGCTGCATAACAAGATCAATAAGATTGCCTGTTGCTCAATTTTGAAGTACAGTGGCATCTTGCATCTTCAGGTCTCGAGTCCGAGATTGTATGTTTGTATGCTGGTATGCTTGTATGCTTGCCGATCCAAATAGCCAAGCGCTGGAGATTCGATATAACAGAGAAGTAGGACAAGATCGGATAAGGTTGTGAGACTTCAAATTTCATCTCGTAGATTGTGAAATTTCTTCTTCAGACGATATTTATCTTTTCTAAAGAACATCTCTTACTTTTCACCTTTTCACCTTTTTGGATGTTGGTGTTCGTGCTTCCTTTTTCATCAGCAGACTTCATGAAGAGACGGAGTGTCAAATTTAAAGTTGGTACTAGCGTCAATCTTGGGACGGGAGGAAGAGGTATTATTATTCACCAAGAGGGTGAAGGTCTTCAAATTCAATTGAATTATTTTCAATTTCAATTTCAATTTCAACTTCTACTTCAAATTCTCTTCCCTTATCTTCGGTCTCTTCTTTCTCTTCCTTATCTTCCTTCTTCAAGTTGTTACTCTTCCCAAGGAGAAGTTTTCTTTTTTGAAAACCTCTTCCTGTCAAATATAACAATCAACCTTTTTCCAGACAACCTCGTCTGATCAACAAACATTCTTTAATAATCACCACTTTACTGAAGTCATTAACACCTACCTACTCAAGGAAAAGATGGCTCCTTTAATTCCTCGTGGGATTGTTTCGCCTTCAAATTCCGAACTTCTTCACAATACCATTGGTTTTGTCATTCCTTCTTTTGTCTTGTTCGGTTTCCGAATGTAAGTAAATATCCACATATACTAATGAAAGCTACTTGAGTCGAGCATTCCATACGTGATGGCCTAACTGACGCGTATTTTCATTATAGTCTCAATGCCATCTGGGTCATGGCGAAGATGAGGTTTGAAGATTGGCTTATGAGTCTTACTATGGTACGTATTATGATCATTCCTATGTTGAGCTATTACAGTCTATATCTAACAAAATCCAAGTGCTTCTATACCGTTCTCTTGGTCTTGATTAATGTTTCCGCTCGTTATGAAACAAATTTGTTCCCTCCAGAACAGCTGTCGGCAATTTTAGCTGATCCTGAGGATGTCGCTTCACGCGTTTATGGCTCGATTATTGTCATCCCACTTGAACAATGTATGCTTGCTTCTACCTGGTGTGTCAAAGTTTGCATTTGGTTATTCTTGTGGCGTCTTTGGTAAGTTTAAAACCCATTTCATCTCACACCCGCTTTCGAAGCTAACCTCGCTCAAGCCGCAATCTTCCACATTTGCAAATGGCACTCAAGATTCTCATGGGATATATCATTGTTGGATACGTCGTAATTATGTTTGTCTACTACGTTGGTGTCTGCCGTCCATTCCAACAATATTGGGCAGTTCCCGTTCAAGATAAACAATGTGCGACTTATCAGCATTACTCTATCGTTCAAATGGTCTTCAACATCAGCTCAGATCTCGGATTGATCCTTATCCCACTTTGGATGTTCTATATTGCACGTTTACCACCCAAGCGCAAAGCTGTCTTAATGGCTGTTTTCTCCCTCGCTTTATTTACAATCCTTGCGGCTATTTTAAACAAGTAAGTTATTCCAATTCAGCCTCAATTTTTGATCGATAACTAACGCTTTTTTAGATACTATAATTTCGCCAGTCCTATGACAACAACTTATCAACTTTGGTACATTCGTGAATCTTCAGTGGCCATCTGGGTGGGTAATATTATTTGCTGCTGGCAGATTGTACAAAAGATCTTCAAAGCTCGCTCCTTCGATAACCAAAAACAAGAAATCGAAATGCACCCGGAAATGGTTGCTCGTCTGCAAAATCCCTCAAATTATACGGAGAATGGTAGCCCAAAACCAAAAGATTGGATGGATCAACTCGTTGCTCGTCGAAAGGCTATGGGGGAATTCCTCTCTGTTGCAACCCGTTCCCGTTTCACCAATCGTGGCACTGGTCGTTCTGGTGAACCCTTGAACTCTTACAGTGATCAAAGAGGTCTTGCCAATTCTCGTAGTGATCCAATGTAAGTCCTCGCATTCTCATTTCCTTTCACACATTTGCTATTTCAATAAATACTAATCTCAAATCTCCAGCTCAATGATGACAATGGAAAAAGGCGACGATGAAGCCATTTCCCCAACTCTAGCCTATAGAGAAAACGAAAAGATTGCCTAGACATCCCTCCTCTATATAACCAATGTCCCTCCCTCTATATATCGGCTTGATACTTTCGAATTGGTCTTCCTGTCTGTCTTTTTACAAGAATTGACCACTTGGCCTGCTTGGTTGGCTTGGTATACTCCAACAAGATGTTTTTCACGAATTCACGAGATTTGACGATGAGATAAAGATAAAGATAAAGATTTTATGATATGATATGATACACGGTGGTGATTAGAAAAAATGGAGTTAGAAATTCATGGATGGTATGGTATGGTTGGTGTGGTGTGGTGGATTCATTGCTGCAAATTCTATAATAGTTGGTTGGGGTTTTCGAACTATTCTTTTTTTCTTTTTTTTTAGAAAAAGAAGAGGATGTTTGTTTCTTTAACTCTCTTCTTGTACTTTTAGTTCTTGAGTCATGATGCTTTTGCTTGATTGTTGTGGGGGTTCACGTGTATAATATAATATTATAAGTATAGGCTTTATGATGTGCTTTACAAGTCTTACTTATCTTACTTCTTTTTATGTGAGATTACTTTACCTGCTATATAAAAGTCGTTGGAAACGTGATTCGTGTTAATAATACCGAAGGAATCTGCACTAGCACTTGGAATATATGATGAAAATAAGGTAGGCACTAGCTCGGTAGATATATAAGGCTGATCTATTATGTATACTGAGTAACAATAATCTCTAATTCAAACCTTTAATACCTACCTCCCCATATAATCAGCGAGTTATTAATCATATAAGAGCACAGTAGATACTGTATAATGTCAGTTATAACTTATAAAGAGTATTTTGAGACATGGAGAGAAATTATATTATTTTTATTCGCTTTATTCATTCTACTCATTTCATCCCTATCTATATAGTAATATATCTGTATATCCCTCTCGTATCACAACAAATCATAAGGATTTTGCTACGGCTAATAATCTGTTTAACTAACTATCTATACAGCAATTTTTATGATTTTTTATTTTAGAAGTTGTTATTGTTAGTAATTCACTAGTGGTACAGTTGAGATGTTGGAAGATAGAGTTGAGATGTTGAATTAATAGATATTAGGTAGATATCTAGGTTCTATGTCTTTTGGTATACAAGGGGATGATCATGGGAGATTGCGATAAGAGTTTTTTGGGTTTGGATTTGGATTTTCTAGGTTTCTGATGGGTAGCTGAATATTTGGTTTATAGATAAGGAAATTCGAAGGTAAAACAATGTCCGAGTCGGGGAGTTTAAATTCTGAAGTTCGGATTCTAGAGATCGGGGTTCAGAAGGAGTATTGAAGGAGTGTAGAGGTTGAGAAGATTGAGGGAGTGAATAAAAAAAAAGCTTGATAAAGATACCTAGGTACCTAGATAGGTATAGAAAATTTTATATTCCTGTTTTGGTGTATACACATCTTACTACATGATATGGGATCAGATGAGATATGATGAGATTTTCTATCATCTGATTATTATTTTAGAATAAAACTACTAGAAAACAATTATTTTTTCACTCTAATTATTCAATATTTTCGCATCTGCTGCATAAAGTTACTTTATTTATCCAGTAAGTGCAAACTCTCGAGTGTACTTTTTATCTCAAGTTTGCGGTAATATGGAAATATACTGAGAGTAAATTGGAGATTTTTATTCCATTTATGATGGATAAGTGTAAGGATAGTGATCAAAGTCGAGCTTAAATAAATATAAAAACTCATTAGAATGTCAATATTGAGGTATATAGCTTTATAGTTTGTGGGAAAACTATTTGTTTCTGAAGAGAAGTAACATTGGAGTGAGTCGTGACTGTACAGAGAGAGTAAAATATCCGAGGGATAGAGAGGTTTGAGCTCAAATCCCGTATGTTTATATGTTATTTAATATACTCGAGGGACTTCACTAACTTTACCGGCGGCCAGTTTCTATAAGGATATATGATATTGGCTGAGTAGTTTAATACTTGAAAGCCATGTCATGGTGCTTCCGTGACCGCAGAGCCCCTCTTGTTTCGCTTACTCTATGTGATCCACCGAATTCAGACCAACAAAAAGAAAATTATTGGGAAAATGATTAGCATGGCAAAAATCGCTGCAGCCTGTTGTTCATATTTCTCTGAAATTAGGACATTAGAAAATGGATTAGAGGTATGTGAAATGGGCATCTCAGCTCGTTAAAATACCTACTATGGAGATTATCTTAGCAGCTGGGTGGTTGAGTTAGTTTTCGATTTGTTCTGTTCTCTTGTGTAGTCATAGCGATGACATGAGAGCATCTCACTTTATTGAATCATCTATCCTACACCTCAAAATAAACCTTTTCCTTTTTTCAGTCTGGTGAAGGCATGTCGAGATAGTTATAGCTACATGCATGTGATAGGGTTCGACCTTGAAATTCCCTACATATCTAGTCTCGCGAATCCAACTTCTATGTCACTACGGGTCTCATCTATCCTTTTTCGCTCTACGAAAACACATAAAGGTTTCAATTAATAGTCCACTGAAAACTGCGTTTTGATGAGGGACATCCATCCACGTTTGGTGTACCGGGGAACAGATTCTGGAATCTTCGAATTTGTGCGTAGTGTAAAAATAAACTGGTTACAGGTCGATATCCACGTTGGTTATAGGAAAAAGACCATTAATTGACGAGCCATTGATAGAAGCCCGTCGATCCCATCACCATAGAAGAAGATTTAAAGTTTTCGTGAAAGAGTTGAGGAATGGCAGGCCTTTGCCTCACTACATCAGTATAATCTTGCTACTTCTGGCAATATGAGTGAACATTGAAATGATGCACTTCTGTTCGTGGTTCAGGTCCCTTTCTTTACCACTGATGAGATATCAACGTCCACTGAGAACTATCGTCAGCAGTATAATTCCGAATGCCATCCTTTTTGGAAAAGTATTGGAGGCCAATTACTCTTTCCTCTCGACGTAGGACTTCATTGGGTCATCCTCTGGCGACGGCAACTATAGCACAGCTTGAAATTCAGAACAAGAGCGAGAGAAGGAAGAAACATCATAAGACCATTGAGAATTTCTTGGCTATAATCCAAGCATTGATTCGAGGATATGATATTCCCAACTCACATTTCACCTGTAGATAGTGATTTTCTAAAGTTGACCTTCAGAGCAAAGCCTCTAATAGGGCAAAACAATTCCAGCAAAAACTTCCAGGCGCCTGATTAGCTATAAGCATGCTCATGAGTAGTACTATCATGGTATATAATTTGGTAATATAGTATCGGAAGGTTAGCGCAAGCATAAATACTGTGTGACCTAATCAACCAACATCTTTGGTGGAACGGATTTGGTGGATGGGCGAATGGAAAGGGTAGCTAGAAGAGAGAATTAGAGGCGGAAGTATCGAACAGATTTCGCATATCTAAAAGTAACCCTGTATTTCTTATGCTGCTGTGATGATACCAAAGTGTGGGGACTATGCTTACGTAATCTTTATTGTCTTCAAACCCATTTGGAATATCTAGTTAGAACTTCCTCTACCAACGGATAAGCAGCAGCGACTAATTAATCAAAAGGTGAGTACAACAGACCGTGCCATATCGGAGGGATGCGGACGCAACATTGGTCATTCTGCATAGTGCTGGGTCTACACTATATAATTCTCCGATTTATCTCTGACTAAGTACCACTCTCGATTTCTCCATTCCCTCTCACATCTCTACCCTCATTGTGATTTATATTTGCAGATTTCAAAAAAGAGCAGGTCAAGATGTTGTACCCTCCTGTTCCTCTGCCAAATGGTAAATCCTATGGTTCAGCATTTTCATCCTCTTCTAACAAACGATAGGCCAAAATTTTACACCTACCCTGCATAGCACTTCATACCCCGCCATTGACTCCGCGACAAAATCCGACCACAGCAAACATATAGTTTTTATAACAGGTACTTCGAAAGGTGTCGGCAGAGCCACAGCTATATCATTCGCAAAAGCTGGTGCTGAAGGAATTGCAATTGGTGCACGATCAGATCTCTCTTCACTCGAGACAGAAATCCAGGAGGCAGCAAAGGCAGCAGGAAAGACCTCTCCCAAAGTTTTGCCCATTAAGCTTGACTTGCTTAATCATCAGAGTGTCAAAGATGCAGTTCAAGAGGTTGAGAAAACCTTTGGACGATTAGACATTTTGATCAATAATGCTGGATACCTAGCGGCCAGTCAATCGATAATTGATTCTGATCCTGATGATTGGTGGCAGACATTCGAAGTTAATATACGTGGAGTTTACTGGATGACTCGTGAATTCCTCCCCTTAATATTTAAGGGCGGACTAAAGACAATTGTCAATGTAGCTAGTACTGGAGCCAATTCATTGCGACCCGGAGCTAGTGGATATCAAACCTCAAAATTTGCATTATTGAGATTCACCGAATTTACGATGACTGAGTATGCAGAACAAGGAATATTGGCGTATTGTGTACATCCGGGTGCTGTTGATACAGAGATGGCAAAGAAATTACCAGCATATCTTCATAAAGGTATAATTGTGTTTCCTGTGCCATGAATTAACGAAGTTAAGGTCATCTGCTAATATTTAAATAGTCCTGCGAGATGCTCCGGAAGTTGCGGGTGATTCCATGTGCTTTTTATCGCAAGAGAGGAGGGAATGGTTAGCTGGCAGGTATATAAATTGTACCTGGGATATTCCAGAGTTCCTGAGCAAAGAACAAGAAATCGTGGAAAATGACAAGTTGAAGGAGAGAATGCTATTTTAGAGAAATTTCTTTTTATAGTGAAAGACTCTTGGAGCAATTACTCAAATGAGGGGTATAAGCATTGGTCGATGGTCTAATACTTTGGAATTTAGAACTAGCTCCTTAGAACATTGCTAGACTATGACATTTCCGAATATAGAAAACTTCTATGAACAAATCGACATTGGAAGGTATTCCGACGTCACGCTGATTATGCAATCCCCTCGTAAGATTTCACTTGATTCGTTCTTAGCTTACCTTATCCGGTAATCCGGCTGGGAATGCGGAGAAAGACTAAAAGATGGGCCGTGGGGGAGGCACATTACCCCGAGCTAAGCTCCAGTGAAACCTAAATGAATGAGGGTGGACCATGAACATCTTATGCTATTCTGAATGATTTACTCGAGTATTGAGGTCAGCATCAATTTTGTTGAGCTTGTTATCATTTACCCCGCTTTTGAATGGAAGCTTTCGACACGACACACAAAGCACCACCCACGAAGCTGTGCCATATCTCTGCAACAGAGTTAGGTAGTTTCGTTATTTCTTACCCAGTGGTAATGATGCCAAGTGCCATACTTCCGAGCTTACTCGGGCACTATGGTCCGAAACGGTTGACGCTTCTCGAGGTACAGCTGCTAGCTCCTGCAAGTACTTAAGAGGACCTAAAGTTGGCAGGTTTGATTATGCAATTTACTTTTGCTTACTGTTCTCCCATCTAGTCTTTAATATTGCATGTAATTGAGCTTCTACTTTTCCCAACCCTCTACAGACCAATCCTATAATTACCCAAGTGCCTCCTATTCTCTTTACATCTCTGAACCGAATCCACACTGCTGAAGCCATGTCTACTCTTCGAAATGTCTTCCGCGTCTCAACTCGATATCTTCATACCAATCTACGTCCTCTAACACGCAGCTTCTCCGTCCTTCCACGTCTATCAGCTCCACCATCTCAAAAACCATCCCCACCGAACCGCGAAGCTGCGAAATCCCAAAGCGATCAAGCATATCTAGGTACGATAAAACGTCTACCTGAATTCAGTCTGCTCGATAAAGTAGTATGTGTTTCAGGAGCTGGGAGAGGATTAGGATTGGTGCAGGCAGAAGCATTATTGGAAGCTGGTGCTAAAGGTATGCAATTTTAATTATTGATATAGCTCAAAAAGACATTGAAAGGACATCGAAACGGGTTGGCATCAGCTAACATAATACCAGTTTACGCACTCGATCGTCTCGAAAATCCCTCTCCCGAATTCGAACGCATCGCAGAGCGCGCACAAAAAGAACTAGGTACATCACTTTCCTATCGCCGCATCGACGTCCGAGATGTCGAGTCTTTAAATTCTATAGTTGAGGAGATAGCACAGAAGGAAGGACGTCTGGATGGTTTAATAGCAGCAGCAGGAATCCAACAAGAAACCCCAGCTTTAGACTATAAAGCCGAAGATGTGGATCTCATGATGAGTGTAAACGTAACCGGAGTATTCATGACAGCCCAAGCCGTTGCAAAACAAATGGTAAAATTCGGTAATGGGGGTAGTATAGTACTTATAGCCAGTATGAGTGGTACAGTCGCTAATCGAGTATGTCCTCTTTTTTCCCCTCCTTTCTTTATAACATTTATTAACCTCGTAATCAACAGGGTCTCATATGTCCCGCGTATAACGCATCCAAAGCGGCGGTTCTCCAACTCGGCCGCAATCTAGCTAGTGAATGGGGTGAATATAATATTCGCGTCAATACTATTTCTCCGGGTTATATCGTGACGGCTATGGTTGAGGATCTTTTTGTTAAATTCCCGGAGAGGAGAACGGAATGGCCTAAACAGAATATGTTGGGGAGATTGAGTAAACCTGAGGAATATAGAGGCGCGGCGGTGTTTTTGGTTAGCGATGCTAGTAGTTTTATGACTGGTAAGTTGTGTTACGATTTTTTTGACTCTAGTGATGAGAAGTTTACGACTGATTTGTTGTGTTTCACAGGTGGTGATTTGAGAATAGATGGGGGTCATTCTAGTTGGTAGAGGTTCGGTTCTTTTTTTCTTGGATTTGGCAAGACAGTTATGAATGAGGATGAGGAGCTGGAGTTTTGTATAACGATTGCTTTTATAACGTGGTTTAACACCGAGTGCACCACTTTTACCTCAATTTGCACTTTCCAACTTCAACACGCGATTTATCAATCATTTATTATGTAATCAAATAGAAAAGAAGCTCAAATACTCTTAGCTATCGAAGCTATTCAAAAAGATAAAAAACTAAGTATCCGAAAGGCTGTTAAACTATATAATATAATATATACAATGCTTCTCTGCAAAATGAATGATTTAGCCCCTTATATAGAAATTCGAGCAAATAATCATAAAATGACCGATTTAGAAGAGGAGGTGTTTATTCAGTATATAATTGATATAGATGAGAGAGGGTTTGCATCTAAATTAAGTAATGTAGAAGATATGGCGAATTATATTCTTGAATTACAGAGGGCGAAGAAGATTAGAAAACTTTAGGCTTATCGATTTGTAAAGTGTTATACGAAATTAAAGATATATTTTAATTATATTTATGATTTTCAAAGAGCTCTCTACAAAGATCCTAAGCTTATTGAAGAGTGATTTCGATTGGTATCGAATATACAAATGAAATATGGTATTTAAGATTGCGATTTCTATAACTTCGACAAAACTGGCTTTATGATGGGTATAATATGCTCTAGAATAATTGTAATTAATGCTGTACGAAATGGTAGAAGCAAGGCAATACAATCAGGCAATCGAGAGTGAGCTCCAGCAATTATATGTAACAATGGAGAGGGTGAAATTATACCTCTATTTCTGATAGTTCAAGAACAAGTTTATCTTTCCAATTGGTATGCTGAAACCGATTTTCCTGCGGATTGGGCTATTAAATCTACTTCCAATGAATAAATGAATAATGAGACAGAATTAGAATAATTAAAGCATTTCGATAAACATATTATTCATCGAAGAAAGGGCAAATATCGAATATTAATACTAGATAAATACAAAAGTTATAAATCAATAACTTTTCAATTATATTATAAAACAAATGATATTATATATATAAAGTTACTATTATATTCAAGTCATTTAACTTAATCACTTGATATTGAATGTTTTGGTGTATTTAAACATTTATATAATTCTCAAATTGAGGAGTTTATTAAGATATATATCAATTATATTATTAAGATTGAATTCTTTATAATTTTCAAAGTTGTATATCAATAATAAATCACTTTTCAAAATATAAAAACTGGCTTTCGAGGAACAGATCTAGTACCATTTGACCCTCAAGCTATACTCTCAAAATTAGATATTCGAATTCATATACCTACTTCCCTTCTTTTCGATTTAAACCTTTAGATCTCTTAAATTCCTTACAATCCAATTGAAGCTCTTTCTCAATCAATTTTAATGAAATCTCGAATAGCTCGTCATCAATTAAGCTCTCCTATATTTATATTCGAAACTATATTAGTTTTAGCTAAAGATATAAAGAGATTAACATATGAAAATATACTTTTAAATATAGAAAACTATATATTTTAGAAGGCAAATGAAGTATTAAACAAATATCGATATGCGAAAAAGACTCAATTACATTAAGGAAGAATACTTACTGAACAAGAAGTTGCAGATATATTATTTCAACAAGAGATTGATAATCAGATTCAATACGATGAGCGTCAAAATGAAGGGAATTCTAATAGGGAAGCATCTTCTAATAGGTATTGTAGCAAGTGTAGGAAGATTAGTCATAATTCAAGAACCTATTCTAATAATTTAATAAACCCTAGATTATTAGATTCTTAATAGTTTTAATTGATTTATTTAATGATTGTTGAATGATATGAGTTAGAAAGTGCAAATTGAGGTAAAAGTGGTGCACTCGGTGATATGGTGCACTCGGTGTTAAACCACGTTATTGGATATTTCAAATATCGTATATACACATACACACAATATAAGTTCTAAATCCTAGAGATTTACCTAGAAGCCCAGGAATATAAGATGGGATGCACATGATATAAGTAACAACGATACTAATTTTCTTCCATCCTTCATCTTGAAATGAACTGAAAAAGGGTGTTAGGATGCGAAAACTTGTATTCATATTAGTGATTTATAAATCCAAACAAAGATTTGGGTGAACTTTTTCTTTAGATTTTAGTCATGTCATCGCATCCCAGTGGTGGGAGTGAGTGGGTTTATATTTTGGGGGAGGGGAGGGGGAATTGGGGATGGTGTTTTAGAGTTTGGAGAAGTTGGACTACTAGAGAAGCAGAGGTCTGGACAACTTCTCTGGCTATTTTTGTCCAATAACAAAGGGCAGTACAGTTCATGGATTGATCGAGAAGATTATTGTGAACTACCTAGTATCTCTGAATGAATCCCCTCTCATCATTTGCTAGTTCATCTGTGGTCACATTTTCTAAACTGTGTGATCTCCTTTCCGCCAAAGTATTGGAAACGATGGTTCTCGCATATTTGTCCTCCAATGTTTTTTGTCATAGCCCTGCATTCGTCAAATTCAACGCTTTCCTCTCTATTGCACCTGGTGCCTTTGACAAACTCTCGAACTTGTGAGAATAGTATTTTTCAATTCCATGCCGCTTCCAGCAAGACCGTTCCTGTGTACTCGAGCGGATAACTGTCTTGCTCGATCATACTCGAACAAAGCCTGGTCCGAAATCTCCATTGAGATCTGGTCCAGATATATTATCGTAGATGTGTTGGCAGCAACGAAATGTCCAAGTTAGACCCATAATGAAAGCAAACTACCAAAACGTGGATTTTAAACCGCCTTATGCATGATGAAAGGCCGCTCGCTCGGTTTTAAAGGGCTTGTACTGTGAAGCTTAGAGTCCATTCGAAAGACCAATGGCATTCATACACTTCATAAGTACTCATACCTGGTCTACCATGCTCAAAGTCTTTACCCTAATAAACTGCACTGACAAGCTTAACTCGAGCTCGCCGGCGCCTGATACGTATTCTGTTATGTAGGTGGCTTTTCAATCATAAACGCAAAGCACAATTATAATCGAGAACATCATTATTCAGACAAAAAAGATTGAAAATGCCCAAATTTCGGGAAGAATCTCATTCTGGACTTTCAAATAGAGGTTCTGCATCTCTCCTTCTGTGATATACTTTCGTAAGAGGTGGTATGTCGCGCGGAACAACACTTGCCCACTTGGGAAGAACGCATTGGGCCATTGTTGCAGGAGTCCGTACACTGAAGCAAAATAATGAACTGGAGATAAGGAGCAGTTCAGTGTTCATTCTGAATTATGAGACTCAGTACGCTTTCGGGACGCAAATAATGGGTATTGAAGTTCAAGGGACGCTACGATAGAATGGAGAAAATTATACAGAAAACAGAGATAAAACACAGGAAAAACATTATTTCCGAGATTGTAAAATGATACTATGTATTATTATGATGCAAAAGAGAGAAGAAATTTCCGGGAAGTATTTGAAGATATAAATCCTTTGGGCCGCACTGACGGACGTTGATCTTACTGCCGATCGGAAAAGTCTAGCCTTGCGATTCAGGCCTGAGCTTTAGGCTATACTAGTTAGCTTCATGAGCTCATCAGTGCATAATCCAATTGAGCTTTCTCAAGCTCCATCAACAATTAATTTTCACCAAATCACCACAACGAGGAAAGTCAAAGATTTGAAAAACTTACAATATGGGAGCTTCACAATCCAAAAACTTAGCTAAAGCTTCAAAAGCAGCATCTTTGTCTGCTTCAAACACTGCGCGCAAATACCCAACTCGAAGTCCGCCTCCTTCATCTTCCCGTACAAATGTAGAACCAAATCGACCAAATCCTGCAGCAAAGTTAGGACCATCTGTTCATCCTGATACAAGCTCCTCTTCGACAAGGAATCATTGTTCGTCATTCCATCAATGAATCTCTAGCTTTTCACTTCCACTTCCACTTTCATCCTCCTCTGGGCCGTCTTAGATTAGGAATTCGTTCGCATCCCACTTTATACAATTATACTAATGTAATGCTTCATCTAGCAATAAACTTCGATGCCTCTGATCCAGATATTGGTTTAGATGCTCGTCTCCGTGAACTCGGCCCTGTTACACCTTCGCCTACTCTTTCCAATTCTTCCACATTCAACAAAGTCTCAGGACAAGACCCTACCACATCCAGCAGCAACTTCGTCCCTTCTGCTTCCACACCCTCACAATCGATTTATCCAACCACAAGCAATCCTGCAATTTCGCTACTGACGGCAAGATATAGAATAGCAGAAGAAGCAGAAAAGGACTTTGAGAGGATTGGTAAGAAGGGATTTCAGGGAAGGAAGTATTTAGATGTTGCGACTATTCGAACGGTGCTAGTATATAGATCTGAGGGCATGCCTGATGCGGAAATTGAGAGGAGATTGGAACTAAGGAGTGGAATAGTAAAGAGTTTAGGAGGGAGAGTAGTGAGTGTGGCAGGATTATAATGCGAGAGCATGAGGGGGGATAGGGGCGTCACATCCCGCTCGAAAAGAAGCCTGCAATAGCTGTTTGATTCTAGCACATTATAGGCATCGGCGGTAGTCTCCGGCAAGCCTGTTATGTGGCCTTTGAACAAATAAAACCATTGGCTCGCGCGGAACATGTACAAATATTATGAATTATGAAGGGAATGATGAAGAAGGATGGGTGGCAGGTGCATTGATTCCTGCGAGTAGATTATTGTATTATATGCCACGAGAGTCTCTACTTATATTAGGTATAAGAAGCAAAAGCCTTCAGGAATAACCCAGAACTTTTGGTAGAATCACCCAAAGGTATGTGCTTGAGACTCTCCAAGGAACAGTGGCTACCGACAAATTGGTAAGGTCTGCATCTGATAGGGAGTCAACATCTTGGTGGCCTTTGTAATATCTCCATATAAACCCAAAGTATTAGTATGTACTAAAGAGATAAGTAGGCAGGTGGAATTGCAATCGATGAAACCACTTCATAATCCATGTCGAGTCAAATGTCACATTGCGGGGCATAAGTTTTTGAAGCTATTCTGCCGGGCGGTGGGTGATCTTAAAAGCATTAAATGGAATTAGAACTTTACAATATAGGTAGGTAGTTTCAAATAAACAACTACATAGAAACTTTTTTGCTTATTAAAAGTATTTTAACATTTAAATCACATATATTAAAATGCCCTCCATTTTTCATTTACAAATACTCAGAATAAGCACCATCTAATTGGCCAATCACTTCCATGTTGAGGAATGTTCGGTAACTTCCGAGAAATCATGTAACTTTCCTTCCTTAAATCACTACAACTCTTATTGAGAGCTTCTAAAGCTCGACAATCATACTCGCAATGATTGTCCGGTCTCCTATATTTACCGGCGCACTACGACAAAATGCATTGGGAAATGTATGCCTATCATGTTCCCTGCGAACGGAATTGAGGGGAATTCGAAGAGCGGGGAGGAATTTCTCGAAAACAAATGGAAGGAAAGCAACCGCAGTCCAGAGGCTTGGGACAGGATATTTCTTTGCAAATAGAGATATTTTCGGGAATGCGGGAAAGGGTGGTATGAGTACCATCGCTGATGGAGCCAGCGTGAAAGATGTGAACGGGGCGAAGAAAATGGTTGGAAAGGAATCTGCGACACCGACCACTACACAATTAGAAGATTTACCACCTCATCGACGAAGGCGGCATAAACAATCTCTTGAACAAGAAAGCGACAAAGAATTTCTCCCCGAGAATTCCTCCACGATCCATGCTGATCGCGCAAGTGCACTCCCACGATCCTCCATAAAACGACTATTATCAATCCTCTTATCACTCACAAAACCCCGCCTCTCGATGCTCGTCGTCCTCACTGCATGCTCAGCCTATACTCTGTATCCCGTTCCATCACTTCTCTCTTCTACACTCCTAGAAACACCAAGTCTGAGTCCACTTACCCTCCTCTTCCTCACCACAGGTACTGCCTTATGCGCCGCTTCCGCAAATACCCTCAATATGCTTTATGAGCCGAAGTTCGATGCCCAAATGTCACGAACACGAAACAGACCGCTCGTACGGAAGCTTATATCGCCAGGAGGTGCTCTACTTTTCGCAATTGCGAGTGGAGTTATTGGAGTGGGAGGTTTGTATTATGGGGTTAATCCCACTACTGCATTTTTAGGCGCTCTCAATATTGGGCTATATGCTGGTGTTTATACGCCATTTAAGAGAATCACAGTGTTTAATACCTGGATTGGTGCAGTAGTTGGAGGTATTCCACCCCTTATGGGATGGACCGCTGCGGCTGGGCAAACTTCTTCGCATCTTTCTTCTTCATCAACACCTGAATGGCAGGATTTACTTCTTGGACCAGATAATGCTGGAGGTTGGTTACTTGCAGGATTGTTGTTCTCATGGCAACTCGCACATTTCATGTCTCTATCCTGGTCTATTCGTCACGAATACAAAGAGGCCGGATATAGAATGTTATGCTGGGTAAATCCAGCCATGAATGGCCGTGTAGCTCTTAGATATAGCATCCTTTGTATACCCCTATGCATTGGACTCTGTTACGCAAATGTAACTGAATGGACCTTTGCAGCAGCTAGTATGCCAGTAAATATATGGCTAGTGCGAGAAGCCTATAGATTCTGGAAATATGAAGGTCAAAAAGGAAGTGCGAAGAAGCTTTTCTGGGCCAGTGTTTGGCATTTACCAGTTGTACTTGTTCTAGCAATGGTGGAAAAGAAAGGATTGTGGAGTAGAATTTTATCGGTGATTTTTGGACAAAGGACGGAGGATGATGAGGAGTGGGAATATGTGGATGAAGATGAACAAGAGGAATTACCTGGGCAGAAAGCACCTGTTCCGGTAGTTGTCGCAGCGAGTGCGAATAAATAAATCGCATGGAAGAATTTTATGCGTACTTGAGAGATTTTTTACTCCTCTCTACTTTTTATGCTGCATGTCTTGTACAATACAATGTGGTGTAGATATGAACGTACCAGCGGGCGTTCAATGTTTAGATATACTACTCCATTGTATTCTATATCTCTATGATTCCATGTCTTCATTTCGACTAATATACCGATGCGTATTTTTTCATGACTCTCATTCTCATTCCTAATATCTCCTGCCCCTTATATTAGCCATCACCCCCATCTCATTATTATTATCATTATTCATCAAAGTTGATCGACCGATCAGAGAAAAAGAGGACTCATATTCATATTGTCAAATCCACACAACACGATGATTGTTGAAGAAATTCCACGTATTCCTAATAATCTAAACCATTGATAAATATTATGCTGAATAATAGGATAGAATAGTAAGATATTTTATTATTGTTCGTATCACATCATATGCCTTAGCTTGAGTAGAGGAGTTGTATTTATCTATGATACCTAGGTACTTTTCCATTTTATTTACTATTGTATAAAAAACAATAAAAGGTTTGTGACATATGTCCTGAAGCACGAGTGCGGAGGTTTTCACTTACATACCCTCTGTTCTTTTTGTGCTTTTTGGGAAATGATGGGATGGATGGAGGATGGAGGATGGAGGATGGAGTATGGTGTTTTGGTGATTTGGGTACTTTTCTAGTGTGAAAAATGAGTCTTGAGAGGGAAAAAATGACTCCTTGAGAAGAATGCGCAATGGATTGTGCTATATGAGTCTAGGATGCTCTCTGTACGGAACCATTAAAATGAGTCCAAAACAGAAGAAGAATTTTCAAATGTGATGACTGTATGAGTCTAGGACGCTCTATGCACAAAATCATCACAATGAGTCTGAGGAAGAAGTAAATATGACTCCAATCGAAAAAGTAATGAATCCGCATTGATTGTGTGACCTTACACTCATTGTTGTATATAAAGGCGCTGGATTCCCCCCTCTGCACAGATCTGGACTTGAAGTTTATGGAATAGTTTTAGTATCGGAGAGTTACAATCGAAGACTTTTAAACTTGCGTTTACACATTTGAAGATAACGATTCATACTTTCGAGGTTAGATATTTGTTGTTGTTGAGGATTTGGATACTTCGTACCTACGAGGTACTCTTCTTTCATCATTTTCATCGCCATTTGGATAAAGATTGTAAAGATAGCACGCGAACTAAACTATCTATCTATCTATCTATCTATCTATCTATCTATCTATTAGCCTACTGCATCCATCATATTACACATCCTGTAAGTTTCATTCATTCCGAATCAGCTACCCGACGCCAGCTAACCTACCTCATAGAACCCAAACTCATTTCTCCCTACAAATCTCTCCCATTCATCACCATTCCCCATCAACATCCCATCCAACCCACACTCCCCCCCAACACCCCCCCCCCCCTCCTCCATCAACAAAATGTGCACCAACGTACACATACGAGGCCCCTGCTACTGCGGCACCAACAACGGCCAATACGTCGAGTTAGGCGTCAAACTCGAAAAATGCAAATATGTAGAACTAGGCAATGTCCATGATAAATATTTCGTGTATGGGATAACATATATGATTCAGGGTAGATGTGGGAATTGTATTGTTATTGCTGAGGAGAAGGAGAGGGTGGAGGTGCAGAGGAGGGAGAGGGAGAGGGTGGAGGCGGAGAGGAGGGAGGTGGAGAGGAGGGAGAAGGATCAGAGGGATGCTTCGGCTGAGGAGTTTAGGGAGTTGGCTGTACGGACGATTATGAAGTTTTGATGGAGGAGTGGAAGAGTAGAGGATTGGCTGGTAGTGGAAGTATTCGTTCGTGGTTGTTGTTTGTTCATTTCGCGTTGGACTTTTACTGGGAAGAGATGTGGACGGTTAATGTGCCGCTTAAACACTGGTGTGTGGAGTAATTTAGGTCATTCATTCCTTTATATATTCTCATCTCTTATGAATTTGCGTTGGACTTTTACTTTTAGAGGAATTTGAAAAAAAGTTATTCTCTTATAAATATACATTAAACTTTTCCTTTTATAACTTTAAAAATAATTGATTAGTTTTATACTTTATCTATCTGATTAAGATTAATTTTTTTATTAATGATATTAAGAAAATAAAATACAAAATCTTTAAATAAATATAACACTTTCAATAGACTTATATTTGTAAAAATAAATTTATTATTAATTATAAAAAAAGATATAAAAGGTTTAAAAATGCATTTATTTCAATATTAATAAAGATATAAAAATATAAAAATATATCATCGATTTATTTATTTGTTTATTCAATTTAAAAGAATCTCAATATTCTCATTAGAATAGAATAAAATAGAATCCAATATAAAATTACTCAAGATTCTAGATTCTAGACTTAAGATTTTAGACTCTAGATTTTAAAACCTTATTTATTTCTGAGGATTGTAATTAGAGTATATGGCATAAGAAAGTTGGAATTGTAGGCCACATATATAAAGGTTTCTCAGTTAGTTAATTATAAAAGAGAGACTTTATTATTCTCTTTCCCAAAACAGTCAACCTTTTACACACATACTTTTGAATATATATTGCTTTTATCCCAAATCTATTATAAAACCTATTTTATTTTCCAAATGATATATTATAATATAGTCTAATCAATTCCTTTCTACATTTCTTTTTCACAATGTACTATCGGAATACACGTATCTCGACCTACCTCTTTTATAATAGAATAATGAATAAAGATACAGGTTGTAATAGCAATAGTATGATCATGGATTGTGAATCAAGGGATTAAGATTGGGATTCAGATTGGTGTAGAGTTGAGTGTACACTCAAAGTGGAATGGTGAATGAGAGGTATGGCTAAGCTTACCTAGTAGGTAGGTAGATACTCACTGTATTTATCAACTAACTATGATATAAAATGCGCATCAGCACATCTCAGAAATTTGAAATTCTATAGATAATAAATTGGAATTGTGAGGTTGGATAGACACAGTGTCCAAGGAAGAATAATCAAAATCGGAGGAGCAAACACGCAGAATATAAAGAGATAGATAAATAGATAAATAGTATTTATATTTAAAATTTCTAGAAGCCTTTATTACTTCCCACTTCCCATACTTATCATTAATCTGTATCTAAAAACACAGGATTCGATTCCATTCAATTCGATTCCCACAAACAGACCCGTTAATTCGGATCTCTCCTATGCAAATCCTATCCACTATCCAATCCTTCCTAGGTACCCAATACTCCAATCCCAAGGATGTTAACATGATAAATGCGATAGGTATAAATACCTAGATACGTAAAAATCATATTCATCCCGCAACACCAAGCAACAACCAACAAAAGAAATCCACCTCGAACTTTGAAATGATTGTAAGAAACACTCGTAACAGTGTAGTTAGAAATCCCCCAGCCCACCTTCTTCAACGCCAAAACTTCATAACCTGCTTCTTTCCCGTAGCAAAATAAACCATTACGCCTGGTATCATTTCCCAAAAATTGGTTATGAAAATTGCATGTCCCAGTACCTTTGATAACAGCGCCCTCATTTTTCTGGCAGATTATAAAAACGATCAAAAAAACAAATCTCTAGGATATAGATGAGCGATTAGAGGCCGGATGGTTGATTAATGATTGCGTCAATGCCCATATCCATTGAAGGTAAACGAGAATGAAATGAAGTCCTGTTATCTTGATGATATGGACTTCGGTCGGTTTGTGGGTAACCGTCATTGCGATCTGATTGTGGGTATCCATCGTTACGGTCGGTCTGGGGATATCCATCTGGTCGGCCATCTGAAAGAACTTGTGGTGCATATGAGTAGTGTTGTTGATTATGATTAAGTGGGTCGTTAGTCGAGGCTTCAGATCCATTATCACGATCATAATCGCCGTCGAGATTAATGCTAATGCCACTATCTTCGTGAACTTCATAATCGGTATGGTCGGAATACGCTCCATTTCCAGCTTGTCCTCCAGCTTCCATCATACGTTCGCGACGAGCATAAGCTCTTGCAGATGTTTGCATGTTCTTAAGACCAGTTGACATACACTTTTTCATGTTAGTTTAAATTTTAGGTAAATTCGCAGGGTACATACCTTTTGCTCTACAACAGTCCATTTCTCCCCAGTAGCGGCAGCCAAACCAGACCAAATTTCTTTGCGCATATCCATGTAATGCTTCGCAAGGGTCTCGGATTTGACATTATCCCAATCATCACTAGACTTGCGTTCCATTAAACGTTCATGACGTTTTCGACAAGCGTTGGCGGATTTGGTTGGAAAGTAAGTTGCTTGAATAGGTTGCCAGTTCAGTCCTTGCTTCCGTGCTTGTATCAAAGTTCGATCATCAATGGGTGTCCAGGCTCCAGATGAAGGTCGAATAGAAGGTGGCATTGGGGTACTCTGGACATAATGTTGAGTCGGAAGTGGTAAAGGAGGTTGTTGTACAGGACCTCCCGTTGCATAGTTGGACATATTATGGTAACTATGTTGAAGTGGCTCATAGTAAGGTGCAGCAGGCATTGGGCGAGAATTGATTGGTGGGTAGATGATGGCGTTAGAGGCGAGAGGAGGTGATCGATAGTAATCCATGGTAGATGAACGTAATTCCTTTGGCATTCTAAAAAGTCGGTTTAATGAAGGGTTGATACTACTCAGTAGTGAACAGGGGTTGAAACAATCGATGAGTTGATTAAGTATTAGATGTAAAAGAAACTTGCAGGCCAGCCGGCAGGAGACGTTGAGGATACTTGACACGAAAACGAATGGTGTCAGATGTTGAGAATCGAAATCTAAAGCGAGACGACAATAGGAAATTGGTAGAAGGGAAAAGATGATGGTGATGCTGAATGAGGACGAAAGGTCTTAGCCAGTGTACCAGCGACCGACCTTTATAATACAGAATTGACCACTCGATAATCTGTTGGAAGACATAACGCTGGGGGCCATTTGAGTGGTGTCTATAGCCTCATTAACGCTGAACGTCCAAAAATGAGACCTCGACTAGATGATGAAACAAGATGGGTCTGATTTTAGATTTTAGATATGATATTTTTTTTAAATCCGACCCCGACTTTTTGCGTCTTCAAACATTGGCAAATGCACGAAATTCTCTAAATTCTCTACTAAGATGTCCTCTAGTAGCCGCGTACATACTCGTACAGACCATTAAGTCTCCAAAGATCGAGGGGCCATGACCAAGAGATGATTATATTGGTCAACAGCAGAATTCCGGTCTCTTTTTAGGACATTGGGCGGTAGTCTCATCTTGAATACTGGAGACATATCTGATGGGCGCGTAAATTAAGTGGGCGCCAACAAGTAAGCTGCGGATGAGGCGTTCGCGTACCCAAAATAGATTCAAACGGGAAAGATCTGGACAAGGGGGAAGAGAGAGAGAAAGTATCAGTGCAAGGGTTGGTTAATGGATTGATCACAAGGGGTGTGTGTTAGATCTTTTTTCAATGCATTCAAACATAGATACTAGATCTTGGTAGATTAGATGTTGATGAAACATATCACAATGATCCTGTTTCGTAATGAATTGAAGATATAAAAAATGGTAGGTAGAGAGGAAAAGGAGGAGAAGTCTGAATGAGGGGAAGAAGGAAAAAGAAAGAAAAGATTTAATTGATGCGCGCGTTTAATAGAATATTATCTTTTCGACTAGTGTATTGATTGTATATAATGTGCACAATTGCATGTCAAAAAAACTAAAATGTCACGTGTAAGATCTAATCGATGATATTTGTTTGGGTCTCTGTTGGTTCGAGCTTCTTCCTTTTCCTCTTCCTCTTCGTCTTCCTCTTCCTCTTCCTCTTCCTCTTCCTTCCCACTGAATCCGACTCCATTTATTTGATGACCATTTCGGGAACGAGTCAATATCCAAGCAATTCGGGTCTAATTTACTTACCAGGGGATACATATCTGCTTCCCTTGAAGAGCACTGACACTGATCTACACAATATGCATGCTAAGTATGCACATCTGCACAGATGAGAAAATCACACACATTCATCCCATCTCTACCCGCCCCCTACACCCCTTTCGACTTTCCTGATTCAAGCATCTGTTTTTCATACCCTGTCCATATCTGTGCCTTACTCGTCACTATCCTCCACCAGATCTCTATGCACCAAAATCTACCGAAAAATATATTCACAAATTCCCGAGGTCATATCACTTCATCTGATCTCGATATCTTCATCCGAGGTCTGGTTCAAGAGGATTTACAGGGCGCCTAACACTGATAGGCGGCATACAGTTTGGAAGGTAGGTATTGTTACTTTGCTTCGACAAACGAACAAAACAAACAATTCAACCGGATAAAGGCCATTTATGACCTCAATCCATCAGGCAGTGTTTATCTTCAACGCAATATAAATCTTTACCCTTCCGCTACATAGCCATGGTCATGGCCATGTAAAGAAACCTTCATGACGTTGGATATTGCAACCTGCTAATTTACCAACACAACGGTACAGGGAAATCTCGACATCATCAACACCCCGGAGGGTAAGAATGTAAGAGACTGCTTGACATTTCCTTTCCCATGTCCGATCTTACAATTCTCTGCCAACAGCCGCTCTACCTGGAATTTCTATTGTCTCACCCTATCGGTCAAAACCCAACGCTTATACCAGTTATCTACCTAGGGTTCATCTTACACAGACCAACATCATATCCTCACGCTGATAAGCTTCTCATGAACTTGTAAGATTCTACCCGGGTAGAGCAGCTAATCGTGTCATCACGCGCGAGTACAAATCTAAAGTCCGAGGTCTATAAGTATAAAGTAAAGAATGTGATTGAAACATTTCAATGGTTGAGAGTTCTCCATAATCTTCATGCACTGTTGCAAGCGGCTATTTCTATGTAGGAGAAAAAGATTTTCTTCAAGTTATTCATAACATACATTTGTTTCATCGGAAAATACTCAATCACAGAATGATTAACCAATAGATGATCAATTAGTATGTAAGTAATATCTTTGGTTGTTTGTTTTTGAACCATCTATAATAATTTTCATAGATTACCCAATCGTGGACTTTCTCATGTGTTTTATATTAGACGCTCTGGTGTTTCAACTGTCATCTAAATTTGGGGGCAAGTGCCCTTTATGGTAAATGCAGCAATATGACTATGGGCATAGTATGCTTACTCGACTCAAGTTTATTTCGAGAGACTTCTTCTTTTTCTCTCTTGCATCGAAATATACACTTCAACTCACAGCTGCACATATTCAAACAATGCCACCATGTTTTTATTTAATTCGCATGAACCCCCAACAAACCTACTTTGCCAGCGAATGCCAGGAGAAAGCCACTAAGATGTCTAGGGATCCTTTTCCGCCATCCTTCCAATAATTTCCACGGTACGTCTCTCAATTAAATTTAAATGATCCTCAAAAGTGCCGTACGGTTCTTATTTTAACTACCAGAAACGAACATCCGGTCTTTGCGCAGTCTGACATTGGGGTATGTACCTAACTGCTGATAGTTTCTGCTGAACTGCGCCTCAACCAATCCCTAGTAAAACAAGGTTGATAGTCGATTGCATGAAATTGAGGGGGTATTCTCAATGTTTTACCATACCATATTTCTGGATTCAACTGTCAAACCGTTGGAACATACTTAATTTGGAAGGTACTATAAGTTTTGATCATGCTAACCCCTACATTTTCTGGGGCTTTGATGGCTTTCATGTTTCCAATATCTTTTTTGTCGTCGCACAAGATCACACATATTATCGTTCCTCCACAAATAACCTTCACTCTGGTTCTTTTGTGATCTAGGGCTTTTAGTTTGGTCTTTTCCACCCTAATCACCAACCGGTACTTTCAGGTCTTGGTCTGAAGGATCCGTACAATTTTGGTGGGAACGGAAAAGGCCCCAAACGGCCTGTAGATCCTGACCACTTGCACTGGCATCTCTAATATCCAAGCTCCATCGGATTTTCTACCCTAGTATAATGAATCTCGTGCGCATCCGTCTTTCTTCATGTGTCGAAGGATCGATATGTATGTTTGACACGACAAGGTTGATGAAACAAACTACGGGCTAGTTCTTACTCTGACTCTATGTGTTTTTCGCTTCGGAAAATCAACAAAAGGTAACATGAATGATGCTCATCAATAGGAACTATTCATTGCTGCATTGCTGTTTCGGATGCATTGTGTTATCTTATCCAGCCAACTACTCTGTATATCAATGATGAATCTTATTTTAATCCTTGACGAAGTCTGAGGGGCAATTGAAACCTACCCAACTTGCAAGACTGTGATTGGAAGAATTGATTTACGCGGCATTACGTTAGATTTGATCTGACAAGCTTCGGTCATACATACTAGTTCTAGGTCAGCATCAGTCCTTCCTTGTTGCCCAGACGAACGTTTAATTTCTGCAACATTTAAGGACGCTTTGCGTACACTCATCTGTCGTGTCCTGATGTGATGGACTCTAAATGGTTAGACAGGCCTGATTTTTGGTCTGCCGCTCTTTATGCCTGAAGAAGTTTAAGCACGGATCGATGAAGTTCTAGATTCAAAAAACTTCCTTACCATACACCTGGTAAAGATTTTGTTCATAAAATCCATTTTTGCTCGCATGCGGTATCTGCCTTTCCATGCTAAATATCCCAGCCACCTCCACCAAATTACCGTTTCGCAATTCCTAGTCTGAACATCTCGTAAGGCTAAACGACATGAATCGTCTGAAATTCCCATATTCTAATATCATCAAAAGATGGAATATGTATGCCAAGACTATGGCGAATTTTCTTGGGAAGAGACCGAGATATGGTACTAACCTATAATTATCACCATAACAATGTAATCAAGATGCTCCCCCCTTACCTAAATTAGCATTTCTTCATCTTACCTAATATTCTTCACACCTCCCGGAAGGTTTTGTTAATAGGCTTTTGAGTTAATCTTCTATTGGCGGACAGACAGAGATACATCGAGTCAATCCTTGACGATACCGGAATAGTGCACCCAAAATCTTTGATCTTTTGATAACTTCCGACTTTGTTTTCCGTGACTAGTATTAAGCTCGGTGTATAAGTCTAGTACCCTACTTTTGGACCACCCTTTTACACCAAAAACTATCACTTTTCACCTTATCAATAACTTTTTTCATTTTTCGATATAATTCATTCAAATATTGATTATTAATAAATATATTACTTAAATAATAAGAAATTTCTGAAAATTTAAAATTTCCTTGATTTTATTATTAATTGAAATATTGAAATTACGATTTTTAGTTTATATGTTAAAAGGAATGACCTCACACAGGGAATAGTGGGAAGCTGATAGGGCAGAACTGAGGTAATATTGGTCTAGTAGGTGTTACGTGACGGTTGTTATCTGTGACGGAAAAGTCGTAAACGGAGTCAATTCAATCACTTAGAATCTAAAACTAAAGAACTAAGAGGATTCTAAGTGATTGAATTGACTCCGTTTACGACTTTTCCGTCACAGTAGGTTAATCTCTCTTCTAAGTTCTACAGAAGTGCGAAGCTCTCTTACAGAGAGCTTCTCAATCTAGTCCTAATAGGACTAGTGCCCTGTGCACGTGCTACTCAGGAACCATTCACTTTAACATTATATAGAATTTATATAATTATAATAAATCTTTTATATTAAGAAAATGAATTATTAATACATAGATTTAAATAAAAAACAAATTTTAAGTTCTAAAATTTATTAAGTAAAAATATAAGTTGAGGTAGAAGGTGAACCTAAAGATATAATAGTGGGCTCTGCTTCATCTCATGGTTAGCATTCCTTCTTATATTCATAAACCACAAGATCCTCCTGTGTACGGATAACTTCTTATCTTGAAGCTCCTTCTCCAAACCTAAATGGCTTCGCAGGACGTAAGTGAATATGTCTTCCTACATCAAAACGAAGAGACTCATGGGGGTGGGCCTGCTAGAACTACCAAGAGAATCACACCGAGAAGCAAGCAGGATTATTATACCCCAGCTCACCATAATGTTACGTCCAAAACGATTAGTATGTCACATGACCATAAAACATGTGATGGAACGGTGAGGAACGAACGTTCCTAGGAACAACTAGGAACGCTCGTTCCCAGGAACGACGATTCCTAGTTAACCATAGGCACGAAGGACTATATAATCAAGATGGATTTCTTTTGTATAGAGCTTCGTGCTCAAGATCAATCATTTAGTATACTCTACCATTAGTTACGAATTGCATATCATCATTGTCATTACTTTAAGTCCCTGCTTGACGCCTAGTTATAAACCACCTCGAGAGCCTAGAGCACTTCCACGTGGTCTAGACGGCAAACCTCGTAACACATAAATCGCATCAAACACCTGCTACAGAGCAGACACAGATCCGGGATATGAGATTGTCGTTTCGAAGGTACAGCAGACTAATGGATGTTCATAGCAGGAGAAACCATCGAGGTGAATTCCGACCCCGACAGTTCATAGATCTTACTGGCGATACCTATGAGTAGAGAGATCGATAATCTCCTAGATATGTTAATATTATAAAAGCGCTACTGCTGATTGTTCCATATGTGGCTTGCATCAAAGATGTAGTTGGTAGAGGGCTAGGGAGATAGGGAGTGCAGTGAGAGGAGCGGTAGAATATGCCGGAATTGCGAGGAGTTGGGGTTGGAATATGAAAGAGTTGTAGTGCGAGATGCGGTGTACGACTATTCGGTTGCGTTGGCTGGTGCGTCGTAGGGAAAGGAGGGAGGATCGATGAGAGATGAGGAATGGGACAACTCCGCTGAGTCCACCGAAGAGGGTGAAGGATACCTGCGGGGAAGAGACAGTCAGGTGCGTTTGCGAAAATCTCGGGGAGAAGGAAGGTAGATGTGGAAGGAAGATGGTTTTTCAGGCAATAAGTCTGATGTGCAGCTAAAAATCAATGAAAGGATATAATTCACAAACCCAGTTCAACCACAAGAGGCACAAGGAACAGTGGTGCACAACGAATGATAGAGAGAAGGGAAGAAGTAAATCCATATTGAGCACAAGTGGTAAGGGAAGAGTGCAAATAGGACTGCTCCCAAATTGGTACAAGTAGTACCTGCGAGTCCCAGCTGTGGCCCTGCCAACATTAAATTACTTCTCCAAGTCTGCGAGAATTCTCTCCAGCGCGTTGATTAGGCTGCGTTTGTACCACCATGTGCCCGGGTCGAGCTCGTCTGGATCTTCCCCTAAGCTCCCAGTGTACATGATGTATGCACTAATACAATCGTGACTGAGAGCGGTGCAAACACATCCATCACCTATGCATTGATGATGCCGCTGCCCTTCCTGCCAGCGACATCTGGTATCAATCCCAGCTTTCAAGAACCGTTCCAAACAATTGTCGAAATGTGCGCGAGAGCTCCACCAAGGAACTGCTGCTAGGATGAAGTTATGTTAGAAGAGACATACGTGAGACAGTGCTGTATACAAATTTTAACTGGCCTCTGTCCGTGGGAGCGTCCGTGGCTACACCGTTTGAAGCTGAACTTATACCTCCACCTGATGTTTGGCTGGTAGACTGATTTTCGAGGTCCATCATTCAATAGACACAAGCAGGAAGCGTATGATCGTACACACCGTAGAAGACATCTTACTTTGGGGTATAGAGAGCAGATTGAAGTTATTGTCGATTGAATGGTTGAATATTTTTTTTGGGTTGAGGCACTGGGTCACGTTTTTTTGGAGGGGTGGATACACCTTCGGCTTTGCGCACGAATGACTATATTTCCACTCCGGGGGCAAGCCTCTTTCAAACTCGAGAAGATGGTTGCAAGGAAATTGGCGTGCTGCTCTTGAGGATTGTCCGCAATGAGTCATCTACTAGCAGTTCTCCCATCACACGTGTTGCAGCTGGAGAGGTCCTTTATTGCTCTCTTCCCAGAATGCTCCCGATCTTGATTCGGATATAGAGCTTCGTTCTCTATTGCCCAGCTGTCCCAGTTCCATGTGAGGCGCTACCCGCCACACATGGCATCTACTCCAATGAGCCTTACTTCTTTGCTATCCATCCGCCGACCCACGTATGCACAAATAAATAATATACATTTGATAATTACGCAGCTGTTCTAGCTCGTTTAGAAACATTGCTACCAGTTTTCAAGATATTCCTTTTTCGGGACAAGGCCTTCCTCCTCTCCCCGTTGATACTGGTACTTGAGCAGTCAAATTCGACCCATATGCGAAGCAGAAAGTCAACTTTATGACGCTTATACTGGTCCTTGTCACATACACGAGCAGCACTACCAAGCTGTAGAAAACCGTCTATCAGCATAGTCATCTCAGCGCCACGGTGAAGTGTGTTAACCCATTTGATGAGCTCAGCCATGTCCGAGACAAACCATTCATCCGTTGGTCTGCTTGAATCTGTAGGGTCGCATAAGAACAATGCAGAGCACCAAGGTCTAATAGCGTTAAACATCCCAACATTAGACGTATGGACACTTTCACCAAGAGCGAATAACTTTTTAGTCAGTCGGCTGTGTTCGTACACATTTTCATTTATTGACATTGCTGCCTTTAACCACTCTTTGAATTCTGACCGAAGAGCCTCCGAGCTCGCGTCTTGTCTGAGTTGTTGACTTAGTTGTTGAGCATTTAAGGCGGCAAGGTATTCCTCATCCGAGTCCACCTCAAGATATGGTTCGACATGTCCTGAATCTTGACAAATATCGTCAAAATCCAAGTCTTCTGCAACATCTGACGGCTCTTCACAGTCGGGTGAGAAAATACCATGGCACACTGGCAGGAGGCTCGGTGTTGCCGGTACAATATCTACGTTTGCATCTACAGCTGCGATTGACGGTGATCGAGGAACCTGCACTTCAATCGACCTTTGTGCATCGTGTGTGGTGTATGGCGGTGGTCTACCCTTGAATTCTTGATGTTTAATCTGGGACCAGTCCACTAGCATAATGCCTTTTTGAGAGTATATCTTTCGCATGTCAGGTTCGCAGATCCATACGCTCTTATCACGCAAGAGCTCGTCAACCGTTTTCAAATGTTCCCGCGCGTAATCGGAAGGTCTGATATAAACCTTAAAGCTCTTCGTAACAGATAAAGATCTGAGTTTCTGCATCAATGCGCTCGAGGTAGAGTTGGAAGGTAAGATAGTCGCAGATTCCCTCTCCTTCCTAACGACAAATCCTGTAAAATCTAGATCGAATGGTAGGGCAATGATATGCTCCAAATTGCTTAGACCGGCTGCGTGGAGGGCAGATGCGTCATGGGAGGACAAATCATCAAGCCCCGATATTGGAAGAAACTTCAAGGAACATTCAAAGTCACCATGCGGCGGGACAACCAGTAACATCTCCATTGGGCGATTTTTGCCAGTATGCTTGTGAGTCACCTTAAGGGAGAAATAAACATGAATACGTCTTTCTGAATCACGGACCACTTTCATAAGAAGATTGGTGTTCTCTTTATTGCCAGCTAAGCAAGAACCCAACGTATAAGAATGTCCCTCATCAACCCATTTTATATACACTCTCTCCTGAAGGAGATTCTCCAGCCCAAAGTTTTCGATCGGAACCGCCATGCCGTGTACTATGATAATAATCAGTGATGAACATGATAAAGGACAATTGTATTGGAAATAAATGACCCCACACGCGATGTGTGTCCCACCCACCCAGGCTAATAGAGCAGCCTTGACTCTTCGGCATGAACCGAATCAGGATGGTTCAAACAGCAGATGCTGAGAAACCTAACCACCGAGTACAGGCTGTAGCAGGGTTGTTCCCAAACAGCAGATACCGAGGAACCTAACTACCGAGTATAGGCTGTAGCAAGGTTGTTCCCAAACAGCAAATGCTGAGGAACCTAACCACCGATTACAGGCTGTAGCAGGGTTGTTCCCAAACAGCAGATGCTGAGGAACCTAACCACCGAGTACACGCTGTAGCAGGGTTGTTCCCAAACAGCAGATGCTGAGGAACCTAACTACCGACTACAAGCTATAACAAGATTGCTCCCAAGCAGTATATACTGAGAAACCTAACCACCGATTACAGGCTGTAGCAGGGTTGTTCCCAAACAGCAGATACAGAAGAACACGACCTTTGTACGATGTATACAAAGACGCTATAAAAGCAATCTTGTACGTGTTTGATGTAGATGATATTGCGATGATCGGTGTAGATGTAATGTAGGTGATAGAAGTGGAGAAATGAAGTAGGAACGGAGATGAACGTAAGCAAGACACGAAGCGAGAAAGACGGTGGGCTGGTTTTGTGTATATAAATTGTGGTCTACGTTTGCCTACATTTACCAGGAGGGCAGCGACTAGTGCACTTAGAGGCGGCCGTAGCCTGTGGAATCCATGTATACGTAATACTATTATACAACAAAATCAGCAAAATACTAGTCGGAATGTGGGGTAGGGGACTTGATAGGATAGGGTTCAGGATAATGATAAACCAACCCCCAACCCTCTTCGCACCTACAGTCAACTCAAGACGGGCGCAACCACAACTAATCATGAATGCAAAAATATCCCTATCGTATGGTAGGTTATTGTCACATCCATCAGGTGGTTGCATTATTGCAACCAACCAAATCCCTACTTGAATGATGGGGATTAAATGCGCGATACTCTGCACAAACGCGTCCTATGCAGAGTGAACCATTGCTATACTCGAACAATATATTTGGAAGACTAAATCAGTAGATGCTCTGTTTCTGAAATTTCGCTATCAAAGATCGACCATCAACAACATCCTTTGCCCGTTTGACAGACCCCTACACAAATAGATAAACGGTGACTTCGAGATTGTCTTAAAATGCCCGACCTTCTCTCGATAGAACTGAGGGTTTCTCAGCTAGAACCTCCAAAACGCTTATTCGCAGATTTCGATGACTTTGATCCGTCCTCACAACAGCCTGGCGCGACGAAGCGACTCCGAGCTGAGAAAGAGGAAGCAGAACAGGAGGTTAAGGTATGTCAAAATCCCCTCGGACCAGTCAGCGTGTAATGAACAAATTCGCGCAGACTATACAACAACAACCAAAGCCTCTCCCTTTGAAGTATCCACGCGCATTATTTCTCGAAGACACAGTCAACCTTCTTCGTTCAAGTTTTGCTCCAAGATACCGTCCTGAGTCTGTCAAAAGTTCTGTTACCCAGTGGGTCGAGTCTGTTTCAGGATCAGGGTCGGAAACCTACAGAGAAAGACACTGCCGGTCAGATACCCTTCTTGGTCACTCGAACTGCAATATCATACCTAGGAGATTTACAAAATCGGCGTCGAATATGGAGTACAGGCGGGATTCCGAAGAATCTGCTTTGCCATCAGCACCCGCTTCTGCCAAATCATTTTTGAACAATGCAAATCTAGCGAACGATTCACTACCGTTGGGGTATGGACCTTCAGCTGCGCCATCACTTAGTGGTAACTCATCTACCTCAGGTCGAAAGAATCTTATTTTCAGGTCCCTTTACCGGGATAGTAACTTGTGGCAAAACAATATCTTCATACGTTCATTCTAGGAAGAATTTCCGCCAGACATTGCCGAACTTGTTGATATCGTAAGCAAGGATCGTGATTCATTAGATATATCGTCAGGTCAGGTCAAACATAATACACGTTTGGAACGCCTTGAACTAGGTGCCGCACAAAAGGATGTAGAGAATTACTTCAGTACTTATGTCTTTCCTTATCCTGAACCAACAGACGGTTGACAATGTACAATGAGAGATCCAATGGCAAGGCATGCTGTTCCGTGTTCCGAGTCCATACTCAGGGTCAGCACTCCTGTACCTGATATGCTTTATGGATACAGTCAAACCAATGCATTTCCTCAGCAACAAACCCACCTTTCTTTCTTCAAAGATGGAATCACAGTCAACAGTCAAAACCTTATTTGTCCGTTCTTTGTCGTCGAGTTCAAGGTGGATGGTCCTAGTGGGGGTGGAAGTATGTGGATGGCGACGAATCAGTGCCTTGGAGGCTCTGCATCATGCGTCAACATCGCAGAACGCCTCAGCAGGCAATTTAAGAATAAGAAGGTCCGGGCTAGTGATAGTGCTGCATTCAGCATTGCCATGAATGGCATGGAGGCGCGGCTCTTCATAACCTGGAAACATGATGAGCTCAAATACTATATGCGAAAGGTTAGGAGTTTTTTGCTTCAGGATCCAGAACATTATGCAAAATTTCTCAAGTATGTTCTGAACATCATCCATTGGGGTATGGGCGAGCGCTTGAAAGGAATTCAAAATTCATTGGACACCTTCCTCGAGGAAGAAAGATAGCTTCCCAGCAGGCAAAGTCTCGCCCACCGCCTCCGTCGGATGAGTCCACAAATAGCAGTCGCCAGAAGAGCAAAGCACCACCGTTTCCCGGACCCAACGGCCAAGTCAATACAGGACAAGTAGACGGCATTGGTGGATTTACTGGGGCCATATTGGAAATTGGATACTACATACAACCGTTATTTCCACATCGACGAGTATGGTAATATCACCTGGAAGGACGATGGAGATGAGTCATCCTCAGCGCAGTAGTAGAGGAGAATGACTACCAGAAAATCTATATCGCTTTTCACAATCGTCAAATCATACGTCCATGGTTTCGCCCGAAAGGTCGGACGACTCGGGCCGCAACTTGCAAGCTACTTATATATGGTGGACGTTCTTCTCTGTGCTGAAGTTATCTCTCTTCGACACTACGTCATTTGAGGATCGGTGTTTATTTTAGTACGGCCTTGAAAGCTTTGTGGAGAGAAGAATACAGCAGCAAAGTATTAACTCTAGGAAGGGTCTAGAATTTCTTATGGTGTTGTTTTCTATTGTAGGGCGCGTATGTCATTATCTCATAGTCTTCTCGCGATTCAAAGAGGGAGTTCCTGTGAGTTCTATCCTATTTCTGTCTTCAAAGCGATTTTAAGAGTGAAGTTCAATTAGTGGTATTCATTGTATGACAGCGCTGGATTTCAAAAATAAATATTTTAAGGTCCCTAGAAAGCTTCAAGCGTTTAATTGTTATATAACATCAAAACTAGATCATCTCAGGAGACGTATACTAATGTATAGTGGAAAAACATCTAAGAAATATAACTAATTAAAATCAAATCAAGACACATTTCATGGTTGGTGGTTTTCATTCGCCATCAGCCGTGACCTCTTGGCTTTTCAGGATATTTACTTTATTCTTTTCTATAGAATCACGGAGTAGAGCAGAATACATACTCTATGAAAAATACCTTAAATGATTTTGAATTATTTTTACTTTATTCTTTGCTAAATCGTAAATGGAGAAGATTGTCACGATTCATTAATTCACGTGACCTCGAGGACCTTTTGGACCTTAGGGTCCCAAAGGTCCTCAAAAGATGATATAGGGTATATAAACATTCATTTAGTCTCGTAGTTAAGGAGCTTTGTGCTCAACTTAGTTATCAATTAGTTTACCTACATTCTACTTGATCTAGTAACGACTTCACTTCCAAGTGAAGACCAGTGATAAAGCCTTAACCCACAACTACCAACCAAACAAAACCTTAGGCAGCCGCTGCCTCCAGTATAGTATCGTTACAAAGATATTCTCGTGCTGGATTAAATAGTTGGTTATATTGTTTTTAGATGAATATCAGTATTACTTTTATTATCTTCTCTTTGATAGGTAAAAATTGTAGATTTCTATCTTATGTGAATCTTACAATTTTAGGCTAACATTTTCCCTGTGAAACATTCGCGTCCAAAAATGCGTTGGTAATTTTCGATAATGATTCTTTCTATTGATCCTCGCAATACTTAGAGCTATTTTCATCTCGATCCATCCATCACAATCAATGGAGGTCCTTGAAACGTCAGAGATCTTTGAAGAAGTTGATGGAGTCTGGCAGTATGCCTACGTTACCATTGTCTATCGTATCGAGAATGATATTTATCATGGGATCTCGAACAATCGAAAGCATTTTCACGAGCCATTATCTATCAAAGTCGAAGAGCTTGCCAGCTCGGTACTAGTACCTAGAGAATCCTATTTTCCGAACTTTTCACCACTTTTCACGCAAGCTCCCGCTTCATTGTCTGCAACTTTCTATGTTAAGCGTCCGAGTTTGCTATCCTATCGTCACTCTGACGTTAACGACAATCCTACAAAAATCAGCGACCGCGTTATTAGAGAGGTTAAAGTGGGCTAAATCCTCCGATTGAATCCCCATCCAAATATTGCTAAATACTTCGGGTGTCTTGTTCACGAAGGACGTATCACCGGAACCTGCTGGTCCAAATATCACAAACGCCTCATGCATATAGTGAATCTGGGACACCACATGAAACGCCATATCATCTACAATGACCACCTATCGAAGGACCGGGACGCATGATTTAATGGTATTGAGAAGGGTATTCAACATTTGCATTATCTAGGACTCGTTCATAATGATATCAATCCTGCGAATATTATGCTTGATGAGACGGGCACTCCGATTATCATCGACTTTGATTCTTGCAGATTGATAGGGCAGGATTTGGAAGGGGTTGGTCGGACATATGAGTGGTTTGATGAGAGTGTGAGGATTAGTTCGCAAAGTAATGATCTGGATGATTTGGATGAAATGCGAGCTTGGTTAACCGGAGGTCCTATGGAAGACTTCAAGTTCAGAGAATGATGAGTGTGTTAAGGATAGGACGGCTGGTTTTATGGAATTCTATCGGTATCATACGTGGTAATAAAATCATCTGTCAAAACACCTCAGTTCCTCCGATCCCATGCCTGCCAATGTGTTTTTAATAAAAGTACTGTCACACAACCCTAGATTTCTACAGCCCTTCAATATGCCTCAAGAATACTCTGTAACGAGCACACCATCACCCATATAAAATAGCTGGAACCCGATTTATCATTCAACACAAGTATTCCCTTTGTGTGATATGAAAATGCATACCATTTTAACACTACATAAATTCAGGCTTAAGCCGAGTCTCGATATATGAGCCAGAGTTGATGCAATCTCTGATATCACGATCACTTGAGTGAAATAGTTGTTTTTTCTTTCTTTTGAAAGCCCAAGGCTTTATTAAATAAAGAAACAAGTATATGTTAACTAGACTTATTGCTACGACGGCTATCTTCTACGCCGCGTCACATGACTAAACCAAGGTAACGTGATTAAGTCACGTTATGAACCGCTGAGGAACGCTGGCTGTCCAGGACCGCGCAGCGGTCCTGACTAGCCATAGGCATGAAGGTCTATATAATCAAGATGGATTTCCTTTGTATAGAGCTTCGTGCTCAAGATCAATCATTTAGTATACTCTACTATTAGTTACGAATTGCATATCATTATTGTCATTACTTTAAGTCCCTGCTTGACGCCTAGTTATAAACCTACTTCGAGAGCCTAGAGCACTTCCACGTGATCTAGACGGCAAACCTCGTAACATTTTTTTAATAAAATTCAAAACATATTAAAAAATTAAATAATTACTTTGATACTTTATATATAATATCAAGATTTAAAAAACCTCAAAACTTTTATTTATAAAACTATTTTATTTTATTTTATTAAATATAAAATAAACAAATTTCAAAACCCTTATAATAACTTTTACTACTAAACCCAAAGTCTATAATTTAAAGCTTCAAACTAGATGATAATAAAAGCGTTGTTCGACCTCCAGATTGGAAAGAAAGATAAACAGAATAAAATAAATAGATACTATAGTAAAAAACAAACATCTATCGAAACCAGAAAGTGACCAATCTTCCGCGCAAACAGAACAGAACATTTTCACATGATCAAAATACAGGGAGCGATTATAAAGCCATAAGACACGGTCCGTTGACTAGGAAACTCGGAAGCTACCGAACTCCGCCTCGCCGGGAATTTGGTAAACAAATGGGTTTAATTCTGGTCCGCCTATCTGCTTGGTATTGTACCGTGTCTATGGTATGACTTATCTTGACGACGGGACTCTTAAGGGGTGGATAGATAGGCAGGATAAGATATTATTGATGATGTTAGATTTCCAAGAACTTCCCCATTAACCACATTATCAAATCATATTTACAAAACAAACAGCAAGAGAAAAATCCAAGACTTTATTTTCTACTGAATACACCATCTTCCCTCAAAGTAACACAAACCCCAATCATAATAATCAAACTATTAATATTGAATGAATAAAATGATTGATTGATTGGTCTCGGGAAGAAATAGGCATCTTTCAATTCAATTGTCTCAATCTCTCAAATTGGATACCACGAGGCTTTTTGCTCGATTTTTTGTTCATATTAAACTTGACTATTACTTGATCGGTCATACTTATTATACTTGTATGTTTCTTGCTTAATGACGGGGAAAGAGCCGTGGTGACTTGGCGTTCTTGGATATTGATTTTCGATATTGGAGGTACTTGGGGATTTGCTTCATACTGTACACGCGACTATTGGTTGAATCGGGGTGGAAGGAAAAGATAATTAGATGTTTATTCTCTTCCACTTCCCACTGTTGGTAGGTTGTTTGGTGGTTGGGTTGATAACTGTCAGATAGATACTCGAGTATCTAGATACCAAATATAAGCAAGGACATGTATTGAAAAGTTCCCTAAGTTCGGATTATTTTTTGATATGAATTCTCATCGATAACGTCTAGTGCTAAAAAGGAAGGTAGATATTTATCCTAGAGTGAATGTGGATTTAGATGATGACATGGGTGTTTGCTTGCCCAACCTTATCTTTTGTGGGTGGTGCTTTGAGAGAGTCCGTAGTGAAAGCGGAGTCCTCCGAAGTTTATCCCGCGAGTGATTATCGAGTTATCAGTTGTTTATAGCGGTTGGTATCGTATCGTATCGTGTCCTATCAATGTTTGGATTTTACCGATGGGGAGGATGAGGTTGGGTGGTAGTTGATTAGCATGGGATTATCTATGGGATTAGATGATTGGGATAGGATAGGAAGTAGAGGATGTGAAGAAGTAAGGGAGACGAGAATATTTATTGTTGTTTATTTGTTTACAATGACAAGAAGTGGGAATTCATTATTAGAGTTTCTAGAATTTCTAGTACTATTCTAGAAGGGGAATGATGTGTTGTTGATCGGTTTAACTGGGATTCAGGAACAGGAACCGAATTAATAATTCCCACTTCTTTTTTTCTCGATTTTGATGGGAACTCATCTATCGTGACAATGACAATCACAATAATAATCACAATGACAACATCAAAATCTATGATTCTCTGCCCGTTTGTATTGTTTGTTGATAAGTCTTACAACATCAAGTAGACAAGCCTCATAAACTCGGCCATGTATCACGCCAAGATCTCAATTGGCGAGCTCCTACGGACGGAGAATATCCCGTATATGTACTCGAGTAACGAGGAGAATAGAATGAATGGATCATGACGGTGAGATTCCCAAGGGAATTCCAAGGCTTATGTGCATACATATGGTTACCTAGGTCTTGACGGTTCATATGCAATGCGATAAGGAAGTTTTTGTATAGATAGTCGAGTAAGGGAGTATATGTTTTTATATAAGGGATCCTAGTCACGATATCGGAGTTGGATTGATTTTTGGAAAGAGGATTGAGTGAGATACTAGGGAGTATATTGAATAGTTTGTTTATTTTATTTATCAAGTTATTTATCTAGTCTTTGCTATCTTTTGTTATAATAACACAAGTTTGTTATGGAATAGCTTGGTATTACTCCATATCTAACTTTCATATCCACCACCAGTATCCACATCTAGATGTCTTGACAAGCTACACTAACCCAATTCCCCTCTCTAATACCTGCAAGGAAGATCGATCAGCTCCCGCCCATCAAATCGGTCAACATTTCCCAACGAAATTGAGAAGATTATTGGATAAAGCCTCAAAACCAGGAACAGATGGGTGAATATCCGAAGCGTGTGATTAACATGTTTTTGAGGAGTTTTGTGGGGACTAGATAGATCATGTACATTGATTGCATTGCATTACTTTTACCTTATTAAAGAATTCACTGCAGGTACCACGGAATATATTAAGCTTCCAGAACCTCGAGTCCGGATGGGTTTTTTCTTCTTCTTTTCTTTTTCCTTACCTCTTCTATAACTTCTCTGTCGTGCTTCCTTCCTCCTCTTGAGTGATAGTTGGATCATTGAGTATTCTTATCCAAAGATCTTCTCCTTGTGCTCTTTCCTCCTACTCTTCCTCTCCTCTATACTCTACTCTCGTGAAACCTTCTTCACAAATCCTCCTCTAATACCATCTTATCATCCCTCGATAAAATGCGTACTTCGGCTCTCCTCAGTCTCTTGGCTGGTGTTGGATCTGTGGCTGCTGCAACAACTAAACCATTTGGACTCCCAAAAACTACCTTAGAAAAGAAGGATATTCACGTTAGTATTCAGGCCGATGGTTTGGATGTTAAGTTGGATGTTACCAATTCAACAGCTAGTGTGGTGAAACCGAAGGTTTTTATCATTTCTATGGTATGTAAATTTTTTACACCGTCTTATCTAATCTCGTTCCATAATTTTCGCTTTACTTTTATCTGAAAAGTTGCGATTTTACCTTCGATGTATGAACATCATCTGACCAATTTTTAGTTCACACCTGAAGCAGATATTTGGTATGAAAATTCCTTTACCAAGGGTTCAATCGGAAATCTCTTCGCCAAGAACATTACCGTTCCAGGTTTCTCTCCTCTCTTCCCACAAGCCCATTGTCTCGAAGATGGTTCCGTTTGTCAACTCACCACTGGAGAATCCGAAATTAACGCAGCTTCAACCATCACCGCTTTGACTCTCTCCTCAGCCTTTGATCTCACATCGACTTATTTCCTCGTTGGTGGAATTGCTGGTATCAACCCAAAACACGGTACTCTCGGTGATGTTGCATTCTCGAAATATACCATTCAAGTAGCCCTTCAATATGAATTCGACGCTAGAGAAAAGCCTGAGAACTTCACCACTGGATATTTCCCTCAAGGTTCATATGCTCCCGATCAATACCCCGGTAACATCTACGGAACCGAAGTATTCGAAGTCAACGAACCACTCCGAGATTTGGCTGTGGAATTCGCGAAAAAGGCAACTTTGAACGACTCAGAGATTTCAATCGCTTACCGTACTTTATACGATACAAACAGCACAGAGATCAATAAATATCAAGCAGCAACCCATGCTCCTACAATCATCACGTGCGATACCGCCACCTCAGATGTTTACTACTCTGGTACACTCCTCGGTGAAGCATTCGAAAACACAACCACACTTCTCACCAACGGATCTGGTGTTTACTGCATGACAGCTCAAGAAGATAACGCTACCCTTTCTGCTCTCATGCGCGCAGCTCTCTTCAAGCTCGTCGATTTCTCCCGCATAATCATCATGCGCACAGCTTCTGATTTCGATCGTCCATACCCTGGTGCCTCCGTAGAATACAACCTTTTGTATTCCAACCAAGGTGGTTTCGAACCCGCTATTCAAAACATCTATCTTGCCGGTACAGAGGTCATCAAGGGACTTCTCGAGGGATGGAACTCCACTTTTGAGAGTGGTGTTAATGCTACTAATTACATCGGAGATATCTTTGGTAGTTTGGGTGGTGAACCGGATTTCGGACCTGGAAGTGAGTTTGGTGGTGAGGAGGTTGATCCGGATAATTCGGTTATTTACGTCAAGAGGGATGGAGAGAAGAAGGTTAGGAGTAGAAGAGAGATGAAGGGAAAGAAGGGTTTGATGAGACGTCATTAATCTGGATGATGTGAGTGGTGGGGTTTTCATCAATGGTTTTAATGCCAAGATGAAGTGAAAGAGATTATTCTTATCCCTGGGGATGTAATGGGTGATGGGATCCGATGATTTTTTGTGCTTGCGACGTGCGTTACAGCATACTTTCTTCCTCTTTCTTCGCGTGTATATCTTATCCAAAAGTCATTGGGTGGTGGTATTATTTCTCGGGGCGGAAATGTTGGGGTTTTGGGCGGAAGTTGGTGGATGGTGGGTGGTAGGCGGTCAATCAATCGCTTTTCATTTGCGAAAACACTGCGAAGATATCAAAGCGATAATCCGCAGGATATTCTGAGGCGAAGCGTACAACTGGTCACTACGAATTTGGAAGAGTTGCACAATACCATAGAGCTAGGGAAAGAGGACTGTAGATAATGGGCAGCAGTGGCAAAGACCAGTATGAAAGTGCTGGTTTATGAGTATATAATGCAGATGAGATACGATATATGGGAGGACGATATTTGGTATTATTATTTGGATTTTGAGGCTATAGGTTTGATGTTTGATGGGGGATGTTTGCGCCGGGGGTGGGATAATTAAAGAGTGGTATATAGGGGTAGAGAAAGATGTGAATATATGATTTATATGATTTATATAATTTGTATAACGTGTTTCATCACCCCGTGCACCATATCACCTCGTGCACCACTTTCACCTCAATTCACATCAATCACTTCAATACGCGATTTATCAATAAATAATTATGGTATCGACATTAAATGAACGCGATATCGTTATGGCGATGGAGGCAATGGCTAAAGATAAAAATTTAAGCCTCCGGAAAGCTGCCAAGATTTACAATATTACTCATACGACACTCATGCGTAGAATGAAAGGGATCACTCCTGCCTCCGAATATCGTCAAAAACAGCATAAAATTACTAAAATTGAAGAGGAGGTTATTATTCAGCATATAATCGATATGGATGAGCGAGGATTTAATCCTAAATTCATAAGTGTTGAAAGTATGGCGAATCACATTCTTGAATCGAGGGGTGGAAAGCGTATTGGTAAACAATGGGCATATCGATTCGTGAATCGATACAATATTCTAAAAACGCATTTTAATCATGCCTACGATTTCCAAAGAGCTCTCTGCGAGGATCCTAAGCTTATTAATAAGTGGTTTCAATTATTCAAAAATATAAAGGCAAAATATGGAATACAGGAGTGTGATATATGGAATTTTGATGAAGCAAGCTTTATGATGGGAGTGATATCCTCTAGTATGGTTATTACTAATGCAGATAGACGTGACAAAAGTAAAGGAATACAGCTAGGCAATAGAGAATAGTCGACAGCGATTGTATGTGGTAATGCGACAAGGGAGAACATACCTCCATATCTCGTTCAAGGACAAATGCACCTAGCCAATTGGTACAGCGAGACGGATATGCCTCCCGAATGGGTGGTTAAAACTACTATAAATGGATGGACGAATAATGAGACGGGTTTAGAATGGCTAAAGCATTTTGATAACCATACGAAACTCTGTACGAAGGGTGCATATCGAATACTAGTCTTAGATGGACATGAAAGCTATGAATCAGGCCCTTTTCAGAACTATTGTATAGAACATAAGATTAAAACCGTTGGATTACCACCTTATTCAAATCATCTCACCCAACCTCTTGATGTTAATTGTTTTAGTGTACTAAAACGCACATATAGCAAGCAAATTGAGGGGTATATATGGATGTATATCAATCATATCTCCAAAGTCGAATTCTTTATAGCATTCAATACTGCATACAAACAAGCAATTACAATGGAGAATATGAAAGCAGGCTTTAGAGGAGCAAGATTAATCCTTTTTAATCTCGATGCTGTACTCTCTAGAATGGATATTCGAATCTGTACACCTACTCCTCCTTCGCTTCCTCCGAGTCATATACCCGATTGGGTCTCACAAACACCTCACAATGCCATCGAAGCTCTTTCACAAGCATTTTTAGTACGATCTATTATTGCTCAATATCATTCTAGCTCTTTTACACCTATATTTAAGGCTACAGATCCTTTAATTAAAGATGTAGAATACCTAGCTAGTACTGTCACGATTTTAGCTTTTGAGAATCACGATCTTCGATTGGCAAATACAGGATTAAGTAAACGTTGACGCGCTAAAAAGACTCAATTACGTTTAGGAGGAGCTCTCATTATTCAAGAGGCTAATGATATTATATCACAAAAAGAGGTGGATGTTCAGATTAAACGCGATAGGCAACAAAATGGGCGGAATTCTAATAGAGAGGCATCGACTAATCGATGCTGTAGTAAATATGGAATAACAGGTCATAATGCAAGAATATGTTCTAATGATAATATAGATCCTAAATTATTAGATAGTGCTTAATTTAAATCAATTGATCAAGTAATTGTTGAATTATATATGATTATAAATAGGAATTGAGGTGAAAGTGGTGCACGAGGTGATATGGTGCACGGGGTGATGAAACACGTTAGTCATTCTTTACGTTTGACTTAAGTGGCTTAGTGAGTGAGGCTTTGATTAACGTAATTTATCACCGAGTGGGCCATATCACCGAGTGGGCCACTTTCACCTCAATTCACACTCTTCATATTCAACACGTGTTTTATCAACCATTTATTATGCAATCTACAGATAAAGAAGCACGTTTACTCTTAGCTATCGAAGCTTTTCAAAAAGATAAAAAACTAAGCATTCGGAAGGCTGCTCAACTATATAATATACCTCGCACAACGATCAGCTACAGAATGGATGGTTTAACTCCACATACAGAAACTCGAGCGAACTGCTATAAGATTACACAATTGGAAAAGGAAGTGATTGTTGAATACATACTTGATATGGATCGAAGAGGATTTCCACCTAAAATCAAGGGTGTAGAAGATATGGCGAATTATATTCTTGAATCAAGAAGTGCGAAGAAAGTTGGAAAGCTCTGGGCTCATCGATTTGTAAAGCGTTATACAGAATTAAAGATATGTTTTAATTGTATTTATAATTTTCAAAGAGCTTTTTGTGAAGATTCTAAGTTTCTTGAGGAGTGGTTTCGATTGGTATCGAATATACGAGCAAAATATAGTATTCTGGATTGCGATTTCTATAATTTCGACGAAACAGGCTTTATGATGGGGATTATAAGTGTTGCAATGGTTGTAACTGATGTTGAACGATGAGGTAGAGGTAAAGCAGTACAACTAGGCAATCGAGAATGGGCTACAGCAATTATATGTGGTAATGGGGAGGGTGAAACTATACCTCCATTTCTGGTAGTTCAAGGACAAATCCATCTTTCCAATTAGTACATCGAAACCGATTTTCCTGCGGATTGGGCTATCAAACCTACTTCCAATGGATGGACGAATAATGAGACAGGATTAGAATGATTAAAGCATTTCGATAAACATACAATTCATTGAAGAAAGGGCAAATATCAAATGTTAGTATTAGATGGACACGAAAGTTATGAATCAATATCTTTTTAATTATATTGCAAGGCAAATGATATTATATATATAAGATTATTATCGCATTTAAGTCATTTAACTCAACCACTTGATATTGGGTGTTTTAGTGTCCGAAAACGCTTGTATAATTGTCAAATTGATGGATTTATCAAGGCATATATCAATCGTATCTCCAAGGTTGAATTCTTTATAGCTTTTAAAGCTGTATATCAAGAATCAATTACAGTTCAGAATATGGAAGCTGGGTTTCGAGGAGCTGGATTAATACCATTTAATCCCGAAGCTATACTCTCAAAATTAGATATTCGAATTCATACATCTACTCCTTCTCTTTTCGATTCGGATCTTTGGATCTCTCAAACCCCTCACAATCCAATTGAAGCTCTTTCTCAATCAACTTTAGTAAAATTTCGAATATCTCGTTATCAATCAAGCTCTTTTACATCTTGTTGACCTCCTGGGATCTTGGCAGCATATGCATATATAGTACATATGCATATAAGGAGCAAACAAAACTCAACTTTTAATTCATTCTTTCCTTTTTGGTATACTGTTTGTTTGCTTTCAATATTTTGATTTCAAAGCACTTTAATTCCGAAGGCCGAATACCCAACCTATTCCTTCATTTTTTTGAATATATACTCGCAGCTTAACTGCTCAGCTAGAAAATCAGTCAATTCAATCTGATGCTCTTTCTAGTCTCAAGAAACCCAACACATCTATATTCGAAACTGTATTAGCTTTAGCTAAAGGCACAGAAAGATTGGCATATGAAAATACACTTTTAAGTGCAGAAAACCGTACACTTCGGAAGGCAAATGAGGCATTAAGCAAACATCGACATGCAAAAAAAACTCAATTACAGCAAGAAGGAGTACTTACTGGACAAGAAGCTATAGATATATTATCTCAGCAAGAGGTTGATATTCAGATTCAACGCGACGAGCGTCAAAATGGGTACCCCATATCAACTCACCAAAAGAAGCTATCCAAAAAGCTAGAAGTCTACTCATTCTAGCTGCCTCCCTGGAAGAGGATACCGAAGAACAATCGAAAGTCCTAGACTTAATCGAAATATTTCGTGAATATCTTGAAAAAGGAAAACTCACAAAAGCCTCAAATATCATCATATCACAAATCTCCCATCTAGAAAATGCCACCAAACGGATCGAAAAGCAAGCCAACCATCTTTCAAACCTTCCCAGTCATATGATCCCCCCCACAATAAACGCCCCTGGAACCAAAGCCAGCTATGCCACTATCACCAAAACCTCAGGAGAATGGAACCTAGTTACAAAGGCAAAACCCACAAAACAGAAAACTACAGAACAAAAGGAAGAAGCCCCAAGCAAACGACTAATCCTCATCAAACCTCTTATTTATCAGCCACCCTCTTTTACACCATTAAATACAAGGAATAAAGTCAACGAAGCCTTCAAGAAAGCAGGAATCAATGGACCAGTCATCTCAGCCATCACTACTACAAGGAGCGGCAATTTTATACTAACCACTAACAGCCCTTTCAATGCACAATTCCTGATGGAAAAGAAGGAAATCTGGGACAAAATCCTTGATGCCGAAAGAATACAAATCGATAAACCCTGGCATAAAGTCATCATTCACAAAATCCCAATTCAGGAATTCTCAGGTCTGAAAGGTATGGACCTAATCAAAGAGGAAGTCAATACCTTCAATCCAGGGCTCAGTATTATGGGTACTCCTTACTGGCTTACTAATGCCTCCAAGAGAGCCAAACAACAAGACGGAGCAATAGTCATTGCATTTGCTACACAAAAAGAAGCAGATATAGCTATTCAGAAAAGGCTATATATTGCAGGCATTAGTGTTAGAGTAGAAAGATTCTATCCATCTACTCCTTCATCCCAATGCAACAGATGCCAGGGATTCGGCCATAACGAATCATACTGCAAAAAACCTCCAGCTTGCGGACTTTGCAGTAATAATCATGCTACAGTCGGTCATTTCTGTATAATCTGCCAAGCAAAAGGCAAACCATGTCAACATCTAAGTGTCAAATGTGTTAATTGTAAAGGAGAACACAAAGCCAACTCGAAAGTATGCGAAGTATATCTATCAACCATCAAGAAATCCAACTAATGCTGTACAACAATACTCGCATTCTTCAAATCAATCTAAACAAGAGCCCTCAAGCAACCGAAAGTGCTCTCCAACTTGCTTTAGAACTCAAAATTGATCTCATAGTCATTCAAGAACCCTGGATCCTCTCGAATCCTGAGAAAGACTTCTCCTCAACCAGATCTATTGCCCACTCTAGCTTCTCTCAACTCCTCCCAAATAATCCTTCGAACCTGCGTCCCCGAACTATGATCTACATTTCAAAAGGATTCAAACCGCTAGTAGCCCTAGCTCCCAACTCCCCTAATGATCCAGATATTCAAATCATTGATATCACTCAAGGAAAACATACAATACAACTCATCAATATCTACAATGAAGCGGACCAAGCCAAAGAAAAAGGCCACACCATCGAAAGATGCCTTTACAATACCCCTCTTACTCATCACACCATCCTCGTAGGAGATTTCAACTCCCATCACCTTTGGTGGGACCCCTTCTCTAACAAAAGCTCAAATGCCGACCTACTCACCGAATGGTTTGAGGATTACAATCTCATTCTATTTAACGAACCAGGCACAAGCACCTTTTATTGAACAAATATGACAAATCCAAGTGTCTTAGACCTTACTTTAGCCACAGATTCAGTATCTCCCTATATCACTGATTGGCAAGTCCTCCCGGATCTTGGATCAGATCACTTAAGCATTCTCTTTGAAGTAAAGGGCACTTTATCCCGTACAACGAATATAGCTCAGCCAGCAAGATTCAATACAAAACTTGCGGATTGGGAAAAATTCGCGAATACCCTCAAATCGAAAATATCGATATCAACCACCTTAAATTCGAGTGAATACCTTAATATCGCTACCTCAGAATCCAACTCTCTTGATTCCCTTCTCGACAAGAGCCAATACATACAAGTATTGGATGAAGCTGCAAAAGAATTCACCCGAATAATCACTTATTCGGCTGAAACCAGTATACCGAGAATCAAGTCCACAAAAAGAGCTAAACCCTGGTGGTCCCCAGAGCTGAAAGCCCTTCGAAAACGACTCTCTAATGCATTTGAGAACGCCAAGATTTACCTGGAAGACGATATGTTCAAGAAAATCTACCAGTCAGCCAGGAATCATTACTTCCAAGCTATTAAAACAGCAAAGAAAAACCATTGGAATGAGTTCCTTGAAAAAGAGGATACCCAATCCATATTCAAGGCAATGTCATACACAAAAGATATACAAACCGAACGAATCCCGAATATTCGATCCAATCCCTCTAAACTAGAAAATTCTTTCGAGGGAAAATGCTCTGCATTTAGATCGACCCTATTTCCTCCTCCTCCATTCACCCCACCGCCCAATTGGGAAAGCTATAAACAATCTAAGAAATGGGAATGGCCTGATCTCACAGAGAGCGAACTCCTAAACGCGTGCTCTGCAAAAATCAAAGGAAAGACCCCTGGCCCCGATGGGATCACTCAAGATATCATTATTCAAGCGTACAAAGCAATACCAAAAGCATTCTTCACCCTCTTCAGTCATCTTATCAACCTTGGTTACCATCCTTCTTGCTGGAAACAAGCCACTGGAGCGATACTCAAGAAACCTTCAAAACCAGACTACTCGGCCCCAAAAGCTTATAGAGTTATCGCCCTACTAAATTGCCTTGGCAAAATGAGTGAAAGAATTCTAGCTCAAAGGCTTAGCTACTTAGCGGAGACTACGCAATTACTTCATTACTCTCAAATGGGTGGAAGACAAAAGAAATCAGCCATCGATACAGCAATCTTACTCACTACCGAAATCGAAAGAAATTCAAGATCCAAGAAGAAAACCTCAACTCTCTTCCTGGATGTTAAAGGCGCCTTTGATCATGTATCTATGAACAAATTATTAGATATCTGCAAGAACCTAAACCTCCCAACCAGCCTAATCGCCTGGATCTCATCCTTTTTGAAGGAAAGGCTACTCAAGCTCTCATTCGATGGCCAAATTGAAACCTTCAAACCGATCAATACCGGGATCCCCCAAGGCAGCCCTATTTCGCCAATCCTCTTCTTAATTTATATTCGAGATCTATTCTCAGCAAATTCAATCAAATATCTCTCATATATAGATGATATAGCTTTAACAACATTTTCAACATCCTGGAAAAAGAACATCTTCTCCCTCGAAAGAGCAACTAAACAGATATATGCTCTGGGCAAAGAAAATGCTATTCAATTTGATCTAGCGAAGACAGAACTAATACACTTCTCTACATCCAAAGATACGAAGACAGCCTCAATCAAGCTTCCGAACGAGGAGATAATTCAACCCTCAACACTAGTCAGATGGCTAGGCATATGGTTCGACCCTGGCCTCAGTTTCAAACAACATGTCACAATCCGAGCTACCCAGGCTAAAACCTCATTCTACCGAATGGCTAGACTTGCTAATTCTGAAAAAGGCCTTAGTCCCAAGGCAATGAGACAGCTCTATATGGCATGCGTCACCAGCATAGCTGACTACGGTTCAATTTTATGGTGGAAAGGGCAAAACCAATTCAAGAAAATCCTTCAATCCTTGCAAAACCTCGCCCTTCGAAAAATCCTAGGAGTATTCAAAACCTCACCAATAAAGCCAATGGAAATAGAAGTCGCATTGTGCCCTCCAGAAGTACGGCTAAATACTGGAATCAAACAATACGCATTTAGATTATTGAAAATCTCGCCTTCTCATCCTGTCAATTTAGTAGCTACAAAGCTGGCTACAGAAAAGGAGAATCAAGATGTAGTTGCAACCCCTCAAAGAAAGCAATTAAAACCTACTCAACTCGAAAAGATCAAAAATTCAATTCAGAAAGACTTCGATCCTCTCACTTTAGAAGGAATCCATCACTTCTACTTTCCTCCTTGGAAGAAAGAAGTTCCATATAAAGTCAATATCAGCAAATTAGGAAAAGAAGAAGCTGCGATGATCCACAATCTGGCTTTCAAATATAGGTGCAAAAATACTATTACAATATACACCGATGCCTCATCCACTTTAGAGGGAATAGGGATTGGGATCGGGATAGCGGTTATCTTACCAAATGGCCGAATTTCACATCAAGAGACTATCAATATAGGTGTGAATCAGCTTGTCTATAATGGGGAGCTCCTAGGAGTTACTAAAGCGATCGAATACGCAAATTCAATAGCCCAACCAGGAAACAAGTTCAAGATATACTCAGATAATCAAGCAGGATTATTCCGGTTGAAAACCCCCTCCGATTTACCTGGTCAATCATGCCAAATCAAAGCTATAAAAGCTGCGGAAGCTATTCAAAATAAAGGAGCCGAAATCTCTCTCAATTGGGTCCCCGGACATACATCTGTACAAGGAAACGAGCTAGCTGATTCTCTTGCAAAAGAGGCGACCAAAATACCATCCTCATCTCACGAAACCAGTTATGCCTCCATTGGAATGGATATAAAAAGAATGAAATCAGAGAACTGGATAGCCATCCTTAACACTAACAATTTTCATCAACCATCGTCAACATATTCAAGAAACTACCCCTGGAAGATCAGCTCAAAAATCAGAGTTCCAGGAAACATCAAAAGAAGCACAATCTGTGCTCTGTTCCAACTCAAAATTGGACACGGATACTTCAAATCTTATTTGAAACGATTCGGTATCTCCTCTAATGACAATTGTAGATGTGGGGGAAAGGAATCTCCTGATCATCTTCTGCTCAGTTGTCCTTTATATAAAATGGCAAGGAAAACCCTCAATAAGGATAACCCCACAGTCCGACCTACCATGAAATATCTGCTTCATACTAAAGCAGGAATCATCAAGACCCTCGAATTTATCGAGGCGACGAGAATAGCCACCAGATCATGGCATCTCAATAGAATGCATGAAGAAGAAGAGGAAGAAGGCGGAGAAGAAGGGGGTGGACCGGAAGATTGTGATTGAATTGATCAATTATGGCCAATTTGGTCAATTTAGTCAATTTGGTCAATTTGGTCAATTTGGTCATTTTGGTCAATTTGGTCAATTTGGTCAATTTGGTCAACTTGGTCAATTTGGTCAATTTGGTCAATTTGGGCAATCACCCCAATGTCAAATTTCATTACATTTCATTTGTTATTCCTCTTACTTGAATACGAGAGTATCTGTAAGGCGGGCTTGGTTCCCTAGTATTAGTTTTCACTTCCCCCATTCAAACATTAGAAGATTGAAGCTTTCAATCTCCCCAACCTGTATTAGCTACGGTCGAATAAGGCCAGCCACCCTCCATTTACTATTGTTAGAAGCCTACAAAGCTCCTAGCCGTCTTAGATAGTCATAGACTCAGTGTAGACGTTAATTTAATCAATCAATCAATCAATCAGCGTCAAAATGGGGGGAATTCTAATGGGGAAGCATTTTCTAGTAGATGCTGTAGTAAGTGTGAAAAGCCAGGTCATAATTCAAGAACTTACCAAATCAATATAATAGATCCTAGATTATTAGATTCCTAATAGTTTCAATCAATTGATTTAATTGTTGTTGAATAATATGTACTTGAAAGTGTAAATTGAGGTGAAAGTGGCCCACTCGGTGATATGGCCCACTCGGTGATAAATTACGTTATTGTAATGATATTAATAATGATTAAAATTATAAAATTAATTCTGTTACAAAACATGTGACGGAAACCCCTGCTTTCCTCCCACTTTTATTATATAAGAAACCTCAGGTACATTAACCATGTCCACACATGATACGATTACTCGGGATTAGTACACGATTTAGGTGACCTGAGGATCAGATCCGGACAAGTACTAGGTATCAATGGTTATCGGTAAAGTAAGATCATTGGAGGGATAAATATGACTTCTTTTTGCCTAGCCATTGCGGCTAGGCCATTCATTTGTGTATATATAGAGTAGCTATCCCCATCTACAGGTGCTCTTCACCTGTAGATTCTAAATTAAATACAATTGCTGGTCTATAAACATCTTTTGGTCACAAAACAAAACAAAAATAATATATAAAAATCAAACAAATGATAACGTGGTTTATCATCGAGTGGCCCATATCATCGAGTGGCCCACTTTCACCTCAATTTACACTTTCAAACCCATATTATTCAACAACAATTGAATCAATTGATTGAAACTATTAAGAATCTAATAATCTAGGATCTATTACATTATTTTGACAGGTTCTTGCATTATGTCCTGTCTTTCCGCATTTACTACAACATCGATTAGAAGATGCTTCCCCATTAGAATTCCCCCCTTTTTGACGCTCATCGCGTTGAATCTGAATATCAACCTCTTGCTGAGATAATATATCAAGAGCCTCTTGTCCAGTGAGCACTCCTCCTTGACGTAATTGGTTTTTTTTCGCGCGTCGACGCTTGCTTAATGCTTCATTTGCTGCCCGAAGTGTACGAATCTCTGCATTTAAAAGTGTGTTTTCATGAGCTAATCTCTCTGTACCCTTAGCTAGAGCTAGTACAGTCTCGAATATAGGTGTAGGAGAGCTTGCTTGATGACGAGTTATTCGAGATTTAACTAATGTTGATTGAGAAAGAGCTTCAGTTGGGTTGCGAGGGGTTTGAGAGATCCATTGATCTAGGTCGAAAGAGGGGGGGGTAGGTGTGCGAATTCGAATATCTAATTTCGAGAGTACAGCTTCAGGATTAAATGGGATTAAACCTGTTCCTCGGAATCCTGATTTCATATTCTGAGAAGTGATTGATTCCTCGTATGCAGCTTTAAAAGCTATAAAGAATTCAACCTTCGAAATATGATTGATATGTGCCTTGATAAATCCATCAATTTGACCACCATATGAACGTTTTAGATTGCTAAAACAGCCAACATCAAGTGGTTGAGTTAAATGACTTGAATGCGGTGGTAAACGTAAACATATAATATCGTTCTCTTTGCAGTATGCTTGAAAAGCTACTGATTCGTGGCTTTCATGCCCATCCAGTACCAACATTCGATATTTGCCCTTTCTTCGATTCTTAGTATGCTTGTCGAAGTGTTTCAACCATTCTAAACCCGTCTCATTATTCGTCCACCCATTAGATGTAGGTTTAATAGCCCATTCCGCAGGAAGATTCGTTTCGGTGTACCAATTGGAGAGATGAACTTGTCCTTGAACTACTAGAAATGGGGGAATAGTTTCACCCTCTCCATTTCCGCATATTATTGCTGTAGCCCATTCTCGATTGCCTGGCTGTACTGTCTTGCTTCTGCCATTTCGTTCAGCACTAGTTACTACCATTGCTGCACATATAATCCCCATCATAAAGCCTGTTTCGTCGAAATTGTAGAAATCTCCGTCCAAAATGCCGTATTTCGCTCGCATATTCGCAACTAGTCGAAACCACTCTTCAAGAAGCTTAGGATCCTCACAGAGAGCTCTTTGAAAGTCATAAACACGACTAAAACGCGTCTTTAATTCGATTCGACGCTTTACGAATCGATGCGCCCAGAGCTTCCCAACGCGTTTCGCACCCCTCGATTCGAGAATATCATTCGCCATATCTTCCACATTCTTTAGTTTAGGTGGAAATCCTCTTAAATCCATATCGAGTATATATTGAACAATCACCTCTTCTTCTAATTCTGTAATCTTATGACGATTCGCTCGAGTTTCTGTACGAAGAGGTAAACCTTCCATTCTATGTCGAAGAGTCGTACGAGGAATATTATAGAGCATAGCAGCCTTTCGAATGCTTAATTTTTTATCTTTATGAATAACTTCGATAGCAAGGAGTATACGAGCTTCTTGATTATTCGAATTCATTATAGGTTGTTGATAAAACGCGTGTTGAAAGAGACAGGTGTAAATTGAGGTGAAAGTGGGCCACTCGATGATATGGGCCACTCGATGATAAACCACGTTATTTAATTAATTAATTATTTATAACGTGGTTTATCATCGAGTGGGCCACTTTTCCCCCAATTCACACCTTCAAACCTATATTATTCAACAATCATTAAATCAATTGATTAAAACTATTAAGAATCTAATAATCTAGGATCTATTACATTGTTTTGACAAGTTCTTGAATTATGATCCGGTTTTCCACACTTACTACAATATCTATTAGAAGATACTTCCCCATTAGAATTCCCCCCTTTTTGACGCTCGTCGCGTTGAATCTGAATATCAACCTCTTGCTGAGATAATATATCAAGAGCCTCTTGTTCGGTGAGTACTCCTTCTTGACGTAATTGGGTTTTTTTCGCACGTCGACGCTTGCTTAATGCTTCATTTGCCTTCCGAAGTATACGAATCTCTACAGTCAAAAGTGTATTTTCATGAGCTAATCTCTCTGTACCTTTAGCTAAAGTGTTACGAGGTTTGCCGTCTAGATCACGTGGAAGTGCTCTAGGCTCTCGAAGTAGGTTTATAACTAGGCGTCAAGCAGGGACTTGAAGTAATGACAATAATGATATGCAATTCGTAACTAATAGTAGAGTATACTAAATGATTGATCTTGAGCACGAAGCTCTATACAAAAGAAATCCATCTTGATTATATAGTCCTTCGTGCCTATGGTTAACTAGGAATCGTCGTTCCTGGGAACGAGCGTTCCTGGTTGTTCCTAGGAACGTTCGTTCCTCACCGTTCCATCACATGTTTTATGGTCATGTGACATACTAATCGTTTTGGACGTAACATAAAGCTAGTACAGTCTCGAATATAAATAGGACTAGTGCCCTGTGCACGTGCTACGCAGGAACCATTCACTTTAACAATATATAATATTATTATTTTTAATATATAAAACTTTATTAAATTCTTTTTTAATAAAATATTATAATTTTAATAATTTAAAAAACATATTGATTAGGCTATTTTAATAAAAATAATATTATAGAATTATATACGCCCGCTAGAACAATAAAATTTTATAAATAAAATTAAAACAACTCGCAGCTTTATCAATCCTGGTTCCTTTCAACATCCTTTTCTTCTCGCGAATCCTTCGGAGATTCCTTTAATCCATAGTCTGTTTCCAGAACTGTCCTCAATGGTATTTCCTTCTCTAGCAAAACTAGCACGCAGGCTATACCAGCAAAGACAACGGCTATCTGCCACACACGTTTTAATGCCTCCCGATACACAGTACGAATCTCTCCTTGTACATCAATTGGGTAATGTTCAATAAATTGGGCAGCTGCCAACTGGTATGCACTCCCACTCTCCAATTGTTGTCTCAAGCCCTCATCAGATATTCGCCATCTCAGCACCGCAACACGACTATTAAAGATAGCCGCAGGAATAGCAACGCCCCATACGTAACCAAAAGTGCGAATAAAATACCAAGTGGCTGTGGCCGCCGCTTGATCAGCCTCTGAAGCGGGTGCTTGAAATGCAGGTAATAGTGTATTCAGCACCATACCAGCCCCTAAGGCAAATATACATTGATATATAGCCCATTCGGCCGTCGATGTATCTTCTCGCTGTAGTGAAAGGAGACCTAATGAGATAGCGAATAAAGCAAAGCCAGCGAAATGTAAAGGTCGGAACTTACCCCAGCGACTCAACGCCATGGCGGAGATGGCCGCGCCGGGGATTCCCACGAGGGAGTATGGAAGGAGAGCAACGCCTGTGCGGCGGGGAGAGTAAAGTGCTACTGCTTGGAAATACACGGGTAGGAAAAACATTACCCAAAACAAAAGGGCGGAATTGAGAAAAGTATTGATGGATACGATAATCGATGTGCGATTTGTGAAGAGTCTAGTTGGTATCACAGGTTCAGATGGAATGCCCGAAGCTTCATATACTGCGAATATGAAGAAGGATAGAAAACCAAGAATCAGAGGCACTAATTTGTGCCAAGATGACCAGGGATTTGAGATGGAAAGAGCATAGAGGATAGCCACAGCGCCAGCCATAAGAATCCCGTTGCCCACCACATCAATTCGTTGTAGCTTCTGGACAAAACCCACATCTTTATTGTAATTGACTTGGAGGAATAGGTATAGTACTATGAGAGACGTTCCGCCGATAGGAAGATTGAGGTAAAAGACCCAGCGCCATGTAGTTGAGTAGACAATTGCGCCGCCAATGAAAGGGCCTAATGATACACCGATTCCATAGATGGCTAGGATTACTGCCATGTAGTTTCCACGTTGGCGGAGGGGGACTAAATCCGAGACGATGATATCTATCTGTACATTAGCTACGGCTATATCTGCTTTAGTAAACTGGAAGAAGTATGCCACAAACCAATCACCATAATAATCCCTCCACTCCCCATTCCCTGCACCGCCCGACCGGCAATCAACATGTTTTCGCTGCTGGCACCACCGCATATCCCACTCCCAAGTATAAAGATGGCGACAATAAAAATAGTGATTCACCGTCTTCCAAATACATTGCACAACTGCCCAAATAAAGGCTGGAAGGCCGCACTACACACGAAAAATGCATTGGTTATCCAGATGAAGTTCTGGCCCATATGCAGATCGGATAAGATTACAGGCGCAGCAGTCGACACGACTATGTTTTCGAGAGCGCCGAGGAGGTTGGTGATACCGAGGCCGATAATTATGCACCAGAAGCGGTAGCTGGGCTTGAATTCTGGAAAAGAAGAAGAAGAAGAAGAAGAAGGGGAAAGGCAAGTCTTTTCTCTCGAAGACGATATCTCTACAGGAATTTTATCCTCAGCAGTTGCAGCAGTTTGAGCTGGTAACGCCGTTGTGACGTCGACGTCGACAGAACCACCAGCAGCGACCATTGTCCGCAACTTCAAAAAGGTGAATAAAGATTTAATTTCTTTGTCTGCTAGTTACTAAGATATTTGGACATGATGAAAATGCCTGGGTAGGTAGATGTCGGGAGTCATCTGGACCGCGCCTCTGAAACTGCATTTCGGAATTCCGAATGCCTAATTGAGTAATTTGACTGCGAATTGATTCACATCTGTTGGTATTCCTGGCGACCACATGTCACGTCTTTCCTTTCAATTTAATTGACTTATGGTGCAGGAAATCTGCGTGGCATAGTTGTCCGGTCGTAGCTATCATTTGACAAAAGGAAGTTTGTGTTGGATAAGAAATATGTATGTCTGGGAAATTTTGAAGTGCTGCCTGCACGTGAGTGAAGGAAGTCTTGCATCTTCACCGCCCTGGTGCTTATTGCGAAGAACATCACGACAGCGACAGAATCAAATAGAAGATAAGAACTCAAACTCATTGAAGGCGGAACCAGAATATTAAAAGCCTTAAGTTATTTGGATGAAATTGTTTTCTTTGGTCCTTACTATCTAAGTTGTATTCAATATGCTAGACGAGATATTTTCGCCATGCTGAATTAATTTGAACTTCTACCTGCGCCTCGTAATACGGGTTCAAACAAGTACTACCAGTTTCTTTCCTGAAATTACCCCTCTTTGCAAGAGTTGAATGCCATCCAGGATTGCGCCGAAAGCTCCCGGAATTACCTGGAGCGGGTGAGGCTTCAGTTTGCCATCGTTCAGCAGGCGCTGGAACATACGAAAGTAACTCACGACGACCTGGTGTTGTTCCTCACTAGCCCGGCGGCCATATTCCCCCGGCAACTCGACCTTCTTTCCAAAAACCTCCAACCTCATAACAAACTCAGCCTTGACAGCACGGCGCTGTGCTACGCGTGCGCGCGCTTCGTCAGGGAATTTCTCCAACCCTGCGTATCGCCCTCCCACGCGTCCGATCGCCGTATAACAACAGGCGACCGACTCAGGATCAACGATACAATCTAAAACATAGCCAAGTCTTCCACCAGTAAGTTCGCGAATGGCAAGTATAGTACTTGATGCCGAATAGTCAAGCACAGCGGTGGCACCATAACTAAGTACTAGATCCGTGTTATGAGGCGAGCACGTTGTGATTGGCTCTAGCCCAGAAAGACGTAAGAGCTGAATCGCCATGGTGCCTACGGTTGTGCTACCTCCGTAAACAAGTACCGGAAAAGGCTTCAATGCAATGGAATATGGAGATGCTGTGAGACGTAATGTGTCCCAAAGAGCTAGACAATTGGTCGCAAGCGCGGTGCCCAATGTGGCAGCTTGTTCTGGCAAAAGTCCAGGTGGCACACGAAGAACTAGATCGGCAGGTGCGCGAATATATTCAGCAAAAGCACCATTTTGACCATCAATCGTGTTGGAACCATGTACAAGCCCGCAGACAAGATCGCCAAGTTGAAGTGATGTCTTTGTATCGGCGTGTATGCGCACAATCGTACCAGAGAAGTCAGTCCCGACCACGGCGTTCTCGCTGGGGCACATTCTGCCCATTTTATAATCACATAGTTGTATAGCAACGGCAATTGTTTTGACCAGTATAGTTCCAGGAAGCAGGGTCAGTACTAGTACATCTTCAGCAAGCTTGGCTTTTCCACTTGCATTTTGGACAATTGCCCGCTGTGACGACGGTAACGTTGAGACAAAGGATACCGTTGATACCATATTGAAGGCATTGACAGTGGAATACTTCGATGATGGTGAGAAGAGAGCAGCAAGCATACTTTTAAATATGTATCACTCGTCACATCGGTTGAAAATAAGATCGGAGTCGGACATCCATATCGGATGCAGTACTGTGGGCTTATCGGAACCAAAGAAAAAAGAAGAAAATTATGAAATTCTACGGATTTACACGAAGTACTTATGTAGGAGGTATGGGTATGGTTTTTGAGCGCAAGGCCATTTTCTAATGTTCTCGATGCGACATATATGAATTTGTGATTAAATTCTAGTTGTGATGCTACAGTCATGGGCGGTCTTCACCCCTTGCCACTGGTACAAACTTCACCCAAAACTGTGGTTTATTCCACATGGTATAGATATAGAAATCTCGATCAAAGGATATGTCTTGACCTGGCACCGCCTCTATATCGAACGTCCACAAAACCTTCGCGAGATACAATTTCGTCTGAGCCCATGCGATTGCGGAGCCAGGGCACATCCTGGGGCCCTGATTAAAAGGTAAGAAGGCCTTAGGATCATCATTTTGGTATTTGAGATCGTACTCCGGGTGATCTGAAGGAAGCCAACGCTGTGGCCGGTACTCAAGTGGGTCTGCAAAGTAGCGTGGATTTCGAGCTGCAGCGAAATGGCTAATTTGGCAAATGACCTATAAATAATTGGTGAGTGAGAGACTGGGTATCGCTGTGACTTAAGAGATGCTTACCCCACGCCGGATGTATTTGCCATCGACGATAGCACCGGGGCTCATGCGCGGCAGGCCATCTGATGTATTTTGATGAATACGGAAAGTCTCCTGCAAACAAGCATGTAGGTACTTCATATTCGCTACTGTATCAGGAGTGATTTCACTATAAGATTTGAACTCGCTTCTGATTTCCTTCACAAGCGATTGATAGATATTCGGCTCTCTAAGGAGGAAGAGAATCGATGAGTAAAACTGGTTTGACATTGGTTCCTAGCCTGCCACTAGCATTTGGCCTGCTATTTGCTCCAAGTGATTGATTTGCTTCTTGTCTTTGGGAGCGGAAGCATCTCCAGGAATGAGTTGGTCGAAGTAATCTAGATGTTCCGTTTGCCCTTTGCGTTCGATACGTGACTGGACCTCTTGGCTGTTGATTTTCAAGACCCGTGGCATAGTGAGCCAGACAGACGGGGGAATGAATAAGTACATAAGCGGACTGAGTAGAGGAAACTTTTTGGATACTGCCTGGATCGTCAAGAACAGATTGACTTTAATTACGGCATCCAATAGAAGAGAGCTTTTTTCTGTTGAAAATCAGCATGTTAAACAGTAGTTAGATGCGACAAGGACTGTACCATCTTTCATCTGGTTCATTTGGCGATTGTATGTCATATCTGCAGAGATATCCATAGTTAACCAGTCTGCCCACTGGCGCAGCTCAATTTCCTTCTTCCCTCCAATGGTTTTCATCTTTTCAACAAACGAGTCAACATATTTATGCAGAACCGCTTCCTTAGCCTTTGTATTTCTCGTGCTAAAGGCGGGAGCAAGTTTTTTCGCTACCTCGCGATGCTTGACCGGATCAATCTCGAACGAAATTCCACCGTCCTCTCCAAGATCTTCGAAGTCTGTTTTCACGAATGTTTCAAGATTTTTGACATGCGTTGCGTGAATATCTGAACATACTCTGTTAGCTAAATTCTAACGATCGCAATCAGAATCTTTCTTATCTACCTCTTCCTGCCTGTGGCGTGAGAAAGACAAGTTCGTTTGGTGCAATACGGACAACATCGCCTACAGACTGTCAATGGGCTAGTCAAATGAAAGGACATGAGGAATTTGCTCTTCTCACCATACCGCTTCAACACTTCTTCGATTTTCCATGGCCATTTCCCGGTTAACCTGGTTTTTATTAAATGAGTTCTTAACGCCAGCTTGCCGCAAAGTATGCCAATAACTTACCAGTTATATGCATACCAAACATTGGAGACCGCCGCTAGCTTGGGACCTGGATATTTGGAAAGTGGATGGAAGTATAGATTATAGATGCCGCGAATAAACGAATAAACGATCGACTAACGGCTTCTTAGTAGGTTATGTCAGCTTATAGCAGTTGGTAGAAATAACGTACCGTACCCACAGCCACCGAGAGCCATACCATCAAATCTGCATGAGTAATGTTTGCTAAGAAGCTAGGGATTTCCATAGGGTCAATGAGATTAGCAGTGCGATGGAGGGTGAGCTGCTTCTGTTTGTAAGTTCTGTAGAATATTTCCGCGAATAATGCAAAGGTAGTACGTTTATCAGGATAAGGTAGAATGAAAGACCGGGCCTCTTTTTCTCCAAATTTGCCACTTGTGAGTTCACAGATGACGAAAATAATAGCGAAATCCTAGATTCCCATGGGCTTTACATTTGCTATTCATTCTTAATAATCATCTATTATTGTTCTCGCCGCAACGCCGCATTTCAAAGCTGTGTTAAGCCTGATTATTTTCGGCAGCAATCACACTCAACGTGCGATCCACAATTCTACCCCCGACACCGAAACCGAATGTTACTCTATGTTCGGTGTCAAAGTACTACATCTGGTAATTTCTTTCGGAACTCCGATCGCCGTTACTTTCCAATTACAGAATGGCTTACCTAATGCAGAACAATTCGCTGCAGGCTTCGAACTCGGTCAGCAGTGCGGGGGATCACCTGAAATCCTAAGAGTTAGAGCTTAAGCGTCTGATACATGATACATTCGACCTTAGCCTAACACAAGACTGTCGCATTATTATCAGATTATTTCTTCATTAAGTTATCATCTTCGTTTGTGCGTTAAAGCAACATTATGTGCTACAGCGAGCATGCCACACCAAATTGATGACATTTCAAGAAGTGGTGTGGTCATGTTAAACTGTAAATTTAACAGTATCAATTGAGAAGACTTCAATCACCAAGAAGATGCTCTACTGCAATAAGTGAGGGCTTTAATTTTCTAATTGAATTATGAGAATGAGTATTGGCACGAATCTAGATATGCTAGAGCAGTGAGAACTCGTCCAGGCCATGTGCATGAGCTCCTCGGTCATCTGACACCTGATAGTACTCCACAAGAAATGAGGTGGCGGCATCTTCTCCGGCCCAAGGACGTTTCGTGGCTCAAGGGCCATCAATTGCAAGATCAGATAGTCTTCCCGGCTGCTGGATATGTTATAATGGCATTAGAGGCATCAATTGCACTGTGTCGGGGGGAAACTATAAGTCTCATCGAGATTCAAAACTTGGATATCACTAAAGCTTTGACGTTCAAGAATGAAGACTCGAGCATTGAGACCATATTTTCTTTCACAAACATTCTACGAAATGGCGACAATACCATCGATGCACACTTCAAATATAATGCAGCGGCTGAAACCCACGGAACATCTCTAGATCTACTTGCTAGTGGTCGTACACGAGTATTTCTGGGCGAATGTGATAAAACTGCATTGCCTGCTAGGAGTTCCCGTCCACCAAACTTTCTGAGTGTTGATACCAAACAGTTTTACACCTCTCTACATAAGATGGACTATAATTATACGGGGCCTTTTGCTGCCTTGGATTTCCTGGAGAGAAAGCTTGGTGCTGCAACCGGCTTCGTTTCCAATCTTGAGCCATCGCAAATGCTTGTTCACCCTGCATTCTTAGATGCCGCTTTCCAGTCGATTCTTCTCGCTCATTCATATCCCGGTGATGGCAGTCTTTGGTCTATGCACGTCCCGAGAGCGATAAAATGTATCAGGTTTAATCCCGAATTGTGCAAAAGCGAGATGATCAAAGAGATTGCCTTTCCATTTGACACTATTCAACCTTTAAACTCGACAAAGATCGCAGGCGATATCTACATCTATCCAAATGACTTAAACCATGCCATTATCCAGGTTGAAGGCCTTGAATGTGTGCCGTTTTCCCAATCGACGTCAAAAGACGACAAGGAGCTGTTTTCAACAACAGTATGGGATGTAGCTTCCCCGGATATTGAACTAATCGCAATTGACGGCTTTGCAACACCGGAGCAACACGAGTTGGTGGCTCTTCTGGAAAGACTTTCAGGCTTTTATCTCCGAGATCTTGATAGAAAAGTCCCCAGTGACCATCCTTCGAGATCCCAAGGGCCTCATGTACTCTTATACCAATTTGCCTCGCACATTCTTTCGCGTGCTCGAGCTGGACAACTACCGCTGTGGAAGTCCGAATGGGAGTATGATACAGAAGAGGAAATAATAGCAATATGTGAGCAGCATGCAGCTGTAGTTGATGTTGAACTTCTTCGTGGAATTGGGGAGAATCTAATCGCTATTGCTCAAGGGGAGAAACGGGCGATAGAGATCGGCATGGCAGATAATCTGCTGACAAAGTTTTACAAGAATGCGATTGGTATGCCTGTCTATACAAGGTATCTCTCCCGAACTGTCAAACAGATCGTTCATAGATATCCTCATATGCATGTACTTGAGATTGGTGCAGGCACAGGTAGTGCAACTAGGGGCATCTTTGCCGAAGCAGGCCCAACAGCGTTTGCGTCTTATACTTTTACCGACATTACTTCTGGCTTTTTCAGCGCCGCCCAAGCAGATTTCAAAAATGACCGGATGTAAGTTCTTCTACTCTTCAAGTTGCTCTGACTTGCAGTGTCTTTTACAAGAAATTTTTCAGGGAATTATGATTTCAAAGTAGCCTTTGATTCCCTTTGGATTATGTTCATGTCTTTTTTCCTCATTTTCCTACGGTATTAAGATTGCAAAGCTGACGCTGAATCTTTGCTTATAGGCTCTTTAAGGTACTAGACATTAGTCGCGATCCTCGCCAGCAAGGTTTTGCCGAACCTCATTCATATGATATGCTGGTCGCATAATTAGTCCTGCATGCTACACCTTTTCTAGAACAAACGCTACGAAATGTCCGATATCTACTTAAACCAGGTGGCTATCTCGTCGTACTTGAAGGCATTCCGAACGATGCCACTCGTGTAGGGACTACTTTCGGTGGCTTTCCGGGTTGGTGGCTTGGCGCAGAGGACGGCCGAGTTCTATCTCCTTGCGTAGATCTAGCAAGGTGGGATGAGTTGCTCCGTAAGACAGGTTTCTCAGGATGCGATACCGCCAGTCCAGATCCGGAGCCTCTTGTTATGCCCACTACTCTTTTTGTGTCTCAGGCGGTGAATGACAAGATTTCTTTTCTTCGGGATCCATTCTCGTCAAACACAGATCTTTTCGGCTCAAAGACTTTAATGCAGGATCTCATACTACTTGGTGGAACCAGCTTGCGCACATCACGCCTCGTAGGCCAATTGGAACCCATTTTGCGCTCATACTGTAGACTCGTCAAGATCGTTCGGTCTCTGAATGAGTTGTCCGCTGTAGATATATCAGTTGCAACGACTGTACTTAATCTGGCTGATCTGGATGGACCCACGTTCAGCCAACTGAGCGAACAAACATGGGAGAAGATGAAATCAATGTTTATGGAAGCAGAATCTATCCTCTGGGTTACACACGGTCGGCGTGCCAATAACCCCTACGCTAATATGGCAGTTGGTCTTATGCGCTCTAGTGCCTGGGAACTCCCGTCTTTGAGCTTCCAGTTTTTGGATATTGAAGATATCCAGAAGCTAGACGTGCGCACTTTGAGCGAGGCGCTGCTGCGGTTTAAGGGCGCCAAGATATGGAATATGGATGGAACCCAAAACAATTTACACATAACTGTTGAGCCAGGGCTTGTTCTGGACAAAAATGGTCGATTCATGATTCCACGTCTGATACCAAGCCAGGAAATGAATAGGCGCTATAACTCATCACGACGTACGATTTTCAAAAAAAGGCCTCTAAATTCTGGCAATGTAACTGTAAATACATCTAATCCGGGGATTTTCATCGAAGACGTGTCGATGCCCGTTCGGTTCCAGCATGAAATTCAAATAATGCAATTACAAGCCAGCTACTCAACATTTTCCGCTATTCGGATTGCCGATTTCGGTTGCATGTTCATAATACTTGGAACAGATGTCAACACTAAGGAACAGTTCGTGACTCTTTCAGCAAGTAATACCCACTTTTCATGCCCATGGGAAAATGTTTCAGTTCCTGTGATATTGATTTCTGGTTCAGAGGCTACGTTTGTAATGCTTGTTGCTTTTCATCTGCTCGTTTCAAGTACGATCAAATCTTTGGCCAAAGGAAATAGTATTGTTGTCTTTGAGCCAAATCCCACCTTTGCTGCAATTTTATCGAAAGAAGCGGCTCGCAAGAATTTGAATGTTGTGTTTATTACGAGTGGCATTGTACCTAGCGATTCTTCCTGGCTGGAGATCCAATATGCCACACCAGAGCAAGCTATACGTGAGTCTTCTAATTTTGGATTATTCGTTCTTTGTTCCAGATTTGAAGTATTATTTAACTTTTGGAATGGGGAAAATACCAAGAGAGCACCGAATAGCGTTTACGCGTGCTCTTATTCTTGGTGTTATAGTACTAACTCTAATTCTATTCACAGGTCGTTTGCTTCCCAACAGAGTTTCTATCTACCTAGATTTCTCCACCGGTTTCAAGAGTAGATCGGTCGGGCAGCGAATCCGCTCTCAGTTGCCGCTGCATTCCAAATACGAAAACGTCGATACAATGTTTGGTCGAGATTCATGGACTCCTCTTGGGTTTGAAGTTGATGATATTTGTAGCCAGCTGCAAGATGCTGCTGTTCATGCTAAAGACACTCTGATTGAGAGTAATATAGAAGCAAAATTTCAGCTTCCTGCTATAATATCAAGCGATATTATAGGTCCTGACAGCATATTGGCACCACTGTCAATTGTGAGATGGGTGATTGAATCTGAATTTTCGGTCCGAGTGCAGCCAGTAGATTCATTGCCACTGTTTTCCGAGTCGAAGACCTATTGGCTAGCAGGTCTTAGTGGAGGACTAGGACTATCACTTTGCGAGTGGATGGCTCATCATGGAGCTAAACATATTGTTATTTCAAGCCGAGCGCCTAATATTCAAAATTCCTGGCTAGAAATGATGAATACCGCGGGTGTTACCATAAAATTATTTTCATGCGACAACACTAATAAGGACGAGGTAACAAATCTTGACGCCTTTATATGCTCCAATCTTCCTCCAATTGCTGGTATCGCTCAGGGAGCAATGGTCTTACAGGACACGGCTTTGAGTGACATGACTTTTGACGTGCTGTCTAAAGTCACCCGACCGAAGGTTGAAGGAAGTATTCATCTTAACAATCTATTTCAAGAAGACACACTCGACTTTTTCGTCTTCTTCTCGTCATTTTCGGCTGTGGTTGGAAGCCCTGGACAAGCAAATTACTCAGCGGGTAACCTTTTCATGACTAGCCTCGCTGAGCAGCGGCGTCGGCGTGGCCTAGCTGGTTCGGTTATCAACATTGGTCCTATTCTTGGAGTTGGCTATATTGCACAGCAGAAAATCGCTGCTAAAGCTATAGATGCACGATCTTGCGAATATATACCATTATCAGAGCGCGATTTTCATCAGCTGCTCGCAGAGGCAGTGAAATCAGGACGTCCCAATTCTGGACGAGAAATTGATATTACAGCTGGAGCTAGAATGGTCAGTCACCAAGATAAAGAGCAACCTGGTTGGGCACTTAATCCGATAATGAGCCACTACGTCTTGAACGATGAGCCAGGAGGTAAAGTTACCTCAACAACGCCAAGTATAGTTCCTATGAAGACGCAACTAGCACAAGCTCAAACATAAGACGAAGTCGGTATTGTTATCAGGGACGCCTTCCTCCCGAAATTATGCGCTCTTTTCCAGCTGGGTACAGATAAACTAACCAACGTGGACCTGGGCAGTATGCGCTTAGACGAGATGGGAATTGATTCACTTCTAGCCACCGAAATCCGCAGTTGGTTCATTAAGACTTTCGAAGTCAACATTCCGGTGCTACAAATTCTTAGTGGTGCTGCAGTAGGCGAATTGATCTCTATAGCGACAGACAAAATTTCTTCATCCCTGGTTCTAAATATGCAGGCAGAAATTTCCAGCGTAGCGATCCAAGATGCTTCAGAGTTCCAGATGATTGACTCAGTAGTGAAGCGGGTACATAATGATGAGGACTCTGCAGCGACCCACAGTCCCGCTGTATCCATATTTGAAGACCAGCTTTCTTCCGCCTCATCGGCCAACTCACCAAGGGTAGATTCCAGTATTGAGCCCTCTAATTTTGACATCCCAGAGCCCACCTTGCTGAAATCGGTGAGGCTCTCTCTTAGCCAAGAAATGTTTTGGTTTGTATTCTCTCTTCTACAAGACAAAACAAGCCTCAACCACAGCGCTTCATTCCGATTGAACGGTGACCTTCATATAGAAGATCTCAAGCTGGCAGTTTATGCGATAGGCAGACAGCACGAGACTATCAGGACTTGCTTCTTCGAGGATAACAATAAACCGATGCAAGGAATCATGAAATCGAGTAATCTTCATCTTGAACAGAGACACATATCAGATTTAGGAGATGTCGAGCTGATCAGAGACCAATTACATAACTATGTTTTTGATCTAAAACGTGGCGACACAATCCGCATCCAACTTTTATCGTTTTTGCCGACTGTAAATTTCCTAGTTCTTAGTGCACATGGGCTGGCGATGGATGGTGTGTCTTTTCAAGTATTTATGAAGGAATTACTATCTCATTATTTACACATTGGACAGAGCTTGGAGAGGACACGGCAATTTTGTGATTACTCAGAAAAGCAGCACAACGACTACGCTGACGGGGAGTACGAGGATATCCTGCGCTTTTGGAAGACAGAATATTGCGACTTTCCACCCCCATTGCCCATCCTTCGAGTGTCAGAGGCTATATCAAGAGTTCCTTTAACGGCGTATAATAACGAGCGAATTGACGTGCGAGTAGACTCTGACACAAGGGCTCAGATCCAAGCAGTCTGCCGTCGTTATAGAGTTACAGCATTTCACTTCTATCTCGCCGTTTTTAGGGCCTTGTTATCGCGATATACCGACGCTGAAGATGTCTCCATAGGTATCGGTGACGCCAACCGCCTCGAGAAAGAGACCATGGGTAGTATTGGCATGTTTCTGAATCTGCTACCTCTTCGATTCCGCACGTCAACATCATCTCATTTCTCTATGATTCTCGAAGAGACACGCTCCAAGGTGTATACTGCGCTTGCAAATTCACGCGCACCATTTCAGGTCCTGCTAAATGAGCTAAACGCGCCGCGCTCGTCGGCATATACCCCCATATTCCAGTGTTTTGTTAATTATCGACAAGGTCAGAAGGAAAAAACTCTCTGGGCTGGCTGTGAGCTCGAGATGTTGTCATTTTGCGCTTCCAGATCGGCCTATGATCTTGCCCTGGATATCATCGACAATGCAGATGGTGAGACTCTGCTTATGTTCTCGGGGCGAAAAGATCTCTACGATGGATATGCAATGCAGACCCTCATGGGTAGCTACAGGGAATTAGTGAAGTCTTTCGCTTATGACCCCGAAGTTCTTTTAAGTCAGCCTTCACTCTTCAAGGCAGTAGAGATTGACAAGGCCATGAAATTCGGTCGAGGTGCGTAAAAATCTATTTCTCCTGCATGTCATGAATTTCATACAGAATCGAAACTAATAGTGCCATCAGGTCCCGCACATACCTCTGCATGGCCTGAGACTATCGTCCATAGAATCGATGATCTTACAATGTTAAATCCACAAGATCCTGCCGTATCTTTTGAAAACGGCGCTGCTATCACATATTCGTCTTTGCTAGATCACTCGAATTCAATTGCGGTGGCATTGCAGTCTGCTAATGTTACCGCGGGCGATATTGTAGCGACTCTACAGGAGCCTACTGCTGCGTGGATTGCATCTATTCTAGGTATCTTACGCATTGGAGCAGTATATCTGCCACTAGACCTATCCATGTCGTGGGACCGCTCAGTTACTATCGTGCAAGATTGCAGACCAACTATTGTCCTTGTAGACAACGATACCGAGGAGCATTGGTACAAACTATGCAGACCTGAAATAGGGATTATAAATGCACAGAAACTTGAATTAGGAAAGCCCCATGTCGACATTTCTGCTTCATCCGACAATGCAGCCATGATTCTCTATACGAGTGGATCTACTGGTATACCCAAAGGCATTATACTGAAACATGAAGGGCTGCGGAATTGGATTGAACCTACAGCTGGTCTGTGCAAAATAGAGCGGGAGATTGTGCTCCAGCAAAGCTCCCCTAATTTCGACATGTCCTTTACCCAGATCGTAACGGCACTATGCTTTGGAGGAGCTATACATCTTCCTCCAAGACGGCTACGTAGCGATGCTTGAGCCATTGGTGAGGTTATTAATTCTCGCGGCATAACTTACACTTGTGCAACACCATCCGAGTACTCGTCCTGGCTTAGATACTGTAACGCTCCGGAAAGACTTCGGAATAGCAACTGGAAATTGGCTGTATGTGCTGGCGAACCTGTGAGTAAGCATACGATCCAACAGTTTGCGACCCTTAATAAGGACAATCTACGGTTTTTCAACATGTACGGACCAACCGAGATCTCTCTTG